AATTATTCTAATATAATGGCTAAATAAATCATGACGAACACTTTTTCCTAGCATAAGTTATGATTATATTATAGGGCTATGAATTCGATTTGCCCGAAATCTTAACATTTAATAAAACAAATTTTAGAAAAAATACAGCTCACAACATAACTGTTCTCACTTAAAATCTCGAAAAGTAGCTTGACAACTTCCAAAATATACATTAATAATAATGTGAGTAAAATTTCAAAAAAAAAAAAAAAACCGCTATATTTTGAAAATATTTCAAATTGACATATCTCTATTAGTTAATGAATATACTCCGTATGTATTTTAATTTTAATGTTTTTCATTATCAGAAGTTGACAAAAATAAATAAATCACAAATTGTAATTAGTTTTTTCCGACTTCAGTTATCTCTCAATCCTATTGTGTTATAATAACGAATATAATTTTAATAAATTAGAACACGCTGGTAATTCTCTTCCATTTTTCGTGCTATACCAGCGATATAATCATTCTTTTCACTTTTGCATTTCTTTGTATGCTTATTTATTGTATTTCACGTCATTAACGTCACAATCAATAGTGTGTATTTTTTCCGGGTTTCGCGTTTAATTATAAGCCGACGTGTTCAGGACGATAAACGCGTAGCGAAACGCCAATCAAAATATCGTACGCATTGTTGTTTACTCGTTCCGAAACACTTATCGTTCTCAGATAAATTGAAGTAGGTATATTATTATTATACAGTATATACAGTTTGTCGACTAAACAATGTAACCGGATCAATACCTACGTAGGCGCTTTAATAATTGGCGTTGTTTGTATAGTCTTGCTAATACTTTCTGTTCATCACGTCGTCGCGTATACCATAGTGGCAGGTAATTTTTTCGGTTGTTCAGCAAAGTTTGATAGATAGGGGGAAAAAAATAATACCCATATTGTTTGTTGTTCGTATTTTTTGACGTTTTCCTTTCGTTTACACGGTTTTAGATTGAAACTTACCCGAGTTGAATTTTTTATTATTATTATTTTTTTTTTTTTAATTTCTCTATATATACTTATACAAACACAATCATAGGTATATGGTACCGACATTTTTAACACACGTCGTCGTCGGTTCTTATTATTACGTGTTCGACATTATCGAATACCTACGTTATTGTTTTTCGTACTCAATCAAAAATGCAATTTATAAAAGATTAAGGATGGTGTTGTAGTTGGTTGTCATTCTTACTGCGTGGAAGAATCGCTATACTGATTGGTATGCTTCAAAATTCGAGTATCTGCATTTATATTTTTCTCATACGTGGTATACAGATGAATATCATCAAATAAAATAAAACGGCTTTAAATACCTATACTGTAAAAAACTGATCATAAAGTACTCAATACTGCTGTATCGAGGAAATTGTTTCGTATCGTAATATGACTTTATTCGATTCTAAGTGTGGTGAAAAAGCTATAGTTTTACTAACTCTACACTGTTCACGCCGTAGGTACATTAAAAGATGTGGATTTTTCACCCGCAGTGATCCATTATTTGAAAATATTTCTAGATTTCCAATATTTTTTTTTTTAAATAGAGTTAAAAAAAAATAAATTAATAACTCATAACAAATGATGGTACAATGTATATGTCATATTGGTAATATTTTCGTTGATTTCTTGATTGCGTTGAGTACAAGAGAAAAATATACGACTTTTTTTATAATATCACCTGCTTACCGAACTTCGCTCAGAATCATTGTTTTTTTCTGTTTTTTATTATAATGATTATACAACGCTAAAAAACTTCGATTATCGTTTTATATTTTATGCATTATATCTGCCTTATGTACATCACAAATCAAACCATATTATTATTATACCTACTTCCCACGCTCCGATTGTCTTAACCACTCCTCCTTTTCTTTATATTTAATGTATACAACAGGAGTAATTCATCACTCCTGATGAATTCTATGGTTTATCTTATTTGGTATTTTCTTTCATACATATATTATCATTGATACACGACTCATTTTAAGTAATCTATATGTCCGTATTAATTATAAAATCATAAAAAAAATAAAATTAGCTGTAGAACTCTGTCACTTAAGTCGAATTTCGTGTAATGAAAATAATCTTTGCAAACAGAATAAATAAGCGAATACTTAAATAATAAAAGCTTTTTCTTCTCCTTTGCCTTTATCCTAAATATTTTGGGTTGGCCACCCTTGTTCTATAAACTTCCACTTATATCATTTCTTATCATAACTAATCACCTCTCTATCTATTTCCTCCTACGTTTATTTGCATTATAATCCTCACTGCTTCAGATTTCTCTCTCACAATGACATATCCAAATGTCAGTATATTCTCTCTCATTTTATCTACTATAGAAGCCATGTCTAAACTTACTCTGATGTACTCATTCCTTATCTTATCTTCTTTCGTCACTTCACTCATCCTCATCCATTTAGCATTCTCATCCCTGCTACACCCATTTTCTGTTTAATTTTTCTGTTTACCACCTAATACATTTAAACACTTAAATAATACAATACTATAAATATATTATAGTATACTAGCTGTCCTGTCCACGATGTTACCTGGGCCAACTGAATGAACTTAGGAACCAAGGTAACCAGGGGGAAAAACACAGTTCTCGTATTTGAAGATGAAAAATCATGTGTGAACCACCTTTTAGGACTTGAATTTGGAGATAAAAAGTAGATAGACCCTCATTTTGTTCTGAAGGATAAGCATTAGAAATTACATACAAATTGGAAGAAAATTTTAGGTTTTTATACAAAACCTGCATGAATCAAACTTAATTTTATATAGATAACACACTCTAATCATTCTATTACTTCCTATAAAATGGTAAAATTTGATCATAAAAATGGTAGGGATGATAGGTGTTGAAACTTGAAACTCCTAATAGGTATATCTTGACACTATTATGCTATTATGATTATTGATATTATTATGCCATAAGTATAAAATTACATCTTCTTGGCTTCAACTTTTTGATGTTTCTAGGGGTTTCAAAAAATGACCACATTCCGCAAAATGTAGTGAAACTCGTATTGAAATTCATCCTAACTTTTATCAGCTGAATTCACATATAAAACAACAATAATTCTCGAGTTTGAGCTCATTTTGTCCGGATGCAGTCCCTTTAAAAATCCACAAATAACAGACACAGTATAGTGTAATAATTTTATCTCCGGAAAAAATTAGACTAATATAATAATAATTTATGAGTCAATAGCCTAAGGTTTTAATGAAAACAATATAAAAAAATGATAGGAAATATCAATTCCCGTCATTAATCAATCGTTTATATTTTCGAGGGTTCAATATATTATAACGATTTAATAGTTTAATACAATTTTTAACACTCTGTAGTGTTACAGCGTGATATAGATTTCAATATTACACAATAATAGTTTTTTCATAAATTTAATACGATTTTATTATTCTTTATACGTACGCACTTTAGATTCTGAGTGTAGCAAAGAAACTATTACATAGTTTTAACCAAGTTTTTTTTTTTTTTATAAAAAAATAAACACTTTTCCGGTCAGTAAAAATGCTCTTAAACTTTCATACCACATCATTAAAGATTTTTCGCTTAATAGTATCTACTTTAATTGAAATATTTTCCGAAATTCAGAAAAAAGTTTTCTTAACAAATTAAAAGCCGACGGCAAATTAAAAGCACTAGTTTCAGATAAAATGTTAAGCACGCAAAGATTCAAAATTAGAATCCGTTAAGATCTCGTAGTTGAATTTTTAAATTTAAATGTCCACACTCAAGTTTTGGAATTTTTATATTCTTTTATTTTATTTGTTTTCGATTCCACGGGTAAAAAAGACACAGTTTTCTAACCCAACCGATTTTTACTTTTTTGTTTTTTTTTTAAATTATGAATAAAACAAGTTTTTCATATTTGTATTATATTTTGTTATTATTTTTGAAAATTGTTTAGGGGACACAACTATAATAATAAAAAAAATAAACTGCTATGTTAATAATAATAAAATCTCTGAATAACTGTTATTAAATGGAACGTAAAAAGATACTAAAATTGATATTGTCCTATTTTTATTTAGTCGTTTTCAATTTTTTAACAACGTTTAGTAATTATTACGAATTCTATATATGCGCGTATACACGTTCCGTGTAAATGAAATTGTTAATTTAATCTTTGTAGTCCGGTAGAAAATTGACTTGGTTATTCAAAATTCTTATATTTGAAGTTGATAAAATAATCAAATAGATGATACGAAATCGTCTACATTTTACACTTCTGGTGGTATCACTTCATTATCTGGTTCATAATCAAAATAGAAAAATAATAATCAAACACAGTAGGTACCTAATTTATAATATTATTTTTATATTGTTCGCTTGTGAATCCATGCACCGTGGTTTAGGCAATCGTTGAATAACGTGAACGACGAACACAATAAAGTTAATAAAAAAAAAAAAAAAAAACTTAAGTACTATATATGTCTTAAAGTGAATGTATATTTTAATACAGTATAAACGGTGAATTCAGTTAACAATAATAATAAGTTGGTTTTAATTTTATCTATTGTAGGTGCTTATAACAATAACATTTCCGCGTGTTGATCGAATGATCGTTGGGGGAGGAATGGCTGGATTGAAAATTACAGGGAGTAGGCCAAGGAGAAGGGCTGATACGGGGAGATACGAAGACATATTATAATAATAAATAAAATCGATCAGGTGAATTTTAACGTTTACGAATAATACGAATAACCACGAGATAATTGTTTTTGACCATCTTTTCCACACTAATTCCAATAGTAAAATTACTATCAAATTTAAGGAAAATTCCTCAAATTTGAAATCAATATTTCGGTTTATTTATAAACAAAAATCGGCACACCGTTCCACGATATTACATTTTTTCTTGTATGCGATTTTCCTAAATTATCTCTTGGCTATCATTCTTACGGGTTTATTATTTATTATATTACGCCAATACGGTCGGGTTAGTTTAGAAAAACAGGAATTTCTTGTCGTTGATCGGCTTCAAGGACGCTTCGATGGACGACTCCCGGTCGCGCATATTTCTGTTAGCCACCATAACTTGGACTCCGGCAAACGAAGTCACGTCGAAAGGATTTGGAGGCGTGCCGGTCTCGCTGTCCAGGTGCACTTCGTATCGGGACACGAGAGCGGCTATGATTAGTTTGGCCTCCAGTCCCACGAAATGTTTACCTGCAAACATATTGATGTTTTAATGATTTGAATCACGGAAGCAATTAGTAAATCGTATATTTTTACCAAGTTTTTAAACAACGATAAAATTATGATAATTTTAAATTGTTTGCGGCCAAACTTTAAATTCCCATAATTATATTTTCGTGAGTGTGTCGTAGTTTGTCTTTCGTAATTAATTTTCCAATGAGCTAATTTTGTTTCTATTCTACCGATTTCTATAGTTTTTGAAGTCTAAACGCCAAAAAATATATATGTTCCCGACTACCTAATATAATTATATATATAATATTCATTCTTAGTTCTATTTTATTTTAACAGTCTCATCGCTACTTCCGTTTTGTTTATTTTCATTCATTTTATTCTGCAATGCCCGTAATATTCGGAACTATTTATTTTCGCTGTTGGTCTCTTACGCAATAGTTTTATACATATTTCCCTTTTACCCCGAATAGTACCTTTGTACATATAATTTTCTGAACCGCATTGAACCTAAATAGGTGCTTAGCACTATCCCCTCGTGGCAACTAAATTTCCCTTCCATATCTATTTTTTTTCTTTTGACGATTCGTTCAAACGAAGTGAGAATTATGATCGTAAACGTTTCGATTTTTTATTTTTTTTTTGCATTTGCATTTATATAAACAGGGTTTTCATTTTTATGTTTTGCCGTTTAATTTTTTTTGTTGACGTTTGTATGTGAATTAATTATTTATTAATATGCATATTATACCAAACTAATAATAATATGTTAAATGTGTACCTCCGATCAAACGCAGTGGATTGTGATACTTTCCCATTTATCTTGTAATAATATTATATAATCTATATTATACACAATATAATTTTATAATATGTTATATAAAAAAAGCATGGGGTGGTTTGCCACTTTGCGTCAAATATAAGTGCCTACTTGAACGAATTTATTTTCAACCTCAACATAATAGTATATATGTACATACTGACCACGTTATTTCAGTTAAACCTTGAGAGTAAATGAAATATTGGTGCCGTTTTAGGTGCGTAATATTTTTTCTACTAAATTACATTAATATAAGTTTTAGTATATTACACCTACCTTCTAAGTCCTAATCAAGACAAATACACTTTTTGTACTATAAGTTTCGCAAAGCAAAAGTTAAAAGCGAAATAAGGGGTATAGATACAACTTAAAGAATATATTTTAGTGAAAAAGCCATAAACTTTATTATGCGGAGTCCCATTTACGTAGAATGTCCAGCCCACTATTTAAATAATTATTTCCTTAAATTACTGTTATGGACGAAAAAAATAAATTCAAATAGGTTTTATTTCATTATTTACCGAAACGGGACATCTCGGAGATTTAGGATTGCATCTTCGAAAACGTACAAAACGAACAAATAATAAAATTATAATATTATGTATTTTGGTAAATTATATACAGTAGTAATTTATTTAAATCTCTTTCATTCATTTTGACTCGGATGTTAAATAGTATTTTTGAAAATAAAATATGTTGCGTTAAACTTGTAAAAAAAAATAATATTAAATACTGTAATATATTTAAATTAGCAACTCCCTTTTTACTCGATGCCACACGATTTATGTGCAATTTTGGTATCATTGGTGTAAATTGTTTTAAAAATTCAGCTTCACGTTACATTTGTATGAATAAAAAGTCAATTCATGTATGATAGACTTTTATATGGTATATAGTACACGAATTTCGTCAAATTACTATAACGATTTAAATTTTCATTATACAGGTAGTTTTTTCATTATTATTAAATTTGTGAGCTTAATAGGATTTTCGATAAATGTATTGGTACAATATTATGATATCGATTTGGAATTAAAACTATAGGAATGTGTTTAAAATATGGGAATAAAGTTTAAAAAAATCCTTAAAAAAAGTTACTTTATTCTAACAAGTAAAATTGATTCAAAAGTCATCATGAAAAATAATAAAGAAGTGCACACACCAAAATTAGATCATACAAGCAAAAATACAATTATCATTTGCAATAGATTTTATTCTAATTTGCATGAACCGTTGACAATGTATAGCTTCGTTTTAAACGTAAACGAAAAAAAAAATGAAATTGTTTAAAATCCCGAAATTATCCTAGACTATATTATCATACCTAATCTATTAGTTTATAAGTTACATTTTTGGAAAAAAAAAATGACACTTCGAAGTAATGTATGAACGGTAAACGGTTAGATTATAGTATAAAGATAAATTATATTTTACAATAGTCGACAACAATTATACTATAATTCAAATATTATTTCAAACATATTTCTCTACAACGAAATATGCAAATTGCTGGGAAACATATCTAGTATGTACTATGTTCTACAACTAATGTTAAAAGTAAAAAATATAATACGTACATAATATATTATTTCGAATTGTAATATTATTATTATTATGTATATAATATGCACAGTTCGTTTCCGTATATTCGATGTCAAAGTAAAAGCTCTTAAAAAAACACCACCACCACCACCATTACCATCGCTACCTTTACACCGCCATACATTCAACACACTTCACTGAACTCCACTTGTGTAAAAAAAAAAAAAAAAAAATTTTATTATTATTTTGCTTATTGTAATGTTTACATACAACCGCGACGTCGTAAACATCATATTTAGTTTGGACTTGAAGCAAACCGCGTGTAATATTTCCTCGTAGGTAGTGGCGCATCGAGAGGGGTGGATAGTATTGGAATTTGGATACCTCTCCCCAGCCGTGTTTAAGTGATGTTAATTTATTAAAATGTGTTAAAAACATATTTTTTTCTTTTATTGTCTAGGTAAATATATGACACCCTCTTCTAAAAAACCCTCGTCTTGCCACATCGTATGCCACATTTAGTGTTTATTCTCGGGCCTAATCAGGAAGATATAACGCCTTTAGACGGTTTCTTGTTAAGATAAAACTTTTAAAATATCGGTATAAAGATCAGAAATATTTGATGAAATAACTTATTATATAAATCTTACATCTAGACGAAAATGAAAGATAAACAATTTTATTATCTACGTATTGATAAAATATTGGTAATTAGCAATTTTTCATCTAGAAATGTCATTGCCTATCATAAAACTCTGAGTACTCATATTGTACCAGGTATGATAGACGTCTAGATTTCAAAAAGTCTGTGTGATTGGATTCAAAAAATATATAAATGCCAATATAATTAAAATATTTGATCCATTATTTCAATTTAATATTTAAATCAAATAATGTCACGATTTGAAGAGATTTATCTAGATCATTTAATTGTATATGTCAGATGGATTATTTTTCATTTAACTGTGTAAAATATAAAATAAAAATATATCCATCGAGCTGAAATATGTTTATGCGCATAGGAACTTGTAGATTCTGAACGAAACAAGGAATTTATTGGTTTTAAAAATCTGCGACCACTTTTTCGGTTAAAATAAAAGCTCCGAAATGTTCGCTTAGTAGTATTTTATTTGGGACATTTTTCTGGACAATTTAAAAAACTAAATTCAATAAAACACACATACATTGGTTTTTTTTAGCTAAATGTCTGGCTCGTAAAAATCCGAAATTCTAAACTTGGTGGATAGACGGGGATGAAAGTTTCTAACAATCTCTCTATGTTAACAATCTCTTGTTGGTTCAAACTGTCCGAAATTTCGATCACCCGTAAAAAAAAACAATTTTAATTAGTTTTTACTCAATCCATGTTTGTTTATTTGGTAAAAATGTAAAACAAATAACTATTTGGCATTTAAGAGCTATTTTTAAAACTTTTTTTATGAAGTGAATTAAAAACTGTACAACATTAACAAAATTATCAGTGTTTTGTTATGTGCTGAAATAAAATATAATAAAATAGGATAGAATATTGAATAATAACACTTATAATAAAAATTTAATTGTATAGAATGTTATTCATTATTTTTCTCATAAAGCCATTAAAAGTGCCTACACGCAACTCCTTAAATACTGCGCTGTTATAAAAATGTAAAGTCCTCATGAACGTATTCCGTGCGCTCAGTTATCGACTAAAACATAATTTATTCTACATTAAGGAGCACCAAGAATTATGATAATAAAATAAAAATCTTGTTATTCTTCTCGAATATAGAAATCGATCAAACGGGGCGTTTCCGTTTCATTCATAATACTCGTATTAAATCGTGCGTATAGGGGTATAAGCTTTACACACGAATTTCAGTAGATAAATAGCTTTGTGAATAATACAAGTATATCCAGTTTTTTTTTTTTTCTGTATAAATGGAACAATCATATGCAACTTGCAACGTTTCCCATAATGTGTTTTTCTATATAATAATAATTTTAGTACGAAAAAGTGACGTGTTTCCCACCCCCAAAATAAAGAAAGTGCTCATCCTAAAGTACGGAAGGTCGACGATGTTATTTTATTTTTATTATCAGTTTAAAGCAGATGTCGTGTATATTGAACGCAAATCTTAATATAAGAAAATATATTGTATTAATTAAATTCGTTGTACTTTCTATAATATTAAAAAATAAAAACCGAAATAAAGTTTCCAGCCAGTTATTATGGTGCGCACTCGGCATTGTTCATAGCCATGTCATAACCGCGACCGCAAAAGTACCATGGTATGTAAATAATTGGTTTAACTCGCTCTTGTAAACGAATTAGGAAGCGAAAAAATGATTGGCCATCGTGTGAACCGCTGTTGTTGTCGGACCAAATGCCATTTTGGGAGATAACAATAATATAATTTTTTTTTTTTTAAAACCATTCCATTAAACATGAACTGCTATCCTTCTGTATTTTATTAGCGACTGAGAAAAAAGGTTGAAATATTGTCCGCTGGTCCTTTGGCCTAGTAATGCGTAATCTAACCAAATCTATAACCTAATCATAGGATGCAGACATTCCCGTTAAGGTTTCCCAATGATGGCCAAGTAATTCCTGTCTTATAATATCATTTTTCTTAATTTTTTTTCCTTTTCGCACTCAGTTTTCTTACTGTTTACCGTCCGCTACTCCTATGCCTCGGGTTTACAAAAATAGTTTATAAATCGTTTATTTGATAGTCTTACGGTTCTGTAAAGTTACAGTTATTGAATAGATTACGTTTTATAAATGTACATTGTTATTTGAATAAGACAATTTCTTATTCATGTACTCGTTTATTATGATTAATAATTGTATTCATAATAAATATTACAGTATTATAATAATTTATATAATTATATAATAATAGGAATGAAACTGACATTTTATTTGTATTTTATAGATTTTACTATCACTTTACAGAATTATGCTACAGTTAAAATAAAATAAAATTACATTTTTAATTGATAACCAAAATTTAAATTAAATGATAAGGAAATTGCACAGAATATTTCGTGGTTAGATAGCTCTAAAGATTTTATGGAATTGAAATCAGTTAACAACTTATAGATTCGATAGTTCTGTGTTTAATATCGTTTATTCATTTTGAAAAACGATTTATAATTTTACAAAATTGTAACCAACCCGGCTCTAGACTATTAATTCAATTATATCCAATAATACAAGTATTACCGATATTCACATATTAATACGTAATTTTGATAAATTGATACCTCCTAATATCAATTTATTTCTTTTCATTTTGTTTTGGAGGTAAGAATTGATGTCACACGAAAATATATTTACGTTACCGAAGAAAGTCTGTGTGAGTCTATTTATATGAGTAAATTAATTTATGTAAACAATAAGCTGATGGTATGAGGAATAAGTACCATAATACGATATTGTATAGTTTTACGTAGTGTTTATGATAAGAGTACTAGATCATTCAAACGGTTTGAACGAATAATATCCCACCAAACACTTGTAGTGTATTAATAATCAATGCATATTTTTAATACAATTTCCGTGCTATTATAATTTATTGCTATTAACGTTAACATTCCCCAAGCGTTGTTAACCGCTATTACTTTTATTTTGACTCCTATTTACCTTTGTTCCACGCAAGTTCAGCTACTGTTTTATTGCCTTCTTTCAAATCTGCCTACAAATATCCATCTCCATTTCCTCGTATACGATTAATGCTATCATATATTCCCGAAAAACGTCTAGCCACTTTCTCTTTAACTTACCTATCCCTGTCCAGCTTCTTTCAAATTTATTTTTTAGATCGTCAAATCTTTTCCTGTTTTTCAACGCGTTTATCTCAATTCGCCAGTTACTTCCACTACTTACTCGTAGATTATAATATTAAACGTCTTATGTACCTACCTCTAACCTTTGCTTATAATTCTTTCACTTTTTTCGGTCACACATGTGTAATTTTATCGTAGTTTTACATTATTTCGGTCATTCCGCCATTCTCTTGAAATCAAAAAATACTTGCATTTTTCCACTCGTCCTACTCGCATGTTTCGTAAATCCATAATGGACGTTACGGATACACGGAATATTGAAATATTTTTCTCGAGTGGCTGCAGTGCGTAAAACGAAAGTATAGTATTTTGTTTGTGTTTCGAAAAGAAATATCTATTTTATAAATTGCAGTGGATGAAACCAATGTATTTGCGGACCTCGAACGTACATGATCGTGTCGATTTCCCGATGTTTCCCATCGTGTGACGTACGGGTACGCGTCCCGTTTATAATATATCGGTTGTTGGACAGTGACAGAGGTGCGTTTTGTATTGTGGGGGTGTAGAGGAAGAGATTATCGTATAAGCCGTCGGCCATGATGGCGTAAAACATATATTATAGTAAATTGTAGTGCACCCAAAAAGCGGATACACCGCACACATCCGGTCGGATGGGAAATCCGTGTTCGGCTCACCTATGTAGGATCGCGGGCCGGTGCCGTAAGGCATGTACGCGACCGTGAGTTGCTCGGGAAACCGATCCGGCCGGAACGCTTCGGGGGCGGCAAAGTGTCTGCCGTCGTGATGGAACGCGTGCACCGGCACCACTACCAGCGTGTCGGTCTCTAGCGTACTGGCGCGGCCGCCGCTCCCGGGTGGCAACGTGTACGGTTTGGTGGTTACCCGGCGAACCACGGGCACCAACGGATACTTTCGCAACGTTTCTGTGGACGGATAAAATAATACATTTAAGACGTAAGATCAAAAAAAAAATAAAAAATAAATAGATAAATAAACAGTACATTCGGGCATAATTTGAGGAAGGCAATACAGCTGATGAAAAAAATATACTATGATGTGTGATTTAGTTTAAATTATCAGGGTGACGATGAAATATCAATGTAACTAAATTTAAACTTTGTCGTCCTTAATTCTCTCTAAAAAAAAACCCCTGCAAATATATCGTAAAAATATGTTATTTGACCTTCCGAAAAATCCAAAACAACGCACATATAAAACGCATCGATATTTTTTTCCTTTTTAAAATATATATTTTTTTTGCACATCAGTTTTAATAGTTAAGTACTGAATGGGGTAATTATCGGTGACGTAAATGTAATTAATTTAATGGACCGCAATATTATCTTCCATTTTCGACTCGCGATCTGCAAAAAATGTCGACTTCGCTATACGAATACTTTTAAATATAATTACCACTGTCCGATTTAATATTTAATTTTTTTTAAACTAAACGTCGAATTTCCGTTGAGAAAATTAATTCCGGGTTCTATACGAATATTTTGTAGCCACGTTAAATGCCTTAAAAAAAAAAAAACGTCTACAAAACGGAGGAAAAAAAAATTGTAAATACTAGGTCAACTTCAATGCATAAACTTGACACGGATATATGATAAATGAAAAAATAAAAAAAACTATTAAAAAACTGTATTAAAATCTTAACCCAAATTAAATAGTTTCTATGTAAGTATTTAATTGGATAATTGGATAGCTGAGTATTTACAAGTTGAAAAGTTAAAAAAGTTACAATTGTAACATAGCTTTTTTATCTTTGATTTATTATTAACTTCACTTATTTTTTTTACATAAACTTAATATACAACGAGTTATTTTGAATCGTATCCATCGCATAGACAATACATTATTTTGTAGGTAATTCATAATATGGAGTTTCGAATTTAGAATAAGTATAGTTTGATTATTCTTTTTTCAAAAATAATCATTAAAAATAACAAAACAAAATTTACTTCAGTTATTAAGTATACACATTTTTTAAATTAAAATTTAACTTCATTTAGATTAGCAATATTAAACAATTAACTTTTAACGTAGTAACTCGTTAACTTATTTTCAATTGAGTTAATATATAGTTAATATTATTTTTTAACTTTCCATGCAGCCTTGGGTATTTGGTTACAATTATTATTATATCATTACGGTTTTATTTTTCAACCGAAATATTTACGAGTATATTAAAAAGAGGTAACACTTTGTCTATACATTTTTTAAAAGTTTAATAATTAAAATTTGTTTAAAAAAAATATGTTTTATTTTTCATAGGATTTAAACAATATCATTTTGAATTTAACATGGCATAGAATAAAAGTAAACAATAGAATTGAGTGAAAAAAAAAATATATATATATATTATGCGTTATCAATAATACATTTGTCGTATTTTGTTTCAACGAACTGGTATAATTTAAATATTTTTTTTTTTTTTCTAATTAAAAACTGATCAATTCGTATTCTATAGGTAGTATGTAAAAGTACGTAGCTTTGTAGTTGTGTAATAATATTAGGTTATTGAAATTGATTCATCAGATTTCAAATGGTTGCATTATGGTTAACATATAAACTTTATAGTCTATCTTATCGAATTGTTTACTAATCAATAGAGTGAAATCTCAAGTATTAGAATGACATTAGTGAATTTCATTGGCATTATCATTTATGGTCTTAAGTTAGTCACCGGTCAACACCAAGTGATTTTTCAAAATATAAATCGGTAAAAACAGTGCAGCGCGATTTTCCTAGTCGTCATGTGGGATCGATGAATCTATGGCTCAATGAATCCATCAATGATATTAGCAGTTTGAAAAAATTGGGTGTTTGTGCAAAGGAAAGCACAAGACGACCTCGGTTAATGCACGAAAAATATTAGTGACCAATGGAAGCCACGTATAGAAATATGTATGTGTACCGTTAACTAAATTCCAATTTATCGTTCTTTAATTTAACGTACCTATCACATATTTGTACATTACTGTAAACGTAAAAACTGAAAATATTCCAGTATTTCAAATCGGATGAATAATCCTGTATAATTTTATTTGAATCAAACGAGAGGTTTGTTTCCATACCTACAGAATACATGCATTTTTTTTTTTTTTGTAAAAATAAAGAATATTTTTATAATATTGTGCTTCATAACTTTTTATTTTCAAATTTAATTAACCAAATGTTTGTATAAGGTTATATTATTTTAATGGAGTCGTGTTTGTTCAACAATAATGTATAGGTATACCATTCAATTTGCATTTATATAATTTACACTTGGTGAAATAATAAAAAAAAAAAAACTAGGACTTTTATCCCAGTAAATACATTTTTAAACTCGAAAACCGCATTATGCTCATAATCGCACTCCATTAAACAAGAATTTTATAGTGTATATTATATATTATCATTGTCCTATATTATGCTTGGTAGATTTAAAAAAAAAAAAAAAAAATTAGTCATTCCGAAGTACTTATAATTCGTTTTTTATTTCCTAAGACTTAATTTATTTATTAAAAAAAAGTCGCCGCGGAAAGAAGTACAGGGGTAATTTTGTTTTAAATATTGAAATCAACGAATTGATATTATTATCATAGCGTTCAAAAAACTGTTATTCTGCAGAGTAGATTTCGTGGAATTAAAATGACAATGACGACGCCTTGAATTACATTATTACCCTATTATTTTTTTTTCCCCCCAGGTCGTTTTTTTAGTAATTATTTTCAACTGTTAAATCATAATGAGATATTAAAAAGCAAAATTCAGTTTTAGTTTTTTTTTTTTCTGTGTGTGCGTGTGTTTTTTAATTGCCCATCATTATATCAATAATTGAATTTCCGAATAAAATTTGTTCAGCATATTTTCTTTTCTGAAAAGTGATGAAAAAAAAATGGTTTTTCAATATTGTTTTTAATTTGTTCGACACCGTTACTATACGAAGAAAGCTATTCAAATGTGAAAATACGAAATTATCAGATTTCAAAAAAAAATTTTTTTTGTATCAGTGACATTGAAAAAATAAAAACTTTGCACTGTCCTCTATTTTTTTGTGTTTTAAAATTAAAATTTCATTTTTTTTGTATTGTCTTTTCTAGTCACTTTTTGGAAATTGTTATAGAAATAGAAACGTTTGGCCGTAATACTTATTACATTTATATATAGGTATTTATCAAGAACTAAAAAGTCATTAAATATTATATGTATGTACATAAAAGAGAAATTGAATAATAAAATACTCGTTATGTTATTAACGTGGAACTCATTTCTGTATACACGGTGATTATTTTACCAAAAACCAGCGATTATCTCTTAGGATTTCTAGTAAATTCGATTATGGTTTTCATTCGTTGCCAAATCGTTTAGTAACTTAGTTTGAAATATTTGAAAAAAATGTTCGGCGACACACAGTTTAGCACTAAGATCCGAATAGTTTATGCATGGTAGGTACGTCATGTAAATTGTTCTATAATATCCGAAAAAAAAAAAAAAAAATCTAAAATCAATTTTACCGAAAACCGTTGTAAACATAGCATAAATACTTGCAAAGTCTTTTGAAATTGTTGGGAATGATAGGATTAATGACATCAAAGTGTTAATTGTTTGACGGAGTTTAACAAATTGAGTCGTAGAGAGCGTAAAATATAATCGAATGTCGAAGGAGGAGAAAATGTTATCCGATGTTTAATGCGGGTCCGGCGGGGCTTTAAAATGTCCTGCGTCTACCGCTACTTTAAACTTTAACTTTACAATGGAGAATAATAATTAACGATTTATATCAACACACGCTAAACGTCACCGTCGCGTGTCGTCTCAATGTTTACTGCTATTTCACAAAAACCAACTCCAGCTATTAACCCTCGGTGCAAGTATATAGTGAGTTTATATTCAAAGTGTTCTCCAGTCGGTTATGTTCTTTAAAAAAGGAAATAAAAGGTTAAAAGCATTTTTTAAAAAATATAGTTTAAACAGCGGCATTTTTTTTTTTTTTTATAAACGGGAATAGTTTTAAATTTATATTTCAAAACGAATTTGGGAATATCTTCGAGTTGATAAATTTTTATTTTCATCTAATTCATAAATCTGTGTTAATAAAACATATACGCGACATTTGTATAAATATGAATATCCTCTTAGTAAGAAAAAAAAAACGAACGCTTATAAAATATCTAATTAACACTACGTATAGTTAAATTTCGATTTTCAGATATCCTCGTATTTTTTAACTATTTTTATTTTTATCGTAGAATTGTGTAATATATATTTAATTTCCACTTGTCAAAGCCATTATTTTCTTAAGCTTCTTGGGAATGTAGTGCAAATCAAAATTGTATAATTCCCGTACTTAAAAATCATAAAAAATAATGGATTTTTAATGAAATAAATGACAGGAATAGATTTAGATAATCGAATTTTAATAAATTAGGTTAGTAAGACACTGTAGGAGAACAACGCGAGGAAATGATTTAGGTTAAATTGATAAATATGGCCAGTTAAGTGATATTAGTGAGTTAGGTCTAAAATTACTTGATTTGGGTTTGGGGTATTGTAGGAAAAGGAATTATTAATGAATAATTTAAAGTAATGAGAAAAAAGCTACAGAACTCGAAGGCGAGAAATGTTAATTGTTATTTTTATTTTTTTGTTTTACCGTAAGATTTAGGTTGTTTCTAATTTGTTTTATACTCAAAAGTATATAGTTTTGCAATTATTATATTATATTTTATAGTTCGCCTTACTTGCATTTTAAAAATTGAACAAAAAACATTTTTTTTTTTTTAATGAAATTAAAACATTAACAAAACGGATATAATTTAGGAGTAATCTTTTAACTAGACTAACTTATAGCTTTATTTTTACTTTTTAATTTTATTAATAATTTTGCTAATTAATTACCTACTTTATACGAAACATTGAACTATATTTTTTGAAATTATATTTTCATTATGTTTTTATATGTATTATTGTCGATTATTCTCATCGTAAAACAAATTAATATCCTGTGTTATGAATAATTATTATTGCATATTGTCAGGAGTTATAACATACAACTAACCAAAATTTACGTGTGTCACTGTATAATGCTCATAATTAATATATTGTTGGCATAATATGTATGTAAATTTTTTGAAATTGTGGACAAATTAAAAGATAAACTATTTTAACGTTATAGTTACATAAAGACGTTTTTAGAGTCTGTATGTAGCACGAAGAAGTAATTAGTTTTACTACGACGTAGTTTTTTTTTAGAAAACACTTTCGGTCAGTATTAAATTGCTCTAGTTTTTTCATGTTATCCCTTGAAATATGCGGAATTTTTGACCCGCACTCAGTAGGATAGAATGAAATATAGCTCGTTAAAGGAGTTTTAAAAATGTTGAAAAATTCCGAAAAAAATAAATATCTATATTATAATAGACTACTTATTGGTGGTGATTGATTGAGTGACATTTATTTAATAATAAACAATCATCAGTAAATGACACAAACCGATTGATCACGCTTGTACACTGTACACACACATGTTTTATTAAGTTTAGTTTGTATTATTACTAAACATAAAACCGACTTGAGTGCGTTTTTGGAATGTAATAATTATTTTTCTATATTTTTTTAAAACTTTCATACATCATACAAGTTGTATAATTATAATTTTAAAGGGGCAGAATAATATTTAAGTTATTTCAACGAAAAAATACCCGTGAGCAGCAAAGCTCTTTCATCAGAGTTGAATTTTTCCTCGGCTGATTTGTCACCTTTACAATAATTATTTTTTTTTTTTTTATAATTGATCTAAAATAGTTATGGTTTCTAGAGTTTTGTTACATTCTATAGTTTGTAGAGGTATTTAAACCCGGTAATTCCTATTACATATGCAATTTTAGCATAGAAATAGTTGGGCAAGAGGTCGCATGTTAAAAGTCACATTATATTGATCCTTCTACTAAGCATATACCAAATGTTATCCCCTTGGATTTATTTAAGGGGCCTGTAGGGGGCGAAAAGCTAAAAAAAACTACCATCTTCTCGCAACAACAAAGTGAAATTCATATTGATATTCAACCAAAATTGTATAATTTCAATAGATATGCCAATATATAAAATAAATATATAAATAAAAAAATGTGTATATAGAAATAAAAAATAAAAAAATGAATGAATGCATCGCCTGGAGTATTATGATATTCTATGTATACATTTTTTTTTTATATATTTATTTACGAGTATTAACCATTTTGATAATTTTGTTTTTACTTTATTATTTTAATTTCAAAATATAGAGGGGCTGCTCAAATTGTCCAATAATTGCGAGAAAAATATATATGTACACAGAGGTTTTTTTTTTATCATGGATGAACCAGACATTTTTTCGGAAGATTTTAAGCGAATTTGATTTCTGTTTTTTTTTTTTAATTTTAATTATTTTATTTATTGTTTATTTCTTCAAAAATATATATGGGCCCCACTGAACAGTTTCGTGTAAAGGCCCATGAGTTCACAATTTATAATAAGGTAATTAATACTTATACATTCATAATAATAATTTACATTTAACTTTTTTTTTACAATTTTAGAATTATTAAATGAAACTAATTTAAACATATCAAAGTACCTAGGTAACAATAATTAATACATGGAGACTTATGTATAATACGGTATGATAAAATATAAATGTAAACATCTTGGTTAAAGGTATAAAATATTTTAAGTTTTATACCTCGTCCATTCTGCAGCCAGTTCGTTATTATTTTTTTTAAATTATAAATTATAGAGTTGTTTTGATATCTAATGGTATATATAAGAGTAAGTACTATGTAAGTGGATTGAATTAGTTTTCTGTGCATTAAAAGTACAGCAATATTTGATAATTGTCTTAGGTTATAACCATGTTCAATACTAAGTGTTAGGTTATATTTTATTATATAAATTACTGATGCCTAATTGAAAAATCGTTTTAATGGTAGACCATTTAATTTTTTGTAAAGATATTGTGTGTGTTACAATTATTCTTTTTTAAAATAATTTTTATTATTCTAATTTGTATAATTTTCAATGCATTTAGTATTGTATCGTGAACACCTCCTTAAATAGTAATACCATAGTTAATTTTAGATTCTACTAGAGTTTGGTAAACAATTCTAATTTTTTTAAATTTAAATGTAAATTATGAGCTAAATTTTTGAAATCATAGACTATTTTTCTTAGTTTTATTGTTCTCTATTTTATGTGATCATGCTCACATAAAACATTTAAGGTTATGGCACAATTCAATGCCTAAGAATTTACACGATTTTACTATTTTTATTGAAGTTTTACATGTACACGATTTTGGATTTAAGCATTCGTGTTCGTAAATATACTGGTTACAAAAGCTGGATGGTTTGAATTAGTTATATAATTTGGTAATAAGTAAGTTTCATTTAAATTTATGAATATTATAAAATCGTTTACGCTTTATTTTAACACTATTTTCATTTTTACCTTTAGCCTTTATACCTGAAATAAGTATTCACTTTGTGTTTTCAAATAGCAATCTTCCCTTTTAAATCACATAATCAAATTCAAAATATTTTTCTAGAAATTTCAATAAGCATAACACTTAATAAATCAGATTTACTCTTTATAAATTGTTACAGTTTAAAATGTTGACTGGAAGAATAGAAAAGGGTGTTAAATTGTTTATCGATTTTTAAATAATTAATTGATAACCTTTTCCTAGGAGTGTTGCCATTTAAAAATCCAAAGTGAATACTCATTTCAGGTATAAAAATAATAAAGGGTAAACAATTTAGAAAAAACGTATAAAGTTTAAACAATTCCAAAATTATTAAAAACACAGAAATCAAGTTCACTTAAATTTCTCCTAGAAAATTGATGGCTCATGAAAAATATCACTCTGTATATATTACAGACACAATGTAGTGTAATAGTCACTATTTTCGAAAAAAAATCGACTAAAAAAGCTCGAATAAAACCGAAAAAAATAAATGTTTAATATATTTCAAAAACCCTCTTTTTTGCCCATGTCTAGGTTGAAAAATGCGTGGTTTTAAATAATTGCAGCTGCTGAGTAATTATTATTATGATTACTATTTTTTTAAATTATGAGGCTACCGCCCAAACTTTTTTTTATGACAATTGTTCAAGTACTACGCTTTTAGGTCACGTCATCTTGCGGTGTTTTAATAAGACCATCTAGATCTTTATACTATCATGATTATTTTATTTCCGTATACTTTCAAACTAATGAACATTATTGATTGATGAAAATTTGTATTGTTTAACGGTAATTAAATTTAAAGAAGAGTCGATATTGTTAATGGGCCGGTGTGCGTTTTTTGTAGGTGGAGAGTTTTGAATGTAAGATACATAGAGCTATTTAATATATAGGTATATTAAGGTAACAATAAGTAATTCCTAACGAAATACGGTTCTGAGCGAAGTTTGGTTAAATAATGTGTTTTGACATATTTCCATGCCGATTTTTAAGATTTCCATTCAAATTTTAAATTCAAACGCATATAAAAATAGAAAACCTACTACATTACGCCTAATTTACTTTTTTTTAATACCAAGTACAGTTTGTGATTAAGCTCTTATAATTTTTTCAAACATTTCTGTTCGTCCAAACAATTTCATCCACATTAAATCAATCAAAAATCGAAAATAATGAAACTGTTATTTTCGTTAGCTTTCATATTTTTCATACGATTTTTTCCAGTTGGTATTCAGAAAACTGAAATGAAAAATTAATAAATTATGTACTCAATGCATCAACTTTATCCAGAATTCTATAAAAAAAAAAAATTCTCATGTCATTTTGGAGATTCTGAATAAATCATATTTTTTGAGTTAATAAACTTTTGATTTAGGTGTTTGATATGTGCGTATTATATTTTTTTTTTTTAAAATTATATTATTATATTATTCTTTTATTTTGATCGTGAACAAAAATAACGTGTGCGAGACAATAAACATTTATTTGACCAATCAATTCACCCACGACCCACCCATTAATTGTTTTTAATACAATACGTCCTAATTAAACATATCGTACTAATGTTAAATTTTTTCGAAAGAATATTTATTATTCATGACATTATCAATTTGGGAATTTTTAAAACCCTACTATTTCCTACACCGTCTTTTATGTTGTCATATTTTGTTTTTTAATTCAAAGTAAACGTTCAATTTTCCTTGCCTAAATTATGATAAAATGATAACACTGCTGTTTTTAATGATTATATAACACATTTTTCCGTTTCACCTGATAAAAATTAAATTGCACTGAAAATTCGACGATACGGATTAAAAACAGTTATCGAATTTATGAATAAATACATGCAAGTTTTATTATTCTAGAATAAATTATTGCAGAGTAATCTTTATGTAATGTAGTGGGGTTAGATCAATCACATAAAAATAAAATAGATTTTAACTGAAATTTCATACTTTTATTTATAATTTAGACGTTATTTGTTTTTATTATTGAGGACATACAATCCTAAGATTAACAAGAGAAATTTTATTAACGATACTAATGAAGCATTAGATGTGACATTGCTGAATATAGTTAATAAAGTGCTTTCCATCTGGAAAGATTCTGTGCAGTGTAATATTTCTTATAGTAAATAATTCTTTACATAATACATTTTTAATTTTTATTTACATACATATATTAATTCTCTAGGGACTCTGAACAATAAATGTTATTATTTGTTAATTAGTTTGTTTTTATTTCTGCATTTTAGATAATTTTTACTTTTGTTAGATAACTGTTAAGGCATGAAGCTTAAATAAACTTCGTATTATGTTTAATGCATCTAAAAAAATATATTTTATTAAGTACCAATATATCTACCGTTTTTATTTGTCTTATAATGATAATTATACCTTTATTATATTAGTTAAGCACTCTTTTGAATACCGATCATATTTATCCCAAAACTTAAAAACTAAACAACTCAAAAATTACTGATCAGATTTTTTTAATAGAGCGATATTGGTCATTTTTGTGAATGTACCCAAATTTGTATGAGTTTTCAAGTTAGTGATGAACAGGAGATGAGTTTGATCAATATTTAAATTAGTTAAAATTAATATATAAATATTGGTTTAAGAAATAATCCGTTGAAGGTATAATATAATAGTTAATACTTATTAATAATTTTAGTTTTATTTATTTAAGTTGGTCATTAGTACAATAAGAATAAAACCTACAAAAAATTGAAAATTAGGATCAAACAAATCCTATTCATCTCTCTTTAAGGTGTTCGAAATTAATTTTATTATTGATTAAATATTATTTTAGCATTCACGAAATTGGTGATTTTATAATTAATTGTATTTCTGTTTTTGTTTTTGATTCTGATTCAATATTACTACTCCGTCGTCTCTCTCTCTCTCTCTCTCTCCCTCTCTCTCTGTATTTATACTTTTTGTTTAATTCTCGAAACACATATATTCGGAAGATGTACAACTGTTGTTTGTTTTGTCCATTAAGAATTGAGATGGAGCCAGAAGAAATTCCGGGACGAAACAGGCGTTATGAATCAAAAAATAAAAATCGTATTTGTCCCTCGCGGGAAGACATACCTAGAAAAACATAACAGCGAATGGCTACTGCTGCAGCAATATTGCTGCCACGCATTATATAAATTCTCGTAGAACGGAACGTTATATTTTATTCGCGCAAGAAAAATAAAATTTAAAACATATATGGTATACCGCAGGATGTACGCGCACTAGGGTTCGTGGTTTTTCTTTTCTTCATATAATATCGATTTGTAACATCGAGATTAAATAATAGTTATAGCAAAGCTTCTATATATATATACACCTGTTACATTATTATTAAGTTATTTTTTTCGAATTTAGCCTCTTAAATGTACTTATACTTTCGTTGTGCAACGTTCACGTTAGACAATTTGTTGTGATATTCAAATTCTACGGATCGAGTTTATTGTCTGTAATTTGTACACATTTGTTTTTTTTTTTTGCTCTTTATTTATTCCAAATTAGTGTTTTTTTTTGGTAATGATTTATTGTAGTAGTATATAAACTATAAATTACCTTGTTTGTCTACTTCCCAATTATTCGCCTACAACAGTGACTGCCTGTGAGCAGTATCAACTATATTTGTTGTCGGAGGATTTTCTCGTCAATAATTTCATGTTTATTTTTAAACGATATTTTAAATTAATTCAATTTTTTACAATTATTAATTATTCAATGCACATCTATTTGAAATCATTCTAATCTTATTTGAACAGTGCAAAAAGTGTTTTCGAAAAAATATAACTAATACAATTTTAATAGTTTTGAATAATGTTTAGTGATTATTTTTTTGTAGTTTTCGGTCATTAACACATTTTTTTGTCATCAGCATTCTCCTATCTAATATTACGAGCCATAAATCATAATATACTTAGAAATACCTGTGCTTCTAGTATGTATAAATACTGGAGTTTTAAAATAAAATTGTACAAATATTTCGCGAATTATTTTATTAGTCACGCATAGTTATATTACAGAAATCGAATAAAGTATTTTCTACTTTCACTCATACGCAACATTGACTTACTAATAACGATTTCCTACTACTATACTGGTCATGTATACAAACTCGTATAGAACGAAATATGTATGACTTTTTGGTCATTGACAATATAATATACAGTAATATACGTTATAAAAATAATCCAATTCTATTTCGTCGTCTTCTTATAAAATATATAGTATAATAATAATACTCTATACAAAAAATATAAAAATGTGAAAATGTGTTCGGTGTACATTTTGGGATATTTTGTATACCTAACAACAAACGATTCTGAATAAATGCTGGATAAATTTATTTAGATAAACTTAAATTGAAACAATATTTATTTGTAACTATAAAATAAATTGAAATTCGTCCATGTTTATATATCTTAAAATGTTTAGTATTTCTATGAAGTAAAATAATTTGTATCCACATAAATGGAAAAAAAAGTTTGCAAAACACAGTGTTTAAAATTTCCATTAACTTTTGGATTATTTTCGAAGAGTACAATTATTTTATCCAAATTAACCAACAAATAATGAAAAAACATAGCTAAAACTCAGAAAACGACTAAATTTTATGAAAATAATTATACCGCGTTTTAGATTTAATAGAAGTGTTTATATAATATGCATTCGATAAGAATTCCAAGTCACTATAGTAATCAAAATCAATAATAACAGAAACCGTTATTGCGTACATTTTTTAGTCATTCCGACATTGTTTTTCTCCGTTTTTCACCAATTATTGAGGAAACTTCAAAGAAAATTAAAAAATAGTTCTTCTCATTGCACCAACCAGACAAAATTTGTTACCAGAAACCATCCTTGGAGTTGACGATTTCTGGTAGCACACGTTACATATTAAAACATTATTATTTAAATTTTTCAATATGCTCAGAATCCAAAACTTTTTTTTTTCTCATGCAACACACAGTGTCGGTATAATATGTTCAAAAGAAATCAGACGAATCGAATACAATTTATATAATATTAAAATGAAAATGTATAAAAATAACTCATATTTTCTGCGTGATTACCGGGAAAAAAAAAAATTATTTTTTAGTATTTATAAAAACGTGTACATTAAAAAAAAAAAAAACCGCTGTCAGTGTTTTGGACATGAAATTATTTGAACATTTTATTTTAATTTTTAACATATTATTTATTTACATTGACTTCACTTATTACAGAGTTTTAAATGATAGGTATAATACCGAGTTTGTAGGGTTTATATGGTTTATATGGTAGTTTATAGTATATGGTATATGTTATATGCAATCTATTTGGTATCGTGTTTTTCTTTTCTGTCGTGTATACATTGTATTGTAAAATTTCCCATTGATGACAATCTATACAGTTTATACCTACATACATATTACATACTATTAATATTTAATAGAAAAAAAAAAAAAAAAACAATCACTTATTTATATATTTTTATGGAAAAAAAAAACACGCTCGGTATCTACATAAATTGTTATGATTATCAGAACAATATAATTCTGTGAATCCCAACACTTCAACAGTAAACATTACAATATAAATTAGGTTTGCGAAAGTAAAGAAATATTCGTATTTTTTAAATTTTTTTATATGAATTTTACGAGCCGACAATATTACAATTTTTACGAATCTCATTAAAATATAATAATAATATTCATTATTTATTTATTTATTAATAATATTTCCGGTGTTTCAATAGGTAAATATATTTATTAAATTCTGAGCGGAGCTTTATTTACAATGATGTTTTTTTTTTTCTGTGAACAATTTTTCCATCAGAATGTTTGCTCCGATTTTCAAGTGTACCATTTTTTCTGAATGAACATTTTACTGAGGTGATACTTTAAGCAGGCCATTTTATGATTTTTTTCATGGGTTTTCATAAATAACCGGGAAAATCTACGAAGCGTATTATTTTCAAACCGTAAAAATTACGGCCTTTCAAAACATGTGTAACCGAACTACACTCCGCTCATATTTCATTAGCGAAGATTAATTATTGTGTACAGATATATATATATATACAATTTTCTCTCTACTTTCACAACTTTACACCTACAACAGTGACCGATGGGTTACTATCGTGCGAAATTTGTCTGTATCTTTTTTAATATTAAATACGCGTATACTTTTTGTAAACCGTGAATGTTTTAGAAAAATAAGAAGCAAATAATTATAATTGATATATTTCGGATGAATAGATAAATTTAAAAAAAATAAGAATAAATAAATAATGTACCAAGTGTACTAGATTAGGGTACAGCAAAGTGGGGGAAACTAAACAGGTCTTAGTGAAGAGAAGAAGTCTTCAAGAAGCTATAGGTTTAAAACATTGAAAAAATTAAAAACAAAACAAAAAAACGACTCACAAATAATATTGTTTCTAAATAATTCTAGGTATAAATTCCCTTGGGATAGATTACACATAGCAATTTTTATTTGTTTGATAGAAGGTAATTTATTAAAACTGCCTCCGAAATTTCGGATCTGAATTCGCTTATGACCGCTAGGGTTTTAATTAATATTATCATTGTATTGTTATGATAACAGGGAAATCGTTATAGAAAGCGGATGATGTGCGATTGTTGATGTGTTTAGCCACGGTAGGTGAGTTTTGTTTATTTCGTGCAACCGATAATAAAATACCGTGTTCTCAATATTGTGTTATAATCCCTCGAGGCTTGATTATTTTAGGTTAACCGTGTTATCCGGGTAACTGTCGATTGGTCTCGAGACCGAAAATTCAGATCGAAAATGTATAAATGGCGTAGTGAAAAAAAAAAACGATTAAATTACGCGAAATGTAGTCGATAGATTTCGGCATGAAATAATACTTTTAATGGTTATAGTGTTCTACAGCTCAATTCAACTTTCCAAAAAAAAAAAAATTTAAAAAATTTAAAACAACATTCAAAATTCTAAGCACTAATAATTATTTTAAGAAACTCGTTATATTTTTTACGTTAATTGGTTTTTATTAATTTAATTTTATATAACTATAATAATCATGGTAATATTAAAATATCAAATATTTATATCATAAAAATAATTATAAAAATTAGCTGAACAAATCGCCACCATCGGATACTCTTGAAATGTTTAACAAAATACTTCTTAATGTGGATGCATTAAAAAAAATTAAAAAATTAATAACAATAACAAATAAAAAATTGTAATAAATCCATTATTAAGGTATGAAAATAAAAAATATAATGGCTATAGTCATTGCGATTTTTCATATAAATCAGTATTTATATAGGAGTTTGACACGGAATTCTATAGTCAAAAATAATATGGTACGATAATACGGCGTCTATTGAAATCGTATAATTTATTTTATTGTTCGTCCAGCCGAAATAAAGAATATTATCGTTTTAACGGCATGTAATGTTTTCAATGGTTTACTATGTATATTATTATTACAATGTTTTATTTTCGACGAGATTTAAAACTTTATAGGCATATTAGGTACCGCACACGGCGATACTACAAAATTATTCATAAAGCCGAGCAATTTATTGGATTTTATACAAAGTTGGTCTAGGATTAGAAACTGAAGTTATTTATTTATGACGAAGTAAACACACCTTAAAACTAAATCTGTGTGTAAGAAAAAAATAATAATGATAATAATAATAATAATAATAATAAAAACGCGTAATTAACAATTTTGTTTTTAGATTCGGAACGTGGCGAGAGATCTATTGGTTTTACTATAATGTGGGTTTTTGTATTTTATTAATATTATTATTTTTTTTTCGTGTCAGTAAACAACTTTTCTACCAGAAAACTTGCTCCAAATTGTAGACTGGTGTAGTGTAGTGTAGTGTAACCTTCGAAATAATCGGGGAAAACCCGAAAAAAAATTATGGGTATGACGGAAAATATTTACGGCACTGTGGCGTTACCGTTTTCATTGATTTGATTATGTTAACATACGAAGTTTTCTATCAGAAATATTGCTCCAATCAAAAAACGAAAAGATCGATTTTGCTTCTTATAATATTTCCCCACTGACAGAGTTATTTAGTGTCAACAATTTTTAAGTATATTTTATAACAATTGGGAAAAACCAAAAAGACGAGATATACGATTTTTTTCATATTGATACATAACGGTTTCATTATTTTAAATTTTTACTGCTTATGTTTTCTACCATATATATTGTTCCAATAGATAAACAGCAAATGCAATTTTTTGGTTGTATTTCTTATTTAATTGGTGACTAAGAAAGTCGGTTTTTGATTTTATTTCTAGTTTTTTTAATGATTGAGCAAAACCAAAACAAAAAAAAATACATAGAAATAACGAGAAATTTCACGAAAATAACGCTTATATTATTTTAAATTTTGTTTATTCAATGTTATTCAGGTTAAAATATTCGCAGGGACAGTGTTTACAGAAAATCTATATTTACTTTTTCTAGATGTGGTCAACCTTTCAGAATATTTATTTAGTAGGTGTTAGATAAATTGTTAGACTTAACATAAATACTTGGAAATTTGAAAAAAATGTTCATTATAAGTTGTAGTTAGTGGTAAAAAAAAAGATAATAATAGTAATATACATTTTTTTTTTTATAAGAGTTTAAAAATCAAATTTTGACGAAAGTCATAAATATTATTAACAGAACTTCTCTCCGAATAGTTTTTTGTTATTAATGGTTTTTTGCTAGTTACAGGTATAAATTAAATACATTTATGTATCTCACCTTCCCCACTACCCACCTACAACAGTGGCTTCGCCCGTCCCCTGTATCAACTCTTTTTTTTTGGATATTTTTCTGCGTGTTTATTTATATATGTATATAATGTATATGAATAATACTAATAGCTAACGTATTTTTTTTATATTTGAGTTTAACGACCCGAAGAGCTTATAATGGTTTGAGCTATTTCTTGTTTACTATATTTTAAGTAAGTACCTACCGTATTCGAAAAAAACTACAGTATGACCATAAAAACTGAAAAAATAATTTTATTTTTAACGAGATTTCAGATTTGGACAAAATCTGAGAGATCCGAATGCAGATATTTGAAATGCTTAATGTAATTTATACATGTGACTGGGATTAGTATTTTTTTTTTCTGCGTTCTCTTGGTTATACACATTCAGTAATCTACCATCATTAGATGACAGAAATTCACCCTTAGTAGTTTTTATTTGTGACGATTTTTCAAAAATGTATTAATTTTATTCAAACTATAATACCCTATATTCCATATCATATCGGATAAAAATTAGGTTAGGTTAGGTTTGACGAGGTTTTCATAAACTTCTCTTACCTCTGAGTACATTTTCCAAGTACGACAATCGGTCCAATTGGTCTATGGTGATTTGCTGTTGGTGTTCGTCTAATACACCGTCCAAATGTTTCCGGAGTCGGTTTTGGAGGTTTTGGTCGAGGGCTAACTCGTACAACGTAGCCGTTACCAGTGCCGCCGTGGGTTCTATGGAGCCTGTTACGAATTCGAACATGTTTGATCTTACACGTTTGCTGTTGACATCTGTGAAAAAATGAAAATAAATGTAAACATTAATTAGCTCTTATGATAATGATATATAGTTCGAAGAGAAACGCCAACGGGAATTGTTATTTCCGTGGCTTTCAACAAAACGGATGTGACGGCGGCGGAAATACTATAATAATATTATCCCTTAATATGTTATTATTATTATATTTTCAAAAGAATTTCCATTTACACAAAATACGAAAAATATTGCTAAATGTACCACGAAAATGCGGTGGCTTGTCCAAAACTGTATTAGGGGTTGTGGGAAAACGTACACACCTGGCGATCGGCCAACATGTTATTTTATTTTGTTGTAGTATACCTATTTTAGAAGAAAGACGTGCGCGAACTGGACTTGCGGTTATTATAAATAATATTGTTAAAAAAATAGAAAAAAAAAAAAAATCTAAAATATAAGTATGTAAGTGTAAATTTAGTCAGAAGTTTGGTGTTGAAATCTAAAAAAAAGGTTTAATTTTACGTTTGCCTGTGAATAAAAATAATACAATATACTAATCACGTTTAAAGACCGTGTAATATGATATTGATAGCATGTGTTACTGATATTTTTAAAATTGTAATAAATTCAATATCGATATCGATAATATTCGATATTTAATATTTTTGTTTTGTTTTGCAGGTAAGACCAACATTTATGATATGCAAAAATAGGTTTACTATGGCAAAGCGAAATCCCCAATCGGTGAGTGTGTTCACGATAAGCTGACAATACGAATATATTACATTACCATCATTGAATTACGATGTTTTCTAATATACAAAATTATTCAGACGGATTATTATGAAATTCAAGCAGTTGGGCTTATTTTTCTTCCGATATGGCCATATCTATTATTATATTATACCTACTATAAATAATAACTACTATAAGTAATAACTTATTCCGTTTACTCAATCATTTAGATTTTCTATTATTCAAACGACTCTCTTATTTTACCTTGTTAGTTAGTGTCCAAAAATGTCTTCCGAACGGCCTTACCTTTTGTCTATTTTTAATTCATCCAACAATGACAGTATATTTTTTCTCTTATCAAAACTCTAAATTCATTTACTCTATATTTTTATCCTTTTTCGACCGTTCACGGGGCTTTTTATTTATTATTTTTTAACTTCTTGCGCGTCGACTTTATGCATGTTTGATTAGTTACTCATATCCTCGTCCTTCACATCTCCCTATCTATCACGATTTCATTTTAAACTTCTATGTTTTTCCCCAATAACTTCAAGCAAAATTTTCTTTGCCCTTTCCCTAATCTCATAGCCTTCTTCCTTCATTTAACTCGTTTATACCTCCTTGATTATTTCTTATTCTTTTCATAATATCATAGCCTATTTTCTCTCTCGTTTTCCCACCTGCACCCGATATTGACCGAAGACTACTCGATTTGATTTGATTGAATTCCTATATAATCCTATATCTGACCTGATTATATCACATATTCTAATTTCTGATATTTTAATTTAAATTTTATCTCTTTTAACTATAATCTAGTACAGTAGTACTTAGTTTATATTTGTTTGTCAAAATACGTACTTATTCAAATATAAGAGGATGAATTTTTATTTTTTATTTTTTAGTGCTTTGTCAAGAAATATGCGCATCTTATATTATATGACTGATAATAATGCGTTTTAATAACAGTTGTAGCAAAGTATAACACCAACAACGAGAAAGAATTGTTTTTGATTTACAAAATAATGTAAATCGTAACCAATTGGCTTTGCAATAATAATAAAAAAAAAAAAACCCCATTTTTACAACGAACCCCGTAAAAGTACTGTTTAACTACCTACAACTATATTATAAAACACGCGTATACACATTTTTTGTTGTTTTTGTGATGTGAACTCGTTTAAACTTTTTTTTCTGTTGCCTTTTACGGCTCGGTCAAGACGGATTTTGACGAGAATATGTAGCAGCACTATCGTAACGCTCTTTTTTAGTTAATGAAAAAAATTTGAATATTTTAATGAATACAAACGCAAAACTATTGTTTATGACGGGGTAAATACAATGCCCCTTAACAAGGGTACTTAACTTTTCAAAAATTTTTAAAACACTTATATTTGATACGCGCCACGTTGTATTTTTTTAATGTTCTTTTATTATCGTTATTATGTATTATTATTATTATTATTATTATTATTATTACTACTGGCTGGTGTACCTATACCTATATTATTATTTCTATTACTAATATACTCATAATTTGACGTAATAAAGAAACTTACGAGTTTATTATTCGAAAATATCGCGTTATGACTTAATTTTCGTGTTCGGCTTATTTACTTGTGGCGTGTAAAAAGTTTCCGTACTGGCTTAAAATAGTACAGGGTGATTATTTTATCCAGTGATTATTATCCATCACAATGAGAAATTTGATTTTGATTTTTGCAGGCCTTATATAGAATATCTTATATTTACAGTATTTTAAAAAATATTACACTTTTTATTCCATGCAGTACTATAAATATCACATAATATATGATATTGATAAATGAATTTGGATTCGAATACGTAAATAAGAAGTATAATAATATATTACTTAAAAATTTTAAACTTTTATAGTCGAGGTTTTTACGATAATAGAATCGAAATTTATATTAAAATATATTCTGTTTTCGAATGTGAAAAACGTTGGTTACTATTTAAAAATCGAATGTCGATTTGTTTGTATGTTAATAAATGTAATAGGAGGGTAATTTCTTGAAAATATTACAGATAATGCAAGATCATTAAACTATAGTACTATAATGTTGTAATATTAGAGTATATATTCGAAGTACAAAAAGTAAAAAAAATACTTCAAAGAGCACAAAGACTATTAAATGAAAATTTCTTGTCTTACACAGTAGAAAAACAATTTATAACAGACGTCGCTTCTATTGGTTCAGTAGAAAAGAAGTAATAAATAAAAATATTTTTTCTCTATTTTCTTAATTACTGTTAGTTAATACGTAGATAATTAATGCTAAGTAAATTATATCATCATTTTTCAAAATAATTTTTAAATAATAATAAAAATAAAAATATTGGTTATTTTTGGTCAAAGATATGTCTAATGAGGACTTCAATTTACATTCTCNTTTAAAATGATAATTTTAATGGTTCATATTAGCATTATTGTCTTTTAATGTTATCTAAATAACTAAAAAAACGTTATCTGGGATTAGTATTTAAGTCATTATCTTTATCTTATATCTAGATAAAAATATTGGTTATTTTTGGTCAAAGATATGTCTAATGAGGACTTCAATTTACATTCTCCATCATTGACATTTTTATATTGAAATTCAACAATTTTAGTTTCTAAGCAGAGAGAGGAATATATTGGTTCTACAATGATGTTTTTTTTTTTTTTTATAACTACTGTATAAGATTTTTTTCTGAAATATTGCTCGAAAGTATCAAGGGTGGCAATATTTCTAAAGATAATTTTTTCTAGGGTGATTTAAGGAAATAATTTTTTGATTTTCTTAGAGGATTTCATAATAAATTAGAAAAACGTAGGAAAAACGGGGAAATTTATGAAAATAATGCTTTAATAAATTTAAATTTTCTTTTTTGTTGTATTGTTATTAATTTAGAAATATTTTTAGGGGTTTGACATTTGTACAGCAACCTTATATTTGCCTTTTGTACATGTGGTCAAATTTTCAAAATATTGTACCCATTTTTGAGCTATTTATAAACATTTAAATTTTACGGGTTTTCTTTACGTAATTTTTGTTCAGTAGGAGGTACTTTATGGATAATAAATATTTGACTAACAGAAATGTTAGAAAATTTAACAGAAGGATCATAATAATTGACTTTGTGGTCAACAAAAACAAAAATAAATTGAGTGTATTGTAGAATTTTTTTTTTATTTAAATTTTTCTATCAAAGTTTGAAAGAAACACTATTAACTGAACTCCGCTTTTTTCATAAGCACTGGTTAATCTTTGCGTAAAAATTTCAATTTCCCCTGTACCGTTCCAAATTCTCATCTACAACAGTAGCCCACCCATCGTATAAAGTATATCCGCCTCTTTTTTAATTGGAAGTAGTAGTTAGTAGTAGTAGTAGTAGTAGAAATATTAATAGTTGCTATGTACGATATAATATTGTAATATTTATAGTATTCGGTAATTTTATTGTTTTAAAATTACTATTTCTATTATAGTAAAAACGAACGAGCTCTGTACAGTTTACGGATGTTTTTCAATTGTAATTTAAAATACAAACAAACGAGTAAAAACCCACCAATATAGAAATGACTCCTATTATAGAAAACAATGTCCCGCTGTTTACAAGGTCTCGATATTATCGCGTGGTCGCCGCCGGAAGAAAAGAAACCTTGGAGATGAAAATAACAATTTTCGAATTTTGATAATAAACTGCGGCGTATTTTACGTTGTTTCCATGCGAAATGGTATGATAACATTATTTCCATTGATACGATTGTAATCGTGTCGTATTGTGTGACATTGCTGTTTGAGTAACCGAAAACCGTGTATTTTTTTCCCCCTACAATATGCACGTCTACAATATAATTATTGCAGTATGCGGGCCAAGCATCTAGGCGTGCGTGTTTTTGTGCGTGCGCTTTTGAACGAGTCACCACTACGCGTTCCTTTATATATTTTACGTACATTACGACAGCCGACAAATGTCTGGCTCGACGTTAATATGTTATACGATTATAATATGTTGCAATGATACCAAACCGGTCCGGAAGACGTCCATCGGTAATGCATTACGCGTTACACTAGACGAGTAGGTATGTCTAGTAGGAGCAGATTATGAAACTCTTTGAAACTTCAACGGAAATCTAGTGATTTCGCCGGGAATCAGCAATAAATAATTCCGGGCTGTCGGAACGAATTATACAAAAATATTATTTTAGATATAATTCCATGTGATGTCATAATAGTTGTCCAGCTTTCAAAGAACACGCATAATGTACCTATACAAGGTGATATATTTTTTATCACGAACCAACAATTATCTCAGAGGATTTTAAGTGACCTTGATTTCGGTTTTTTCATAATGGAATCGTTTAAGCTTTGTTTTAAAAACCATTTTCAATTTTTTACCCCAACTCCATGTACCTTAAATAATCGCATACTTTTGATTTTCCAATAGGAACCCATCCTTTTTGAATACTAATTTGAATAGAGAATATTATTCCTGAAATTAAGATATGCATCACATTAATATCAGATTTACCGTTTATGAATTAGAACAGTTTGAAGTTTAAACCGGAAGAGTAGGGCAGAGTAATAAATAAAGTCATTTAAAATACTCTGAGATAATTGCTGGTTCATAATAAAAAAAATCAAAATTATTAAATTTATTACATAGAGTTAACATTCGATTAACGGTGCGAACAGACAATAATAATGTTTGCAAGTAAGTACATAGAACGAAACCGTGGATCTTAACGTTGTGTTTGAACATTTATATTAATTGAAGCAATTTATAATTTCATGGTAATCCATTTTGGAATAGAGTAAGTTATAAAGCCATTATATAAGTCATTAAATTGTTTTTCTGAGTTCCAAATTTTCGATATTCAATTTTAAAGCTAATGATTACAAAGTTTGTCCAACATTGTTTATGTTATATGCTGGGATACGAACAAATCTATTTTCCATTCGTTGGGATTTTAATTTTGAACTTTAAGGTACTGAACGTCGCGGTCGTATTCATGAATTTACTGGTTTTACTAGGATATATGTTTTATTTTGATATTTTTTCCTATTTGTCATCATCATTTCGACCGGATTTGAGGATTCATCTCGATTAGGGAGAGGGAGACGTTATAATTCACACACACACACGCATAAACACACACTCACAGACGTATATTTACCAAGGTTTATTTTTTTTTTATTAGGATTCAATGAGAAATAATTGTATAGAGGTCTGACATTATTACTCAGTTTCACTTGGTTATCGTTTACATTGATTTATCATCGCTTTTGGTCGCAACAGACGCAGGCTATCCGTGATTCAACGTATGTCCGGATTTGTATTTTATTATTTGTTTTTTCATGATATTTTTTCTACAAACGAGATACGAATTACAGTGGAATTTCTATAGATAATGAATAATAATAATTATTAATTTAACGTGGGCGATATTATATCAATAATCGTGCCTATATATTATATTATACAGAAGCAAAACGTGATCACGTGTCACGTGGTAAGAGTTTTGTCGGAATTTCCGTTTTCGATACTGGTCGTCACAACTATTGGGTACAACTCGCGGTCAGAACCGGAAAACGTGTTTGGCCGAACACATTCGTTATTACCACGGCGTGATTCATAACATAATAATCTTATGTGGATACCAAGGTCGCGGTTTAAAAATGAAATTTAAATATTTATCATAACCGAATTAGTAGTAGTGGCGACATGGAATAGCGCATGAATTACCATATGTGATATTATTTATGATTATTAGAGATCGCCTTATGCATGCTATCGAAAAATAACCTTCAAAAAATATGTCCGTAAATAGAAATTTGAAAATAGCGAAAAATGAAAATAAAAGTTTTTACTTGTTATAGTAATAATGGTATTGTTATTTGTTTGAGTTGCGCATCACACCAGTTATAAGCTATTAGACGAAAAATAAAAAAAAAGGAGACGCGTTCTCGAAATCTCAAAACGAACGGTTGACAATCTGTGTCGATGAATAAGAGAATACCTAAAACCAATTCAAGCAAATTTCTCATTGGACAACATTTTTAATCGTTTAAATTGCATGCATTTTAATGCGTGGGTATGGTGTATAAATAAATAATAAAATTACCGTACTATACTAAAAAAAAAAAAAAAAATTTGCTTTAAAGTTAGAATAACTGCAAATAAATGCAAAATAAAAGCTTCATTCTTGATTTAATATTTCGCCTGTTGCGTTAGACGAACTACGTGTGTACCTATTTTTGGAAAGCGCCGGTCTCGGATCCGTCCCAACTTCGTCCAAAAAGAAAAATGTCGACATCGAAATTCGGGGGGGCCTAATAATTGTACAATACGGTTTGTAATAATGTAAAATAACGCGTTTTCTCGAGACCTCGGTTATAATACTCGTCAAAACCACTCGGCGTCCCGCGACTCTCGGTGCGGCGCGCGTAATATTATTATAATAATTTAGAACGATTATTATTCAGGATGAATACTAAACGACATGAAAATAATGCTTACTAAGCACTACACGCGCTTTGTCGGAATTAATTTCTGCGCGAGATAACTCGCCGGCCAAAATCGTATACAAATAATATTATTATTATTATTATTATTATTATCTCGCCGAGAATATTACAAAACTGCAAGCGCCCACGCCGTGTGTTATAATTCCGCGTCGTCGGATTCAAAAAGTGTATACTTTTAGATTGTGAGTGTAGTAAAAGAGCTGCAATTAGTTCTACTGTGGGATGCGCTTTTTTTCTTTTTCTCGGAAAACGCTTTTCCGGTTATTAAAAATGCTCCGGATATTCCCGTGCCAATACCTTAAAGTCCGACGAATTTCTGCCCAGCTTCACTTTACTTGAAACATTTTTTTTCGCAATTACCTGCAATACTTGTTCCAAAACATCGCGTAAAATGTTTTGTTTTTTTTTTGATAAGTGAAAATGCTTCGATTTATTATGATGTTTATAACGATTTTCGATATTTTCAACAGTTCACCTCTTATACAATTTCTAGATTCCCTACAATTTTTGTACTTAAATTTAAAAAACTAACACCAAATGTCGATAGGTACAGTTTATTTTTATTTTTTTATTTTTGGGTTTCTTTGGTTACAACAAAAAATTACACGGCTTTTACTACTACGATCAAAATCGGTTTTTGATTCTCCGTTCTAACTGACTGCTTGTCTTTCCTTTAAAATCGTTGACTCTTGCGTCATTTTTAATTTATAGTACATAAGAATTAATCAATCTACAACATATTATTATGGACACCTACAAGACTAGGGCAACAGCGATATGCGATGAACTCTTAATATTTTAGAGAAAACTATTAGCAAAGAATAAGCTAAGTCAATACATGCAGTCTTTATCAATAAGCCAAGTGGAAAGATACCAAGTGGTAGAATCCGTCAGAAAGAATAGATAGAAAGAGCACAGATTTGAAAAGTCTGGAAACGACGAGAAATGAAGATGCGGATATTCGATAATGACGAAGAGACCTGATAGAAACGGCAAAAGGTTTTCAGGGCCTGTAATCCTATGTACAAACAAACAAATATGTATATAATATAAGAGTTACCGGGTCGTCCTGGAATTATATACCTTTGAATCGTGTTCTCTACGTTTATAATGTTATATGCAGCTTTTCTACAATGTCTTAAGATATGTGTGATCATTTTTTATAACGTGTTGCTCCAACCGCTTTAATAAGCGTGTACCTTTTCCTATAAAAAAAATGGTTTGATTTTTTCTCTGACTACATCCAACTTATCTTTTACCATACGTCTCCAGCACCGCGTCTCTAGAGTTTCTAATATTTTTGTTTTCGGTATCATTTTACATGACCGACGTTTTATACATCCATTTTATGTTGGTACGCTTCAAATATAAATAAATATATGATATAATGTTACCGTACTATTTGTTATTATTTAGGTGCTTATCAAAAATTAGTTACACGACCAACAACCGCAAAAATTATAATAACCTCTAAATTATTTATCGAGTTTTCGTGAAAAATGCATAGTTAACACGCCAAATAAATTACAGGCAGGTACAGGTACACGAAACAACGACAGTTACAACATTATACCGCAGTATAGATTAATTTCCGTCACTTAATTATTTAACTAATTTTTGTGAAAAATACATACGTGTTTAAATTTCGAACACGTACGTACAATACTTACTAACGATTTTATCGCACGCCCTTTTATGTATTATTTGAAATTTATTATAAACAGCCAAAAACGTAATATAATAATTTAAATTACGAAAAATAAAACAATACAACTAACGACTAAATAGCATAGGAGGGGAAATAAAAAAAAACGTGTAACAAGATAAAAATAAATATAATTTGATAATATCTGCAAACTATAATTCGTATTACTATTACTTTTCTTTTTTTGTAAATTTCAAAAAAAACCAACGTTATTCGATAATAAAATATCGTTAGTCCAATATAATAATGCCGCGGTAAGCTTATAATAATATTATTATTATAAAGTTTATTCCTTCGTTCGCCTCCCCAAATGACCGAATGAGATTTACTAGGTAGATAAAAATATAATAATAACGAGTAACGATTTAAAAAAAAATAATAATAATAAGGCCACTAAGCGTTGAAACAAATTTGCGCAGACGTTGTTAATTATTAGTAATGCATTTTTAATGTCTAGGTGGTTTTTGTTGTAATTTATATAATAAATTATTGTGTTAATTTCCACACACGAAAACCGCACGATGTCAAACATATGAAAAAAAAAAACACAATTATTATTGTTATGAAACGGGAATCATTAATATTTTAATGAAACACGGAAATTGTTAAAAAATACAACAAAATGCATTAAAACATGGGAAAATTACCTAATAAGGGAAATCATATAAAATACAAATGTCAAAAGGCAACATAAAAACTTTTAATATGAGTTTTTTCTTCTCTTCTTCTTCTTATGTAGCTTTTATAATTCGTTTTTAATAAAGCTTTCGCTGCTTTCACTATTTCACGTTATCATTCCCTAATCTCAGTCCCTTCTATCCTTGTTCCTTGTTCACATTTTGGAGGGGAGTCATTAACGTAGTATCCATCCACCTTTATCTGGGTCGTGTCCCCATATTGCAGATCCAATTATTTCTTCAGGCACGACTGTCCATTCTACGCTTTTACTCCTGATAAATGTTTCAATATTTGAATAAAATCTGAGTTTACTGTTATACAATTGAGTGCACTATATATTCTATAATGAGCTAATAAGAAAAAAAAGAAGTATTTTGCTACGAAAATTCAACACTGCTATTGGCCAATGATTCAAAATCGTTTTTTGAATTACGAATACGATTGTTCTTCGCTTTCCTGCAAGTGTAAGATGCCATTCACCAACTTCACTAATTAACTAAATTATTCAAAAATGTCTAATATTAAATATATTTGTATCTCGTTTTTAAATATTTTTCACGAACAGTATTGACGAGTTGTACGCGTTTCAAATGCGGTGGCGTTTTTGAATTACGCATATTAAATGCGTACTCCCATATCTCCGAACAGCAATTTTGACTAAACGTACATTACATTTTAAATCCAGTTTTCGGTTGATTTATTAATACGTGCGTAGAAATTGAATCTAAAAAAAAAAAAAACGCATTTCTCTCGGTTATTCTACACATCCGCGAACAGTTTGTAGTGTTTCGCGGAGGGGAAAAACCATCACGTTGACAGTTTACCTAAGAGAGAGAGAAAAAAAATAATATGACAGACAGCCGAGAGAACGACGTAATCAAATTATAATAGGAACGCCTCGGCAAGCACGGCTTGGCGTGTAGCGTGTGCTGTTTTTTTTTTTCTCTCTTTTTGTTGAAAAATATTAATTTAACATTTGGTTAGGTATTCAAAAGAAGACAACCAGAACTAATAACTGTTTAAACGGCGCGCCGCCGTGTTCTTACGCCGACGTTGGTACGAAATTTAACACGCACCGCCTAAACAGTATTGTAATAATTGTCGTTTACACGTGTCTGTGTCACCCGTTCGCACTATTAGCCGCCGAGCATCGTACGCACGCAAACACTCGTTACACAAATTAATCTAGGAATCCCTAACTGACGTCGACCGGGATGACATCACAATAATAATGATAACGACCAATGGCGGATAATATATTTTATATTTGATGAAACCGGCAGATCGTGTCACGTGGCCGAACGTCGGTTTACTCGAACTGTCGAGTGTCCGAAAGCTCGTCTGTCCACAAGATCATACGTTTGAACGGCCGAAAAACATAACTGATACTAATGGCGTTTACAATCGAGGAAATACTTTATGAAATTTACCATTTCCTCTAAAGGAAAGCCCGACGGCAGACCGAATTGAAATACACGGAAAGATAATTTCGACGAATGTTTCGAATAAAATAACGCTAGCCTGAAATTTTGTATCGCTTGAGTTACCTACCGCGTGTGAACAAATCGTGGCATTTTTCTAATCAAAAAATTATTTGAAAAAAAAATAATGCCGAAGGATTTTTAAAATAATGTACCGTCAGCTAAAAAACCACATATTTTAACGCCAAAAAAAAGAATCGGAGAATTTTTATTAAACGTAAAATTATTTTCCGAGAACAAAAAAACACATCAGCTTTCTAAAAAGTGTAGCGTTTTTTTTTTTTTTTTAAACTCAGAATTTAAAATTTATTCATAAAGATGAAAATTAAAACTCAAGTAAACGCTTAAAAAAACTCTGATCTAATCTAACTCAATCGTTGTTATTTGACCAATTAACTTATGTTATTTTATAAAACTACACAACTAGTCGAGTTTATAATATATTCCAATGGAAACCCAGTCGACCCACGATCGATCGATTTTTCTCTTCTTCTTCTACTTCACCTCTTCTCCCATATATTTGGTATCGGCCACCTTGGTTCTCCACAACTTGACTCGGTCACCCAAGTTATTTCTACGCGCCGCCCCAGCAGTCCTTGTATGATTTATAATCTCGACGATAAAATCAATAGTTTACTGTTATATAGTTAGATCGAAATTTACATTATAATGTGTACAAAAATGAGTTTATTAACTTTTCAACGTCCATCGTTGATTATTATAAAGAAAAGCTGTTGAGGCGCGTTAAAGTTTTCGATTGGTTTCTCACCCCAAATCTAAATTAACCTATAAATTATTACGAACGTATAGCTCCGCAAAAATTACGCGGATATTATTGCCAAGGCGGCGAAATTGTTTACAACACGTGATATTATACTCGTACTTACTATAAAACAATATTATTCATCTTATACGCAAGAATATTATTATCTACAACATGATAAAAAAGACGTCTTAGAATAATGGAGACGGATATAGCCACTGTTATTGAAAATTTAATGTAGGCTTATAAACAACGATTAACCATTGTTTACGAAAAAACGATTCTGAACGGAGTTCGGTTGATAATGATGCTTTGTCAAAAATATATGTCATTTAACAGTAAAATAATTAAGTTTTATAGATTTTCTTTAATAATACTTGTTTGATATTGCGCCGATTTTCCCAGATTTCCTATGTTTTTCCCGGTTTTTCACATTTGCTGGGAAAATCAAAAAAATGGCCTCCCTAAAGTACCTCCCCACACCGATTTCATCAAAAAAGATGCGACGCTTAAAAATCTGAGCAAGTCTCTGGTAGTAAAGTTGTGCACAAATAAGAAAAAATAAAAATAAACATCTTTGTAAAACTAAAAGCTTCTTCGCTCCTCTCAGAATCTAAAACCGTTTAATTCTCAGGCCAATGATTATATTATGTTAAACATCGATCGTCGAATTTTTTTTCCCGGAGTAATATAGGTACTTATACTGATAATATTTTTACAACGCAACGCTGTAGTGACACTAACAATAATATTTCGCTTCCTATAGCTTCGTATACAAAGTAGAAAGAAAAAAACAATAAAAAATCGCCTAGAAACAATATTTTACATACTATAAACGGTCTCGTATACGTATTTACGTATTTAAAATATCGTGCCTCAGTTATAATTACTTGGAGATCGCGTTTTTTGAACAACGTCACTATAATATTACATTATAAAAAACTAACTAATTGCGATATTCTTGCGACATTGTATTGTCGACACACGCGAAATACTATAAAATACACACCTACCGAGTTTCTATCAATATTTTTACTACGGCGCCCCCCCCTCCCCAAACGAATATCCAATTTTTCAGAACGAACGTATATTTTATGTACACTTATTATATAGATAACCGTTAGAAATAAATATACCGACAATACGATATTCATGAAACATGAAACACGAATATTAATCATTCTTAAATGAAGATTCTCAATGGCTTTACCGTTGTTGCCGAGATTTTTACTATTTAGATTCCTTATTGATTGGATTTTTAATATGCAAACATATTTTCGCGACTCTAAATAATTAGTTCGTGACCCCCGGGTTGAGAAACACTAAGTTGTTTGTAACGTAAGTTGGTTGTGCGGGACTTTTTTTTTTTGTTTCCGGATTAAAAAAGTAGCCCGCGGCGGCGTCGTCGATGTATTTATTTATTTATTTTTTTTTTTTAATTCGATTTCCTCCGTTTTTCGGTCTATTCCTATATTCTTTGTACACCTGATGCCTACCAGAAACACAAAAATTCCGATCGGCAGCCTCCCGCCGCCGGCTATTCGGCGGTAGCGAATTTCAAAAATAACCGTACCATAGATCAAAGTAAATTATCTCCACGAGTTTTGCCCTGTATTATATTATTATGCGAGAAACAGATCCAACGGAATGTAATTAATATAGTTGATAGGTTTTATAATCCGAAATTATGGTTAAATAATCGAGTACTCAGAATCTATACATAGTGATTCACTAAGCGCGCTCACTCCATTTTGCGGTTGAATTTTGCGTAAAATTTTAATATTTTTTTTTATTGTAGTTAAAAAGCCAATATTTTCGATTACTTAGATTTTTGCGAACATTTGAGGAGTATCCTCTGGCGATATCAACTTTGGTTTTTCAAAAGAGAACTTATATTCAAAATTCCATAAATAGACGGTGTATTACTTTAAATAAATTTCGGTGTTGAAATGTTTGATTTCCGTCGACCCGAAGATTCTGAGTGGAGCGAGGAATGCATTGATTTACAATGATATTTATTTTTATAATTATTTTTTTTTTATCTGTGAACAACTTTTCACCCGGAGTTTTGCTCCGATTTCAAGTGTAGCACTTTTTCTGAAAAAACATTTTACTAAGGTGGTAATTTTCTTGTCATTTTTTTTGATTTTTCACGGGTTTTCGTAACAAATAGTGAAAACCGGGAAAAAACGTAGGAATAACGAAAACATGTATGAAATGTATTATTTTAAAATCGTAAATACTACGGATTTTTAAACCGTGTATAATAGAACTTCGCTCAGAAACGTTTTTCGTTAGCAACGATTAATCTTTGCGTACGGATATACATTAAATTTTCCCTCAACTTTCTTTACTCCTCATTTATAACAGTGGTGCACCTATTGTGCAAAGTATGTCCGTTGGTTTTGATTGACGGTTGTTCAAAACATAAACGTGTGAAAAAAAAAATACCAGACGAATTGTGTTTTAAATAGGTACAATAAAACGCACTAAAAACAAAAATAAAAAACCCAATCAAAGGCGTCAAAAAGAGCAGAATGCAAAGTTTCAGAACTAGATTCGTCGTTACACAACTCGACCTTTGTACGGAGAAACTTTAAAATGCGTATTACGATCAGCTATAAAAAATGCATTTATTATAAATTCACATTTCTGTGTTATATATATATATATATAAACAGTGATCCTTAATCACATTTTTTTCTTCCCAAGTACACGGCCAATTCAGTTTATAAATGTACTATAATGTAATATTGATATAGTAACGATACTTTTGCTAATGTAAAATAGGGTTGCGAGTTCAGCACCGAATGTTATTACTAGCGGAGAAAAAATCCATTTAAATTGCATGAAAAAAATTTACGGTTACCGTATTCGCAATTATTTACTATTTCGGTGCGCATTTTCGGTTTCGACACCAGGTTTCGGTCACAGTATTTTAATGCCCACCGTGTTATAACCTCGGTAGGTATAAACCGCCAACAGTAACAGACGATTTGTGTCTCACACAATATATCATTACCTCGTGGGATGCGAATCGTCAAAGTTAAGTAATGATGATTTATGTCCCTATAGACGTACAGTACACGTAACTTCTTGTAACCGCACAGTAGTCGTAGATGAATATCGTCACAGGAATGATAAAATACAGTTAAATCACTTGATATTGCTATTTTCAATAAAGCAATAAACCGAACCATTATATTGTCTATACATTTGAACTTGCACTCAAAAGGGGTACTTAATAAATAAACTTTTTAAAATGTACAACGTGTTTTTGATTTACGATTCGTATCAGTCGCGTACCATTTAATTACATAGGTATTTTCAAATATGCATATAAGTTATAATTTTATTCTGTAGGTAGGTTATCTGTTATGTGTTCATTAATCATGCCGCATCATGAAATTTAACTCGCCCATCTTTGGTCATATTTTATATTATTACTTACTTTTGGCGATTCATACCCGCCGAGGTCATGGTACATGTGGGGCACAAATCGCCCGTCACACCGGTGTTCCGAATAGGAAATAGGTTCTTGGAGGACTAATATCGTTTTCAATTATCGGACGAAAACGACGACGACAACGACACAATGATATCGCGCGTCTAAAATTACGATTTCAAATTTAAAAAAAAAAAACGTAATACTATTTTTAGGGACCTGTACAATTTGAGCGTTTCTTTAACGGCCGAAGTATTATGCAGTACATACTAACGAAGAAATAATAATAATAAATAAAAACCTTTTTTTTTTTTTTTTTTTTAAAAAATAAAATAAATAAAAACAACTTAGGAAATAACAGTTTACCGTGGCGTACGTAACTACGGGGGCGATGCGGGGTGATATATCATCCTCCAGAATATTTTTTTTTTTATACCACTTCTACTGTCTTCGCTTCTTTTTAGTTTTAGTTGATAATATTTATTTTGTTGTTGTAAAAATGAATTGGGACGCGGTCCCGTTATCTTAATATCGCGAGTTTTGTATTTTGTATAGACGATAATATTTACAACGATTTTAGTATCTCAAAAGTATCTCGATTCTTAAGTTTGAGTTTATTATCTAATTAACTATGATTGAGCATGGCATGTTTAGCACGACACATAAATTGCCATTGATGCGATTTAATGATCAACTTAATAAGGTGTAATAAGGAAATATAATAAATGATTGAAAATAAATTGTGGCGGCACTAAATATAAAATTATGTCGCGGATCACATTTGGATTTTTGATTCTCTACTCTTTGATTGGTGCGGAGTTTCGAGTTTTTTTTAAATTAAAGTTCGCATTATTTCCTGGATCATCATTCCCTCGGTTTTTAACATCGATCGTCAGTTATTTACATTTAATCGCAAACTCGGGATTCATTAATTGTCTCTTTGGAAACAAAAATATTACCGAAAAAACTGCCTCGTGTTATCTGTATAAGCAATTTAAAATAAAGTTGAATTATTATTTTCGTTGATTTATGGGTTGCGCTGGTGATACGGATGAAACAAAAACGAAGTTAAAACAAACGAAACAAATAAATAAGTGTATGGGCTGTAATAGTTGTCGCGAGAATTCGCCGCACAACGAACAGCCTAGTTGCTATAGAAACTGGTTACATACAATATATATATTTAATATGTAATAGAAAATGAAGGACACAATAAGACGATACAAAGAGATTATAAATATTTGCGACCCTCTGATAAGCTAAAGCTTGTGATAGAGGGTTTTATAAGAGTTCGCAAAAACACTAAGTATACAATAATTGTAAAGAACAGTCATCAAGATTGTACAATTTCATTTAAATTAGCGAGTTTTAAATACAGCTTAAAATATCTTAAACAGCGAAAATCGAACGCGTTAATCTCAGAAATCCCACATAAATTTATTGCAATAGATGTACAATTTTTCGCACCAAAATATTTGTGGAATTTAGGAATTTTAATATAAATATTTTTTTTTTTTATATCTAGTACAATATTCACGTTTGACAGTGGATATAGTATCACGCTTGTATTTAAATACAGCAATCAATATATATATATATTGATGTTATATACACTCAGTTGCCGGTAGACGTATTCGTTTTTGGTATATTTTGGTTTGTTTAACAAAAATTCAGTTGGGCTGTTTACAGTTGATTTCAAATAAATTGTATGCGAGTCATATGCCTGCTCCCATACAGTTGTCTCATAGTTCAATATTGACCGAACAAGTGATGTGTATGAGGAGTGTTTTTATTTTGTATATCAAATACATTTTTAATATTGTTGAAGATATAAAAGAACTTGCGTACTGTATTGGTTAAAGCATGTTTGTAAACCTATGATGATCCCATTTAAGTTTATTATCCAACGTTATACCGAGGTGTTGAATTTTATTCACAGAGAATGTAAAGCAGTAGGATTTCTATTGGATATATTATGGTTGCTTGACGAACCAACGAGTGTTTTATACCTAGGGTCTATACTTTCGTGATTTATGCTAAAATAAATATATATTTTAATGCGTCTAGATTTATTTCTAAACGATTATTGTCAAACCAGGCCTTAACTTAATTTACTACGTTCGCTGTATTTATTTTGGCACGGAAAACGGCGGACGGGACGGTTACTAAGTTATAATTTAACTTTCGAATAAACTTTCGGCCTAACTTTCAGGAGCAGTTGATTAATAAAATAATAGCGACGTTCAACGCGAGTGCTCATCGTCTCCTCTTGTTGAATTTCACCGGTCATATAGTTAATAATAATATTATAAATTAATGTCTGAACGGTCTCGCGCTTCGTACTTACCAGCGTGAAAATTCGTCAAATTTACTTTGGCCGTATTTCATTTCCGTTTTATTTCTCCGCCCCTTCCCCCTCCCACCGCTTCCGTTATTTTTTATCCGTCTTTTTTTTTTTCGCCCTCGCTATTTCGGTACGCGAATACCTCCGCGCGATATTTCAGTGAGTCCACCATAAATAAAAAAAATTACCCCTAGGTGTATTATATTAATTCTCGCACGACAAAAATCGCGTTCCGAAAATAAATCAACTCGTCTTTATTCCGGCGGTCGGGGGTCCACGTTATAATTCCCCCCCCCCCCCCCCCNCCCCCCCCCGTAGCCGAAATATTGCGGCGCAAACCCGATCTCCCGGCCTACGCTTGTACTGCGAACGCCTGCACTATTATGAAATGCGATATGCGCGGTACAAACATCGGGGAACGGATATTATATTTCACCGCTTCGAAAACTCCGTGCCTACCCGCCGCCCATCACCCACCCCGGAACGCGGACGGACGGGCGGAGAGGGTTCGGCGGGCGGCGACGTTAATTTCTCTCGAACCGCGGCGAAGTTTTCGCCGCCGTCTACCGCGGGAAAAGTTACGGGCCGGCCGCTCGGTTCCCGGGCGACCGTCTAGCGCGGCGGCGGCGCCTCTAGGACCGTCGTTAATTCCCGGTGCGGAGTTTTCGTCTGCCGCGGTACTGCGGCGGATTTCAACATGTTTCCCGTGGTGCCAATGACCGTCGTTTGTTCGGAACAAAGAATAGAAAAAAAAAATTAGGCGGGTAAACGGTTTAGGGGGGAGGGGGGCTTTATCTAAACGGCGTTACAGGTGTTCGCGGTATATTTGTCGAGCGCGAATATTCTACGTATTTTCCGGACAGAAGAAGAGACACAACGTCCGAATCCGTACACCCCACCGGTTCTTGATAATGTACACGTTTTCCGGTAAAAATATTAATACACCGCTTACCGGAACCGAGTTGCTGCTGGTGGTGGTCCGCCGAGGCCTCGTGCAACAACCGCTTGATGTGAGGGGGCTGTGCGCGTCCGTCGTCGTCCGACAGGCCGTACCCCGCGAAATAGTCGGTGATGACCGCCGGCGACTTCAGCGCCTTGTCGCATTGCGCCGCGAACGCTTCGATCCGCGAGTCGATCATCGGCTGGCCGTACACACACGTGGCCACCGCTGTGGCCGCGCACTTGCGCACCCGCGTCCACGGCGCGATCGTCAGCCGCCGGTTGGCCACGGCCTCCAGCGACGTGACCAGTTCGGCCACGCACTCGTTCATTACCGGCATAACGGTGGCCATCGTTTCGGCGTCCATGACGGTCCGCACGAGACTGCAGCCGTCTTGGGCACCGCGGTAACCGGGTTCGGCGAACCCATCGTTGCCCATGGCGGACGCCGCTATCCTGACGTCGCACGCTAGCGCGCACGGGCGTCCGGCGTCGTGTAGACCGACAACGGCCGCGGTCGCGTGCTTGAAGTAACTGGTCAGCAATCGCTCGTTCAGCCGGACGCCCGGAAACGTGGTGGCTAGCGTCCCACCGGCCACCGGCACCCCTCGGTCCGTCCAGTAGCCGCGCTTTCGCCGGACGTACGGCACCCCGACCGCCATCACAACGAAAGCGAGGAACGCCAACACCTCCAGCGCCACTGTGATATAGCCGCTCATAGTTAGGCTTGTTCTGCAACAAAAAAAAAAAAAACGACCGGTTTTTCCAAATTTCGTTGACTTTTGTATAACTCTTCCGAAATTCTTACGGGAATACGAGAAGACTTCGAAAATACTGGAATGGTCATTAGATTTAGCTCTGAAATCACATTCAACTTGGTTGTTTTCGTTTTACACTATAGGCTAACAAATTTCATCGGTAAACCCGCGAAGAAAAATTCGGAATATCATACAAATGTCAATGTTGTTAATTATTACACAGTTGAAATTCGCGTAAGGTAAGCGCGTTGGATTTTCTACGACCCTGTAAAACTACGAGCCAAGTACGCGATTTTCATAAGCCCGTCTGAACCTCCACCAATCCATCCCTCCACCCCAAAAAAAAAAAAAATTTGAAAATACGCCACTATCCGCAAATCAAAACGTCGCGTCGTCGGTAAAATCGGCATACGAGTCTTTTACATAATCGACGTATTGTCCTCGTATGTCACGAGAACGTTGATATCCAGATTGAAAATCCGAATATCGAACACAAATTAACGGACTCGTCGCCACGACTTATTAATTATTCACAAAGTATTTAGAAGTAATGGACGCGAATATTATACCTACACCAAAACGGATCGACGATAGCCGTCGACACCGTACGAATATTGACGAGTCATTTAGCGAACGGCACATTGAGTATGTAACGTTTTAACATTCTAATCGATAAACTTGTATAATATTCATCGGTTCCCCCAGCGCATAGAACGGCGCGTCATTGTGTCAGGATGATGTTAAAAATTAATCTATCTCGTCGAAAAATCGTCGGATTATTCGGATTTCGTTCTCTATCGCAATCGATTTATACGGATATATACGGACGGCGATGATAGTAATGGTTATAATAAGCCGAATTAAAAAAAAAAAAAAAACAACAATCTTTCGGTTAAAATCCCGCAGAATTATCTGCGAAATTTCGCACACTTGATTACCTTAGGTACCGGCTCCATACAATACTCGCCGTATAATGGCGGTGTAAAAAAAAAATATTAACAATAAAGGTGATTGATCGAAGCCTGCGCGCGTAATATTTTATTTTTGCGGCTCTGTAAGTTGTTCGGTTTTGATTTAAGACATCACGACGTCTAATATTATACTGTTGGTATACCGTTATCGCCGAATTTTACGGAAAAATGGAGTCTGCAGGCTCAGTAGCGAAGCGAGGACGGTTTTTTGAGGCCCGTACCTCAACCGAAATTTGTGTGTGAGTCGTGGGCGGTCGGATGCGTAAGACATTCGAACCATAGAGCAAGAACGGTTTTGAAGTGTAATGACTAATTAGCAATTTATTACTGATTTGTTCATAAGATTGTGGCGGTCACTATAGGAAATCGATGGACTTCACCCGAAAAATATTTCCCACACGCCAAGTTTGTTTCAAATATTTATCTCGGTTGAATCCCGCGATAAAAATCTACACTAATTGAGCCCCGCGTTCCCGTAGGTAGTACTAGTCGTCTTGTACCATAATATTAATAATTATATTATGTAATAATTTGAGATTTAAAAAAATAAAACAAAATATTCTTTCTAACACCTACTAGTTTATAGAAATTTTAAGAAGTATCCGAATAGATACTTGTATTAAAATACAGATAAGTCCAGAAACAAACGAAATGACTGTACTTCATAAAAAAACAAATGTATAAAGTGTAAAAGGATAGAAAAAAATGTCTCGTAAATAGATTCTCTGTCTTATGTCTACAAAAATGAGAAATAAAATCTTTTGGAGAATCTGAGTGAATTTATAGGGTGGGATAGAAGTGATAAAAGCTAATTTAAATATTAATTTCACCGTGTTATTTGGGGATTAAGATGATTTTTTTTTCAAAATTTGAACACCACTACAGACACCTCATATGAAACCAGTTTGGAGGATTACATTTTGTATATTTACATCGTAGCGTTAGTATCAAGGATATGCACCTTTTGGGAGTCTCGACTTTCAGCTTTAAACTTTTAAATTTTTTTTTTGAAGTAGTATCAAATTGTGCGTTTATTGTTTTACTATGAATATTTCTACGCTACATAATGGGTGGGGAAAAATTCAACTCTAGTGATGGAGCTCTTTTGCTCTCTATTTTCTTTTTTTCTGTTATTCTAATTACTACCTATTTCGTTTATCTAAAATATTTAACGGTTCGGGTCGGTAGAATTAAAAAGGAGGAGTGTAGTATTTTAAAACCATATTTTTTGTGGCACTCCCCGCTGTTAAAGCTTTCCTCCGATCCGTCGTCCACTATTATTCTTCGCCCGTGCATTTACATGAAAACTAGGTATTTACGACTGTCGATTTATAATTTTTGACCTTCGAGCTTTATATACGCTGCACGCGGTGACCTTCGTTTCTATAGTTTACCCCGAATCCGAATCCGAAATCAACGAACGCTCGTCTTTGGCCCCGCTTTATTTACCAACAGCACAATCATATTATTATAATGACATCGGAAAACGACAATGTTTTTAAATGTGTTTAGTCACGGCACAATATTATAATTTGATATTAATAATGTACCTACCGCGAGACTGACAGACTAATATGGTACCGCAAAAACCGCGTTCGTAATAGAAAGGACTTTGTAAACGGCTCATTGTTGTCCGGTTGACCTTTTGGGTGGGTCTTGAAACGTCTGCTGTGTTTTCAGGTCGAATTATAAATCCGAAACTAATTAATGCGCTGTAGACGATTATTACACTGCATGGGTGTATGGAAAACGTATTTCATTATTATTGCATTACCATACTAAATAATATGAGATTGACGAAATTAAGAAGACACACCTGCTCGCGGAGATTGTTAATAATAATAAATTATCATATAAATCATTATCGTCGTCCACGTTATTTTATATCGACTCGATTATCGACGAATAAAAATACTCGCCTCGCGGACACGTGCACGTACGATTAGGATAGGATTTTTTTTATTATTAATTGTTTCGACTTGAGTTCAATATTTTAAATACATCCGGTAGTTTTGTTCGTCAAGTATAAATAGATATGCGATTAGAATGCATCGAAAATTTAGTTTCACTCAAATGTACGTTAGCACGAAATATTTCAGCCGGGGCGGTACTTTGATCGAAATGAGAGGGTTTTTTTTTAAAAAAAAAAAACTTTGGGAAACAGGAAAATATATAATCCGAGTAAAATGTCTTTCATATTTTAGTTAATAGTTGATGGTTGAATCTCTGGCGATTATTCAGATATAGAAACAACCGAGGAAGTCGAAATTACCTGGAAGTAAAAAGAAGTAGGAATATTTGAATCTGCATGTGTTGAAAAATAATTGTTGATTATTCTATTGAAACAAATGTAAACGTTATTGTACACATTCGTTTCGATCTGAGTGCATTCGGCTGAAATATTCCGTATTATTGTCCGAGTGAAACAAACTTACGTAGGTGATAGTATGACAAATCTCAGTACTGATAAACTAAATATAATAAAAATGAAATTTAAAAAAATAAAAAAACAGAGCCAACCACGTAAAAAGTACATCGCTGTTTAAAAAGTCGTGTAAAACTATACAAAAAATGATTTAATAGTTTCGAGATTCAAACCCGTGACCGATCTCGGTTGATAACGTCTTGTGAATGTCATTGTATCAAAGTAGTATGTATACAGTTTTTTATACAGCGCTCGAGTGTATTTTTCCAGTGTATTTTACTGATGACACGCAGTCATTAAAAACTCAATCCTCCTTTGTCAGTCTGGTAAAAAATAGTTTTGGCACAATTGTTTCACGCGTCGGTCGAGCGATAATATTACAACTGCATAATATTTTTATCTCTAACAGAACCGTTGTTCATAACTATACTATATTATTATACAAGCTGTCCCACGAATATATACCCCTTGTACATCTCCGGAGATAATACAAATAGTCAAATTCTGTTTTTTATATTACTCACAGTAAAGAGGACTTCAATCGATTTTCACACGGATTAGTAGAATTTAAAATGGATGTTATTTAGAAACTATTCACCGGATATAAAATACGTGTGATACATTAAAATTTCCAGAAAAATAATCTTTACAGAATGGCTATCTTAAAATTTTTCAAAAATTATAAAAATAAAATTAGTTTTTAATTTTTTTTTATTAAAAAAAAAATTGATTCACATATAATTACTTGTAGTTCTCTTCTCAGTGAGTAATATGAAAAAAAAAACAGAATTTGATTATCTTTATTATCTCCGGAGATATACTAGTGGTATATCTTCGTGAGACAGCCTGTAGTAATTATTATTATTAGTAGTATTCTAGTACCTAGCATTAACATTATTATTTCCATTTGATATGTTAAACTTTATTAAAACCGGAACTATGTCAATATAATAAATAAACATATCGTTGATCGAGTACCCGAAAAAATTATTTAATTCGTGTTTCAGTTATTCGGTGAATGTAATATCAATTGTATTTACTCGGAACGGCTTTTTTCTGCCGTAAAACGTTCAAAAGCACCGTTAATCTACAAAAGTACCCGTTTAAATATATTTAATTTTATCGCTCACGGAACCTACCGTTACCTTGGGACCAAGGATAATAATGTATAATATTTAACTGTTAATGTTAGATTCCATGTGCGTAGTCATATTATATTTACCGAGATGCATTTTTTCTCCTCCAAATAGCGCATTCGAAGCGATTTTCATGGTTCATAAGAGAAAAAAAATCTATAAAAAAATTATAATCTGTGCGGAAATACGGGGGTTCGACTATACAGGCTGTTTCACAAAGATATACTCCTTAAATATCTCCAGAGATAATAAAGATAATCAAATTCTGTATTTTTTTTTTCATAGTACTCACTGGGAAGATGACTACAAATAATTATATTTTAATTAAATTATTTTTTTTTTAATAAACCAATGTTCTCTAGGGAATAGCCTAACCGCGTTACGCGATAACATCTGTTTTCACGCAAATTAAAAGAATTTAAAACGGCTGTTACTTAAAAACTATTCATCGGATATAAATGTGTGATACACTAAAATTTTCAAAAAAATAAGATATACCAAACGGTTATCTTAAAATTTTCCAAAAATAATAAAATAAAAAATAATTTTATTAATAAAAAAAAAAATTTAATTAAAATATTAATATTTGTAGTCCTCATAACTGTGAGTAATATAAAAAAAAAAAAACAGAATTTTATTATCCTTATTATCTCAGGAGATATTCAAGGGTTATATTATCTTCGTGGGCCTGTAGTGTATAATGTCTTGATTTTAAATTTAAATTTATTTATTTACAATAGAATTGCCGCGTATTTATTTTTGGTGTATAAATTAAATTACTAAAATTTAATCTTACCTTCGATTATCCACCAACAAAGATTGCCTAACCTGCAAGATGGGAAATATGTCCGAACTTTTGTTTCATTATTATTTAATTATTATCCAAACATTGTTTTTTTCCCTTTTTATTTTTTGGTCGATCTTTTAGTTACACTCTATCGCGATTTTTGGACACTTTTAGTGGCTCCCTATCGACCAATTAAAATCAAACCCGGGAGTTTTTTTTATAGACGGACGGAAGTGATAAAAGTTGGATTAAATTTATATATAAACTTCACCATGTTGCGGGAGGAAGTTATCTTTTACGCTTTGTCCGCTACTATACAACCCCCGAATGGAACTATGCATGGCGTCAGTATCAAGGATGTGTCTCTTGTGAGTTTCAGTTGGTCATAGGTGTTTTTACGATCACCTAAATATTATAAAATATAAGTAGGTACTGTACGTGATGAAATATGACTTAAAATATTATTCAACGTGGTTTTGTTTACGTATTATCGTAGCAATATCGTTTTACACGAAAACTCGTTTTACGTGGCTGAAAAACGATATTGGACTAAAATTAATATTGAATAACACATTTGCATGCAAACACGCATGGAATTTCTTTTCGTTTTTCATATTATTATTTCAAAGATATATTTCGAAATTAACATATTATTTCGATTAAATCAAACAAATAAACCATTAAAAATAATAATACAATGGTAATGATCGTGTTAAAAATACAAACATACACTTCTCGCCTTCCCCCTCCCCAAAAAAAAAAAATTCTAACTTTTCGGGTATCTGAAGTGCTCGTTTTAAAATTAAAAAATGAACTTGAATTTATATTTTGTTCGTTAATTTTCGTCCTATTTATTGATAATGTTTACTTAAAGCGTTTACAACAACTACTCTAAACCAATAATATATTTTTAAAACAAAATAATGCAATTTGCGTGTAATATTACTTAATTCAATTGGCCCGCAGCTTTTTTGTTGATGAAAAGTAAACCTAATATTATGAAATTATATATATTCGTGTACGTATATATGTCGTTAAATGAATAATACAGTTTCTCTTAGGAAAAAATAACAAACGCTATTTGAACATAAAATTTGAAGAGACGTTGCTGCAGTTATAACAAAATATTGTCTCATACTAGTTTATCGCATTTCCAGATATTAAGTTTTGGATATAGTTTTTATATCTACTAACCACCGGACACTATTTGCATTACCTACTGACCACAAAGTTTAACTGGAAATGATCGGGTTCGCCTGATAAAACCAGTGAATCTTAGTATGCGGTGTGATAGATAGGAATGTATACTGTATACTTATAACTAGTTGGAAAAAATGGTAACAAAATGTCGGTAATTAAGTGTTATAATTACTTACGAAATCAGTAATAGGCACAAATAATAACTCATATAATTAATTCATAATAATACGATACAAATATATACATGAGTACATACACGGATTGGAATAAAATTGCCCTTTTGGCATAACAATAAATAAATAATAGAACTATCAATATAATTGTCGGCGCGAAAACAGGCCAGCTGCACACCTGTGCTTAAATTCTAATTAAATTCACACACACAAATTATGAAATAGGTACTAGTTACAATTCACGAACATATTATGAAAAAATATTATAAACATATTATGGAACAAAAATAAAGATCTTTCTTATGAGCAGTTAGACGCTGAACGTAAGAATATCCGAAATCCATTTGACGTCATTACGTTTGGTTCTAAACCTTTCTAAAGTAATTTTGAAAGTGTAACAGCCAACCGGCAAATCAGCTGGTTATTAATATTTAATCAAGTTATATGCTTTCCTTTGAACTTCTAATATCTTTTGAAAAAACTTTTATATTATAGTAGTCGTTTAGCGATTATGCCGTTCATTATTTCAAAACGTTCCAAACAGATGGTTTTATTCTCCTTTGCCTTGAGCCCACTCTGTAAGCGGGAGAAACTTTTTCTTTGGCCTCTTGTCGTCTTCCACGGGTTGGCTCACACTAAAATCGCCGATCGTTTTGAATTTAATCGAAATTGGTTTTTCATTGTTTATTATTTTGTACGTGCGTCGGGCGAACAGCGAAAATAGCGACAAATGAAAAAAACGAATTCAAACTGTACATACGGATAAACTTTACAACTATGCAACAAGAAATTCTAATAATCCTCAGCAAACAATTATTTTTTAGGTTCGATTTGAATTTAGCGCGCGCGGCCTATTTGCGCGATCGCAACCGGTCACAAAACCCCGGTATCGCGGTCCAATAAGTTGCGACCGCGACCTGGTCGGGAGGGGGCGCGCCGTGTCGCGCTCGTCGCCTGCCGTCGGTCCGTTGTCGCCGTTCGTCCGTTTACGCGATGTCCGTGTGTCCGCGGGAGTTTTGCCGTTCCGCCCTCGTTGTGCGTTCGAAACGCGCTTTCGCCAAACCGTCCGGACGACCCGGTGTGCCGCCATCGTCAAAACCTCAAGATTCCGCGCGCCCGTTCGTATTGCCGCCGCGACGTCTCGTGTCGCGGCTGATACCGGATCGGTATTCGCCGTGCGCGCGAATCCGTTTCGTCTTGTGCCGGACCGCCCGCGTCTCGTCGACCCGACGCCGTCGCGCGTGTGCGTTTCTACCTAACCGTTTGGATTACCGCCGTCTATGCCGACGTAACATCGTCCGCCGGGCATTTTCCGTCTCGCCTGTACCGTCCGCCCTCGGCGAGCCCCGACCGACTTCGGTCTACCGGAACGTACGTGCGCGAGGCCGCGTAGTGCCGCCGTTCGTTTTCGGCCGCGCGCCATATATCTCGATACCTATCGACCACCCCGTATCCCCGAGGTACCCGCCGCCGTACCCACGTTCGGACATTATTTGTGTTTCTCGCTCGTTCGAGGGTCGCCCACGACTTGCGTCCGGCCCGACGCTTTCGACGCACACGCGATCGCTCGCGGAACATTATCCTCGGAGCCTAGCCGTCCGCCATCTTCCACCACCGCGTACAGGTCGCGCCCGCACGCGCAGATCCGGGATCCAATCGCATTCGTTTGGCCGACAGCAGTGGTTATCGCCGCGGTCACCGCGCTATCAGTTCACCCGGACTAATCACATTCGCAGGTAACCAGGCCGTACCAAATAACCTATTGTAACATTGTCGCCGCGCTGTTATCAATATTTCGTTATTGTGATATTATTTATTTCATTTTTTTTTTCACTTTCGCTTTTCTCTTTTAATCGAATCGTCTGGTTGAACGAATACGTATGACCATTCTTTTTGTTTTGTTTTTTTCACACCAATATACCTGTCTCGGTGTTTCATCCCGATCCGCACATTCGCTTTGTTGTCTATCAGACTACTGGTAACCTTGTCTATCTCCTCCATGTCAAACATCACCTATACAGTCCATTCTAGTAATCGGTCGAGGTTCACTTCGGCCGAGATAAGAACGGTTTCTCTGCGCAACCGGCATGGCACAATACGGATACACTGTTGTTTATAGTTTTGGAAAATATAAAAATAAATGCTGTCAAGTATATAGCCAAAAACGATAATATCCTAATTTAGAACCCGATACCGAATTTATAAACTTACGTCTTTGGCCTAGAGTCTCGGTTTTTTTTCCTTATTATTTTTTTTTTATCGATAACTTATTTTGTATTTACGGGTTCTTATGAATATTTGAAAACGGGAAATGGCTGTGTTTTCGTAACTACGCAGACGTATGTTGGGATATTTTTTCTCAAATAATTTTATAATGAACGAAGTTCGCACGTCATACCTGCAGCGAGTCCAGCTGTGCAGCTTTTCATAATAACTAAGCGACATTTAATTAAAAGTTGAAAGTATACTGTGCAGCGTGGCTACAATATTACAAATAATTAAGGACTCGGATGATGTGCACTTACGTAATGCGTATGTAGGTATGCGTAATTAAAAAACTCTTGAAATTCGGAGCTGCGAGATTTCTGGTAGAAAAAAAAAGAGCTGATACCGAGGACGGGTGTGCCGCTGGTGTATAGATATGAAATTGGGAAGGTAAGAGCACATGAAGTTATCTATTCGATATGTTTACACAACGATAAATCACTGCTAATGAAAAACGATTTTGAGCGAAGTTCGTTTTTGAAATGCCGTTATTTTTAATGTTTTTTTTGTTAAATTTGAATTTACATATTACATAAAAAATTATTACATTAGGTACGCTCAACTATATTTCACCACTAAATACAACCTACACTAAACCTTGGGTTGAATTGTCAAGCAATTCTGTTCGGCCAAACAGTTTTATTCAAATAATAAATACCTAGCAAATAAAAACTAAAACGACTTGAAAATGGCCCAATTTTAAAAAAAATCGTAATGATTTATGATCTAATATCTAGTATATCAACTATATATATATAATGCCTTATGTATCCTATATCCAACCTTTCTAATTGGTTCCACTCACGCATAACAGTGGCCCGCTCATAGTACAAAGTATCTCTGTTTTTTTTTAACGTATTATATTTTTTAAATCATTCCGGTTAAAAAAACAATAATAATAAAGAAACATTATTTATAAACCAACGATTCAATGATTAAAAAAAAAAAAATGTTTTACTTTTTCTTTCATTATTATTATTTTATTTTTGTATATTGGTTATTTTTCAGTTCAAATAAAACCTCATCAGTTTTAACAACTATATCGAGGTCTATCGATTTTAATTGCTTTGTTTTGTGTGTACTTACATTCATAACAGAAACAAAAATCAATATTTTTATGTACCGTTTGTGTAATTTATTTTGATTGTACAGAAAAAGCATTTAAAATGCAGAGCACCTACAAAATTCATTAAAAAGGAACCATAAGATAGGTTTTTTAATTTCTTATTTTCGATATTATAAGTTTACGTAACTCGGTTAAAAGCGGCTTTTTAAAAAGACATTCAACAAATTTTAAAATCGAATTATATCCTAAAAAATCAAAATAAAACCATGCGTCATTCTTTGTTTTATGTTTTCGTAGACTGAACCGGCAAAGGCTTCAAAATCCCTACTCAAATATTAAATTTGCTCTAAATCTTATAACATCATGAATAATTTTGTTGAGTCTAAATTTCGTATGATTTTTTACAGAGTGATAGATAGTTAAATATTTTATTTAGGTAATAAAAAAAAAATTTGTCAATTCCAGCTTTTTCCGAAAAACCCGCAAAGGTGTCGATTTTTGTCCATAAGGTATTTTATAATCGATTAAATAATGTTCTGAACGTAACAAAGAAGCTATCGGTTTTACAAAGTTATGATATTTTTTTTCTTTCTCGGAAACCACTTACGGTTAGTAAAGTAATGTATATCTTAAACGTCTTAAAACAAATTCGAAAAAAAACCAATTCTTTCCGAGATAATGAGCGTCTAACGTTATGTTGATCACTCTGTATTAAAAATAAATAACCTTTTACAGTTTAAATATTACCTTCCCTACTGTCCACCCACAACAGAGGAGTACAACACAAAGGCTTACCCACAAGCGGTATCAAATTAATATAGATATTATATTTTAAATTGCAATCAATAAAAACAATTTTAACCGATAACAAGACACGAACAACAACATATGGGATTATATACTCAATAAATATCACTGAAATGATAATCCGATCATACTACGATACGATATTTTTTTTCAAAAAATATATTTATATATATAAATAATATCGCGCCGAATACTAGCCGGTAGCTGGTTTATATTATTTATAAGCGTTTAAAGTTTTAAAGTTTACTAAGAACTTAAGAATAGCGCGAAACAACGACGAAATTATTTTACGATCCAAGAAATTTTACCTGTATATCTCTCGCCCCTCCCCCCCACCCGTCCACTCTGCTAAACTTTAAACGCTTACAAGTTATAAATAATAAACTATATATATTCCGTGTTTTGTATAGGTATTTTATAAACGACTATTTATATACTTCGAACCGTCAATATATTTATTGTTGTTTCGGACACGAGTTTGAAAATAAACGCAAAGTATAACAATGTGTAAAAGACTGTAAAAACAAAAAAAAACCCCATTGTTCAGTTGGTATTTTCGACATTTTCTTATTGTAACTCGTTTTGTCTATCCTTAAAATGTCTTCTCATTATTTCACTTCCTGGTATCACAATGCATTTTCAAGAGTTTTTGCCACCACCGTAACTGTCTCCTTTTTCTCGCAATTCTGTAACATTCATCCTTTGCCATTAATTCGCTAGGTACACCAAATAATATCTATCCTGGTCTAGTATCACCACGTCCATCCATCGCTACATTGGTCGTTGGAAAAGTTAAAAAGAGAATGTAAGATATAAAAAAAAAATTTAGCAACTTGCATTTATTGAAATATTCCTAACTCGAAGGGGACTTCATATCTTCCCCCCCACACATCACTTTTCAAACTAAATTAATGCAAGAAGTAAGTCTCAAAAACAAAAATAAATGATGGACATTTTTATCACGATGTGTAGGCCACTGTTGGAGGAAAGAAGTTGGGAAGGTACAATATAGAGGGGAATTTATGTATATCTGTACGCAATGTACAGCTACTGTATTGCCAACGAATACGATTCTGAAAGGAGTTCAGTTATACAGGTTTTGAATAGCTGTAATATTTACGTTTTAATTAAAAATTTTATACTAAAATTTGTATACAATAAAATCCTACATTACACTCAATTTTTTTTGACCACATAGCACAACTTTCATACCAGAAAATCTTGCTCTGAAGTATATACTATACCCTTATGAAAGGTAATTTTCTCTCGTTGGTGTATTGAAGAGGTAATTTATTTGATTTTCAAAGGCGTTTTCGAAATAATCGGGAAAAACTGAACGAAAATTAGATGTATTACTGCAAATATTTATGGCGTTACCGTTTTCATTGTTTTATATTAACACGATGTTTTCTATCAAAAATATTACTCCACACCAAAAATAACAAAAGATCATTTTTGTTCCTATTAATATATCGCTACTGACAAAAAAAGTAGTTTTTTGATATCTAAAGTATTTTTAATAATAATTAAGAGAAACCAAAAATGACGAATTATAGGATTTTATTATTTTCAATTTTTACGGCTTATGTTTTCCACCATAAATATTGCTCCAATAGATAAACGAAAAGAGACCTCTTTTGTTGAATTTTTTATTTAATTTGCGAGTAAGTTATTCTTTTTTTATTATTATTATATTCTCTGTAGTTTTATAAATAATTAGACAAAATCGGAAAAAAATGTAGAAACAAAATTGACGAATTTGCAGCGTTACGATTTCAATATTTTAAATTTGTACGGCCTATGTTTTATACAATACATATTGCTCCAATAAAAAAACATCGAGCCACACAATCGAAAAACAATTCAGAAAATACGGGAATATGTACAAACATAATTATTTTATTATTTTCAATTTTATTTTTTTAATGTCATTTAGTTTATTATATTCATAAAGACTTGAAATTTTGACAGAAACTTATATTTGATAAAAATTGTACGGCCTTTCAAAACGTTTTTTGTAATCAATGGTTTATCGTTGATTACAGGTGTAAATTAAATAAATTAATGTGTCCCACCTTCCCCACCAGTCACCTACAACAGCGGTCGCACCCGTCTCCAGTATTAGACATTTTATTTTTAAATTTCAAGTTGTATGTGGAATTTATATATTACTTATGCATAACGTATATAACTTTATTTTATGAAAAAAAAATAAATGTTAATTTTTATTTTTTCAAACGAAATGAGATAGGTTCTAGTAAACATATATCGAATATTTTTATCGTTATAAAAGTATTATTTATATTTTTTTTTTTTATAGTTTCAACGTTTTAATAAAATACAATTCTTGAATTTTAATATTAAATACTTTTTTGACCCGTCAAAAACAGTGCCGGTCTACTTTATACCACTTGATCGATGCGAAGTTCGTATATCATACAGTTAAATTTCTACAAATCTAATTAATTTTACCTATATTATATAACGTCGAGGAGAACACAATTAAAAAAAAAAAAAAAAAAAAAACAATTTTAAAACAGCTACTCACTCGATGCCGGTAAAAACCAACTGGATGCGTCACGCGTTGTATATATTTTGAGCACATGTATATACCATGTGTTTATGTAACTATCTAATATAATTTTGTTTAAAATCTTTATTCTCATAGTCATATATTGAAATACATCAATTATAATCGAATATATAATTTATTCAACTATGAAATGTATACCCAACCGAATATATAATATTAGCCTAATATTAGGGTTACATAGGACCATTCCCCTTTTTTTTTTTGGATCTACTTTCGCCAGTAAAATACAAGTTTGGGCAGAAATAATTAGTTTTATGTTTTATTCCTAGTTCTTAATGGTGTTGTTTCTTTTAAGAACTGTCGACATTGCTTCAAATTAAACGATTGCATACGGCTTTTTTTGATGTGGGGCAAAGTATGTAGACTCTATGAAAATAATACACAAAATAATGCCTTGGTTTTAACGAGTTTCATCAAAATTTAAATTTTAAACACAAAAAAAAAATACGTATGTGAATACGGATTTTCGATATTTTTTTAGTGGTACAAGAAAAACTTACAGTGAATTTTGTATCAAATTGTTGTGCACTTTTGAGTCTCCTACAAAATTGTATCCACATATAACCAAATAAACGAAAACAATTGACAGTTTTAAATGAAGATAAATAATTCGAAAATCACTGGAAAATGTTTTGAAAACTGTATCGTATCTAGACAAATCTATTTCAGGCTTATGAATTGGTTCACTGAATATCAATAAAAAAGTGAAATCGAAAATAACAGTTACCGTTATTATTGCGTAAATATTTCCACTTTTATTGTTTTTTCTTGCTCGTTTTTCTTGCTTTTTTCCCAGTTGTTCTACATATTTAATATGAAAACTACTAGAAAACTTAAAAAATTACTTCCTTAAAACAGACACCAACTAGATAGCATTTACCACCGAAATCTACCTTTATAGTTGTTAATTAGAGGAATATTTTCAATACAAAAGTTGTTAATAAATATAAAAATTAAAATTAAATTTAAAAATAAATCGTAGTAAAATGAATATATTTCTCACTACGTTAAGAGTTTTAATCGTGCCTTTCATTTAGATTTTGAAATATTCTCCTATTCAAGTTTTGAGCATTTGGTCGAATAAGTTTTACTAACATATATCGTAAAAAAAAAGAAAACGTATACATATTTCAAATCGTTACCTATAAATTATATTGAACAAACAAATAAAAAATATTATGGGTATTATATCACTTTTAGAAATTAATAACATTGATGTACCCGCAGTATGTGTAACTTAAATGTTTTCATACCTATACTCGAAAATAAAATACAATGTGTCGGCTGATCATTGTCGACATGCTAATGTCGTATAATAAAAAATATTTAAAATATATTTAGAGTTTTCACACATAGGTGTTGCTACTCGTATATTCATAACTAAATCAACAAAAGTTTTTTCCCTCTCACATTTTCGTTCCGGGAAAACTATTGAAATGGTAGGGGGGGATAAAATCACATTTCTACAGCTGCAGATGTGTGACTTCACAAGCACCCGGAAACTTTATATTATAGTTTTAAAAGTTTCCACGAACAATTTGGACCGGTATATGCGCTTACAGTTGCAGTATCTACCTACAACTTTCTATAAACGTGTTCAAAGGAAATATAAAATAATTATTTTCCGCCCGTGCCCCTTTAACTCGTAGATATAAGATTTCGATAAACGAAAAATCGCGCATAATATTATTGTGCGAACTTACGTAACATTATAATAGTGCGCGGTTATTTGTATACCCATTGGGTTCAAAAGCATATTTAAAGCGTATCTTTGATATTATCAAAGTATAAAAATACAATTTAAATTCATAAATGTGAAAAAAAAAATGAAAAGATGAAATATCATCAATATGTCGCAGTTTTCGGGATTTGTTTTATCTCGGTGGCATTACAAAAATAATCCGTTATTATTTTAATTACTTATCTATTGTTAAAATTATTTGTCTCTTATCGTCTTGTACGTTTTTGTTACAGGTAAGAATTTATGTTTTTATGAAAACGTACATTGTGTTTATATATACGACTACGCTGAATAACGAATCGGTGATTTTATCAATTTGAGTACACGATGCGGCCGATGGGCTGATAGCACAGCGAGTATCATTTTATGATGACGAAAGGTTTTTTTTTTTAATTTTTTATTAAAGCCATTAATGTTATTATTATTGCATTGACCTCTACACAAACTTTCATTGTACGCTATATAGGTACCCAACATTCAAATGGTTTATTGAATATAAATTTCTTTTTCTCATGTTATATCAATTCACAGATTGGTTTGCAGCTTCACTTCGTCTGTTTCGGCCATCTGCTTTTTCGTAATAAATACGTATAATAAGTGCGATAAAATCGCATTTTTGATTTTTCATGATCTGTTCCAATATATTAAGCCAATATATCAGCTTCTGTTGTATACATTCCAGCCCGGGTATTTTTGCAGAGGTTCTTCCCAGTAACGTTCTCCATTATAATCAATTTTAATAGACCTCCATGTCTGATTATATAGCCAATCTTTTAATTTTGTCATTTTATCAAACTTTTTTATGTTTCTCTTGTTCTTTTCTGTACTATATCTAGCAAGTCTGTATTAATTGTTATCTCCATAGATCTAATACTATTCTTCTGTTTTGTAGTACTATATTTCGAACGCCCATAATGCCATTTGTTAGTCTATTTGATATTTTTTTTAAATATCGTTTTGAAAGTATGAATCAATAATAGCCGTGTTTGCATTTATACAATATATATACATGTATATGTATGTATAAAAAAAAGTTCGACTCGGTGCCTTTTAAAAAAAAAAAAAAAAACGAACTTTTAAGATTCGGTAAAATGGTAGTACGTTGAAAACTATATAGGGTCGGCTTGTAAATCACTAGGTACATGAAAAAAAAAATCCAAAAACTACGCAAAATAAAAACGTCTTTAACAGAATCGTAATCGATCATGGTTCCAAGTATTTAAGTTGTCAGAATCTAAAAATTTCACATCTTTGCAAAGTATATTTTTTTGTTGTTTATATTATAATACTCAATACTCAATTTAAATCTGAAATCCGTTTGTTTCTATTATATATTTAATACGACACTTGTATCACATTATAAATGCACGAAGGTGCTCGCACCAATAACTATCTTATGATCATATTATTAATCACTTTAATTTTTTATAGAACGAATACGTAAAATCATAATTTGAGAATTTGTTTTGTATTTTTATTTGCACATTAGATCTGTTATAAAATGATTGAAAGTGAATCGATTATATGGAATTATTTAGGTTGCGATTCACACTTGTACGGCACGAAAGACAAAAATATCGTCCAAGTTCACATATGACTGACCGGCAACGACTGCAGACACGCGTTTAGTTACACTTTTTTAATTCTTTATTAGTTTGATTATAATTTTTACATTTAAATATCCCTTTTCCACACGGGAATTGAGTTAGTTAACGAGTAAAAATTTCACAAAAATATTTTTACTGATCATTTAAAAAGATTATTACACATTTTGAATTTTGTAATTAAGTTTTTTGGATCAACCTAATGCATTAGTTTAGTTTTATTATATATATACATATACAAATGCGTTTTTTTAAAATAAAATTGATTCCGATAGACACTGTCAAAACATTTTTTGTTTTTTTACCCTTTTATTAGTTATGTCGCATAAAACATAGACGTGATAGAGATAAACTGTTTTCAAATTTGAACTCAGCGTGTCAAAATTTATTTAACAACCCGGTGCTAGCATTATAAAACAAAAAAATAAAAAAAATCTCGCAGAACTGTGTTTAACGAAACGGCAGGAAAATAAGTTTATGGTTATGACTAAAAATAAAATTATTTTAATGGGATTTTTCTAGATATAGTATTATTGTTATTAAAATTCGCAATACAATTAAAAAATAATTAGGTGCACAAAAAAATAAGCAAATAAATAAAACATCGTCTTATCTTTTTCTTCAACGTTTTTAAGTATGTACATTGTTTTTACTTTTAAAAAAAAAAATATGTTAGTATATATTGTAATGTCTTGCAAGTAATATTTATTCATTGTATTTTTTACAAATATTACTTCACTATTATTATAAATAAGTTAAATAAGTAATAAAATATACATATTTAATCGCACCATATTGATCACAGTAGGTGGGTATATTATATTATTGTCAATAAAATATTTCATATAAGGCATTATAGGTATTTAAAAATAATCAAAGAAGTATTTAAATGTTTACTTTAGTAGCACTTTTACGATGTTTAATCTCGTTTAACTTTAATATATTAAAGGAATTAATGACGGTTGTTTATTTTAGTCGTTTTAGACCTCAAATCCTTAGAAAACAGTAGACATCGTGTTTGAAAGATTTCAATGTTGAAAATGGATTATGATTCAATTCTTTGGGTTCTGTACTAGGGTATGTTAGAAATTTTATTTCTTTACTAGAAATTGTAAACAAATTTGATTGTATTTTTGAACAATTTTCAAAATTGTGTTTAAAGCATTTTGCCTTTAACTTACTATAAAGATAATTCCAACATATTCTATTAAAAAAAAACATAAATAATAATAATTCGTATTCAATATTGAAATTTGTGGAACGAAATTTCTATAGTTTTGTCGGGCTTTACGGTTTACAACAGCCTACATGGTCTACAGCAGTGACCGTGACGCTCGTGAAAACAGCCGTCCCTTAAATGAGTGGAAAATTATTATCATTAAGGTGGCCATTAAAATGTAAAAAAGTGTTCAAATTTTACATCATTTGGAAAACCGTCATCAATTAAAACCTGTACGTATTTTATTTAAATATCTATGGTTAATTTAAAATATTATAATATGTATAATGTTTAAACTCATGAAAACAATTGTATTATTATATCCACGTCCTACAATAATAATGCAGTTATCGAATAAGTTGATTATAGCAAGTTTGTTGAGAACGGTTTTTGCAGTGATTTTGGCGTATCTGTTTAAAATATAACATCGCACACACTATAGATACCTAATTTTTTTTGGAAAATCAGTATATCGTGTATTATTTTAGGTTTCTAAAATTTAAGTTTGTATTCGCTTGAAGCGAAAAAAGGGAATTACATTAGTAAAACTAACAACTACGCACTCAAAATAAACGTAATACTCGTATTATAGGCATATACCTTTAATACTCGTATGGTGGTTCAGCTGTGAACGATAAAATTAATATTATAAAATAACTATCGAATACTTTTTTTTTTGTCTTGGATGTACGCGGTGGGTTTTTATTTGTTTTGTTTTGGTTAGGTATTAATATAGTTCAAATGTACGAGGGAAAATTCACGAGTGGAAATTGAAAATATGCGGTTTCAGTAAACAACAATACACAAGTTTTGACGATTAAGGATTACAATAATATTGGTATATTGCTCCAATAATATTATCCGGCGATATTGATCGCCACTCGAACCGATGATAATATTACAATAATAATAATTATAATTGGCGGATATGATGAGTTGGTAACTTTATATAATTATGGATGTTTGGTTTTATTTATTTGAGGAAGCCATTGGAGATTATCTAAATTGAACGGAAATCGTCCCCGTATTCGAATTCGTCCTCATTATTTGGAAATATACACTTGTATACAGTGTTATAATCATTTACCAATATCTTAAATTAAATTTTTCTAGTAAAAAATATCCCTCAAATATTTTTAATTATATCCCTCCCGTATTTTTTTTTTTGTTAAATTGTTGTACTATTATCGTCTTAACTAAATTTAATTAGATAACAGGAACGGTGTAAAATTTTAAAGACTAAATTTGACGATAAAATTATTGCACGAAAAAAAAATCTCATTAATACCGTGTCGCCACTATAATATGATGTTTTTTTAATCGGACCGACATAGTCTTATTTCGGTATAAAATTTATTCCAAGAGAAAAATTAATAAAATACTCACTTGGTATGCGTGTTCTTGTGCGGAGATTATGTCGCCTGTCTCGAAAATCTCGCGACTTTTCGTTGTGTCTTTGTTCGAACGGAACACCGGCGGGCCCAATGGCGGTCGCGTTCACAGTGATCGTGTGGGCAATTGGCATATTGTGCATTGTGGAGTTTTACAATCAAAAAAACTACGCACATATACACACTCACACGCACACACATACTTTCTCAGCCGGTCTCGGAGAAAGTGATCGGTCCGATAAAAACCCACACCCCATCCGGACGGTCATATGCGTACTTTCAGTGACAGACGACGGGAGATAATATTTAAATAACATAATACAGGTATAATATATAACTACATAGAAACTGTGTGTCTATGTAGAGTAAAAATTCTCACGACACCGACCTTGTACAACAAGTGGCAGTATACCGTGTTCCTTTAAGGTCAATATAAATAAATACGACGATTTCGATGATTTTAAGCGTTTAAAAAACTTATTTTGGTTACAACGCGGATCATAAAAACAACAAAAATGCTTTTTAAACGATTCTCGAGATAATTTATACCTATAAAATATAATAAAAAATAAATTTCAAAGGGAACGCGTTTGTAAATTTTCATTATTAACGAAAATATGACTTGTAGATTTTCGGTACTTACAAAACCATATCGAAGAACACAATTTTTAGTATCTCTCTCTCTATTTCTCTTTACGTTTCTCTGTGCCACACGTCGATCTATTCGGTTTCATTACGTCATCGTTACCGTTTTTTTTCCATATCCATTTCGCCGGTTGAATTCGTTTGTGCACATTTAAATACGTTTACCAGCTCCTTAACTCGTTGAAGACTCGTTTGGCGTACATAACATATATGTATATAGTATTCCTGAATTTCTGGACGATTCACATAAAATTGTATTAAATGTTGTTAAGAACCGATAGAATAAAAAAATACGATTATATTGTAATAGAAGTTGACATATTTTCAAATGGGTTTTCTAAAATGCGTAAAGGCGAAAACGATACTTAAACACGGACAGTTTTAAACAATTTAGAGTTATTGTTAGATGTACCGTATTTGTACTTGAAAATCCATATGCGCAAACGTGTGTGCAACCTACTGTTCTGTAGTTTAGGACAAATTGAAAATTTTCATACATTATAATATTCTGTAGTTAATTTAATTTTAATAATAATCGTTATTATTGTTATTTTGTGTTATCTCGTTTCAATTCGTTATTCTCTATAATACATACATTATTATTATATAGTACAACGATATAATTCGGGGGCAAAATCCTCTTCTAATCCTCTGTTAATTATAATATTCTTCCTTCCATATTATTATTATATATTCCATAAACTGCAGAGAACTCTGTATTATGCAAATTTTAACCACTACTACTACATTCAATTAGTTTATAGTATATTATATTTTATAATATTATCATATCTCTCTTAGCTGTTCCCCTGCAGGTTTCATTCTCGTATACCTAATTGCTTTTAAAGTTGGTTTATCATAATAGTGTAACACTTTTACCAAACGCTATAACCCTTATTCTCTAAGACATATTTAAATTATATAAATTGTAAGAATTTACAGTTGGACCAGATTTATTCGAAATTTACTTAATTTGAGTCTGTTGAGAAATTATACATAACACAAATTGACATAACTTCCATTATTTCTTTAATATTATAATATTAAAGGCCCTGTTGTATAGGTAATAAAATAAAATAATAAGTACATTTTTTTGTTTGTACAATAGCCGCCTCTAGGAGCATCCCGTTTTACGTTCAAAACTCTAGCCATCTCTAAATATATATATTAGATATATTATATATTATACTTAAATAGATGTTAAATATTATCTAATGCATGAGCTTTCCAAACTAGCCCTCTTCTTTGTTCTCACACGTCTTTCTTGAATACGGCTTCCCATCTCACTCTACAATAGGTTTTTTTCTTTTTCCTGTCGTGTTCCTTTTCAGAACTGTATGAATTAATAGATTTCGGATTCTCCAGGCATAGAGCCCATTTAAGAGCTTTACTTCTGACGGTTTGTACAATGCTCGGTTGCTGGTATAGTGATTTTAGTCTTTCGTTTATTCTTATTCTTCACTCTGTCATTTAATTTGATTTTCTAGGATAGAAAAATATAAATGACTAATTCATTGGTCTCAGTATTACTTACAACTACACATATTTTCTTCAGAATAAATAAAAAGTTAAAGATAAAATTGTTCTTAACATTTTTGTATTTTAATTTTTCCTTTTTTTTGGAAATAGCGTATAGTATAGTTATTCTGCCCTCATAACCAAAACCACCGAAAGTCCAAAAAAAAATTTAAAATGGGTTGAATACATCAACAAATGCAGACCCTTTGATTGATTTTGACATATATCTGAAATATATTTTTCTACAAAAACACTGTTAACAATATATTTTTTATTTTTAACAGAACGCCATAAATGGGCGAAAAATGCACTTTTACTAGTTAAAAATGATTTGTACAATTTACTAAAACAATTATATGCATGGATATCGTATTGAATTATAAGTGGTATTCGGTTATTTATTTTTTTTACAAAGAATATTTCTATAATATGAAATTTTTGGGAAAAAAATCAACTCTAGTGACCGACCTCAGGTGTGTTTTTTTATATTATATATTAAACTGTAAAGTTCTGTGGTAATAAATCGCAGTATACATTTCATTAGGTAGACATTTTAAGAAGAAAGCTTTTATAAAAAAAAAAATCAAAACCGTTAAAAATGAATTTCTGAAGAACCTTAATAGACTTTCGATGTATATCATCTTACATATTCTAAGAATAATACGAATTAAAAAAATAAAAAACTCAAAACCATAGTATACACACAATATTCTTGAACAGTTTTAAAATTACGGTTGTTTATCAATTGACGTTTGTTGCTTAGCATATAAATGTACAGATTTTTCAACATTATTATTAATTTTTAATTTTTTTATAAGTTTAAGTAATCATGAAATTACAAAGATATTACCTGATACAATTTTTTTTAGATTCTGAGCGTAGCGTGGAATGTATTGGTTTCACAATGTTGTTTATTTTTTTTTGTTTTATTTTTTTTTACTGTGTTCAAACGTTTTACCAGAAATCTTGCTCTGAACTATCAAGTGTAGTTTCTTTTCTGAAAGGGAATTTGCTTGGAGTGGTACATTAAGACGGTCATTTTTTGATATTCCCAGGGGTTTATTCAACTTCGAAAATATATTGGAAAAACGGGAAAATAGGTATAAAACAAATATTATTAAAGAAAATATATAATGCATATGTAATCATTTCATCATAATTGACAATGCTTCACTATTAACTGAACTCCGCTCAGAATCGTTTTTCATTAGCAATGGTTAATAATTGCGTACAGTTATAATTTCCCCTTTAACTTCCCAACTTCTCACCTACAACAGTGGCCCACCCACGTGCGGAATATGTTCGTCTTTTTTTTATTATTATTATTGCGATTAGTGAGTTAAATTCATAGTATCAATTTACGTAGTATATCTGATGCTTATGAAATTTGAATTTCCTAATGATTTTTCGTTGATAAAAATACTCAATATTTTAATGAACTTAAAGGTGGAAAAAAATATTAAAGAATAAAGGATCCGTTTCCTTTGTAAATCTAAAACGAATTCATTTACATGTATAGACATAAAAAAAAAAAAAAAACCGAACACATAGAAATATGAATGCATTTAATTTTTGTTTTTTCTGTTTTTTTTTTCTTAACCTTCGAATGGATAAAAAGACCGCTGTTGTTATTAAAATAAAATAAAAATTATTAATTAATGGACTTTTATTAAACATATATATTATATAACTGGTGCTTTTTAACGATAATGATGCCGATTTTATTAAATTAATATTAATAATTCTGATATCCATAGGTAAAGCAAGAAAAAAAAATATATAATATATAAATGTAAAAACCTATAAAAAATATGATATTTCGCGTTTAAAATAAAAAAAATAAAAACACCAAAACACAATCACATCATAAAATGTTTTTAAAATACAATAATAAATCATTATAAAGGTAATAAATATCTATAAAACATTTTAAATAAAAAAAAAAAAAATCGTCAAGAATCATTTGTTAATCAATATAATATCTAAACGAGCACCCAACACCACAATTAATGTATCATCATATTTTGAAGTATAAGCAATTTCTTAATCACTATATTATGTTATGTAAGTTAAGTTAGATTATTGTGATCCTTTTCAGTGGCGGATTTAGGATTTTCTTTATGAGAGGTGCTATTGTGCAATAGTTTAGGTTAAGGTATCGTATTCTGTATGCCTACTCCATCTTGCTTGTATGACTTTTTTTTAGTCCTATAAAATCAATGAGCTTATTATTTAAAAAGATAAATTTGAATGGATAATTTAAAATTACACATCTAAAACTAATTCCTTTATTTTAAAAAAATAATGTTCTCTGTAATAAAAAAAGCAAATAAATGTTTGAACAAAAATTTAAATGATGTAAAAAAATAAATAAAAATAGTTCGGTTATTTTAACCAATTTTCAAGCATTTCTGTTTAGTCAATTTTATTCACAGAGCTTTTAGTATCTACCATATACAATTTACGTAAAAAACTTGTTAAATTAAAATGACTATTAATAGTTCAAAAATTGCTCAAATATTTTGAACATTTTACCACATCTAAAAAAAGCAAATATAAGTTTTTTTTTATAAATTTCAAGTCCACAAATAAGTTAAACTGAATTAAAACAAAAAAACAAAATAAAAAATAATAAAGCATTATTTTCGTACATTTTCCCGCTCTTTATAGTTTTTTTTTTTCGGTTTTAGGTACTCAATTTTTGAATTAAATATAGAGAAAATCGAAAAACGGCTTTCTTACTCACTAACTAGATTAAAAATGCTTCCATTGAACCAATATTTCTAGTATAAAATATAAACCGTAAAAATGCAAAATAGAGGAACCATGACGCCATTAAATTATTAGTTTTCATTTTCCTTTTTCTTTCCGGTTTTTCTCAATTATTATGATAAATACTTGAAAAATCATAAAATGACCTGCCTAACATATCAGAAAATATTTCAGAAAAGGTGTTGTAACTATACACCGGAGCAAGATTTTTGATAGACATTTTTGTACGCAGTAAAAAAATAATAAAAATAAAAATCATTGCAAAACCTATACATTTCTGGCTCAGAATCTAAAACACAAAGACGCGATTATTTGAAAATACATAACATAACACAGTTAAATAATAAAATATAGATAAATTTAATTATTTTGCAAAATAATTCTTTTGTGTTTAATAGAATATAATATTTTCTATATGATACGTATGCGGGGTTTTACTTAAGCTTTTATTATATCTTGATGCATCAGGTGTACTACACGTAATCAGTTCTAATGAACTAGAATTTACTATAATACAGTTTGAACAAGTTTTATGGAATGACAATTGTAAGAACGCGTTTCACTAGTCACGTAATATCAAACGATTATGTATATCTACCTACCGTAATTAGTTTATTAAATTTCTTACAGTTACTACTGTATTGCAGTAAAATATCAGTTGACTGTAAACTATTTAGGAGATAGTCATAGATAATACTCATAAAAAATAATTCCTTATTTAAAATATGAAAATTATAACAATTTTAACGTGTGACTTGTAAAATACCTATCTTTTTCACATAGGTGATTATGTTTATTTTTTTTTTAAAGATTCAACGATTCTTAATCGTGGAAATGAAAATATATCTATAAATTGAGTGAATATTATTAATATTAATAATAATAATTTAAGGTAATTCACTCTTTAATGTAATTATGAAAAACTTTAAAAGAATAAAAAAATAAAAACTATGACAAAATATTATATTTGCCATTTAGATTTTACTTGACCAATTGATGTCCTGAATATCCTGATATATTTATCACCGTACTTTGTTATATATTAAAAATATATTTTTATGTTTTCCACCCTATATAGTGTCATATTTATAGTTTTCAATTCAATATTATGTCCGACAAGTAGAAAAAAAATCAGCAATACTTCGTACCATGACCCGTAAGTATGCCACCGTTGTTGAAGTTAAGAGATGCAATTCAAGTTATTTCTATTCGCAATGATAAATAATTGCTAAAGAAAAACGATTCTGAACGAATTTCAGTTAATCATGTTTCAAAAATTGTATTAATTTTTAGCTACTAAATAAATTATAATTGTTCATATTTTCGTCTAAATTTTTTTAGCATTTTTATAAAGTCAAACTAACTTTATCCAAATAAATCGGAATATAGAAAGTAAAAAACTTAAACAGTTTAAATTATTATAAAAAAATTATAAAATCGCTAATATGTTAAACCAATATATTCTTCACTGCATCCAAAATCTAAAAATTTAGTCATTATAATCAAATGTGCGTTCAGCAGAGATAACGTTATTGTTAGTGCTGTCATTTTTAATATTAGACTGATAATAGGTTAACTCTTTCTTATAGATTATAAATAATAACATAATTTTATGTCATGTCATAATGTATTTATTAATAATTGTGTACAAAAATAACATTTTTGATGTTTTAGTAATATCCTTAAATTAGTTTAGCTGAATTATTATTGTAATTGAAAAGCCTTTACCTATTCTGTGCTTTTATTATATTTGGCATATTTGACATTATCACCTGGGACGTAGTTTTCAAGATTATTACCTATATACATATACATATACAGTAAGTTTCAGAACTGCCAGTTTTCCAAACTATAAAAGTACATCTATAACCCAGCCCCCGAAAAGTTTCATAAAAGGGCTTTTGAAAGTACCTATATCAAAATACGAATAATTTTACATATTTAAAAAAATTGTATTATAATAATAATTATATATATATATATATAATCAAAAGATAGATATCATTAATGCAAATATTTCAATTGTGTGATCCAGGCTTAGGCTTCTTCTCTTCCACCTTCATTTGAGGACGGTCACCCTTGTCCTTAATTTTTACTTAATCTGATCCGCTACAACGTCCTCGCATACACCCGTCATCCGCATATCATTCTCAAGCGTATCCAACCACCTCTTTTTTAGTTTTCCTCTGCTCCTCTTTCTTCCTACTTCTATTTTAATTGCAATTCGTATCGCTTCTGATTCATCTCTCCACACGTCATTATGCCCACGAAGATATATCTATTGTAGTATATCCGGAGATATTAAAGATAATCAAATTCTGATTTTAATAAAATAAAAAGTTTTTTTTTATTAAAACATAAAAATTAAATTCAAATATAAATATCTGTAGTCCTTATCCTTATGGGTAATATATATATATATATATATATATATATACATAACAAATGGAATTAGATTATCTTAATTATCTCAGGAAAAATTATTGCAATGTGTTTATCTTCGTGGGACACTCTGTATAGTGGCTTGTCTATTCATAAATCTGCTGAAAAATGTTGCTTCAGAAAAATATAGATATAACCTTTCGAAACCTTTCTGCAACAGACACCGTTACATTAGTGGACACATTTAATGGTCACGTGTTAGTGTTTGTTATAGGCAAATTGCACTGTGTACGATGTGTGATAATAATTTTATAAATTGGCGAAAAATTTAAAAATTAATGAAAACTACTGAATTTTAAATCTAACAGGTGTCCTAGAATATATTGTATCATTATATAATGTTTATAATAATTATATTATAATTATTATGCTTCAAAAAAGCCTATTCATTGTGTTCATGTAATTTTAAATTTAAAACACGAACAGAATTAGCGACAGCTAAAATAAATTCTACGTAATTCTGTAGGACGATCATCGCCACCGTTTAACGGCCAAATTCATTTTTATACTTATATATATATATATGTATGTATTTAATACCACGTTATAGCTGTAACTTTTAAACTTAACGATCCGGGACTTACAAAGTGGTACTACGTCATCGGTGACCGACACGGGTAACGGGCGGATCCTTTGAAAAACTTTTGTACGTATGGTTGTTAAACGTACGAGCCGCTAAGTTTAGGGCATTGCTCACATTTCATTTTATTTTTTTCGCCAAAATTAATTTTTCCTCGAGCATTTGGATTTAAAACTCAACACACCATTATAATATGCTGGTTACATGTTTTAGGTATAATCGTTTTAATCACGGGGATATATCAAATGCGCCGGAAATTGCAACTTAAGAAATAAAAATTATAGAATAAAAAATGTTATACATTCACTGCACCGATTGATGTACGAATGTAATACATTGTTGTATGCAATTTGTCCCGATCGATTTCTAAAGGTATCAAATTGTTAAAATTCGAATTAGTATATTTTGTAATTATCTCGTTAATACATACAATTGTGTTAGCGAACACGCTACATTTTCATATACATCGGTTCAAGATTTTTTTTCAAAAAGTTGTTTACAGACACAATGGAAAAAAAAGAAAAGAAAAGCAAGCCACACCACGTAGTAAAACCAAAAGGTTCGTCGCTGCGTTCCGAATCTAAAACGCTCCGTAAAGATGCGTATAATTATCCCGACAAAAACCGTATATATACGATTTCCCGGTAGTTATCGATTCCGCACATGGCATATCGCGTATAACTTTTTATTATTACTAACGGAAGACAAGGGGTGCGGTGGGTAGAAGTACGACGAGTTAATTGGTCACTACGTAACTCTATAATATATATATATATATAAGAATTTTCTGAAAATCGGCAACAGCTGATGACGAGTGCGCTACTAGATCGTTATATAATATCATTATCGTCGTGTTGTGTCATATTTTGGGGGACCTATGTAATAGACGTGTATTTTATTTGTAATATGCGCAACGGTCGATCGCCATTTATTTATTATCGTGCGTTTTCGGGTGATATTTTGCAAAATACAGCTTTCGATTAAATGCATCACTGCACATAATATATATGTATATAAAAATGCACACGGAGCCCGTAAATTTTTAGCGTAAAATTGTCGGTATTATTATTGTTGCCATTTTTCTATAATAACACAAAACGATTGGCGTGCATAGCCGTTTCGAGTTACGCCCACGATATAATAATAATAACGCCATATAGTAAAGGTGTACATTTCGTATCGCGGTACACTTTTTTCGATTTGATGGACACGACGGGTAGGACTACTGTGTATCATAATACTGCGTGTATATTTATGTTCAAAATCCAACAATTTCCCCATTCAAAACAACCCAAAAATGCAAATTTGTCCGCTCATATTTTAGCTATAAGAAATTACTTGGTTTTTCGTACAGATTTTATACGATTTTGTACATTTCTTTCTCTCTTTGAATTTTTCAGAAATCCGTTAGTTTTTCACCGTTTGGCCACGTTTCGCGTGCATTAAATATTAGTTTAAGTAAGATTCGGCTGAAGAGATAAGGAGAGATTGATAAGACCTAAGGAGAGCGCATAGCTAAACAATTTGTTTAGTGATAAGTTTAGCTGATCTACGCTGTAGGCCGAAGTCTAATTCACTCGGAGGACCCTCTAATTTTTTGGAAAATACCATTGATATAGGTTATGTACTCCGTGAAAACAAAGGTTAGGTTAGGTTTATTCTGTATTAGCATGACGGGAGGGATAAATAGATATCTTACCAATTTACACAAATAGGTTGAATAGATCTTAAAACTATTTTAGGTGTAATTTAACTGTGGTCTAGGTTGATTTATGAATTTTACTCTCTATCTTTTTCTAAAATATTTTGAACATTATACGTGGCTATCGATTGATCACGTTGGTCCGTAACGTCACGACCGCAATGCCCTAGTGAACATCATATTTACGAATTTAAAAACGTATCCTAGTATTACAACACCGTGCGCAATACGTATTATAATAATATGTCAAGTTTACTCGAAGTCCCCGTGGATTGCAGATACGATCGGTAGCAGTGATTCCCTGGGAGACCAGCCAATAGCAATGCGTGACGTCGTCCGAAAAACGCTATAACTTTTAATCCAATTACACACACATACACATAGTTTTCGATATTTTAAACTTTAACCTAGGTTAATACCTTCCGTGCGCGTCGTGTTATTTTTATTTATTTACTAAAACGATAATATTATATAAACACAAAAGTTTCGGTTCCGTTTATTTATATATATATATATATATATATATATTTAAATCAACGTATAGACCTCTAGAGCTTTTATACTTAGAAGGTAGTCAAACGCGTAATACATGCTGATTGGTTGAACTTCAGTGTTCTATGCAATTCTATATTGTATTTTGCAATATTTTATTTTATCATACAAAATTATGGTATATACTATACCAATTACTATTAACATGTTAAAGTTTTTCGCATCAAATTAAGAGGACGTTCTAACCGCATCTACTGTCTCAGTTCAACTATCGGGTAACATGCAAAATCGAATGCTTACGAAGAATAAGTAAAACTAGCTGAATTTGTATTTTAAAGTGAAGGAGGGAATGTCATAGGGTTTTTGTAATATTCAAAATATGTAGCTCGATAAATAACACATACAAAAACCTTTTATTTATGTGTTTTTTAAATAACTGTAACTTTAAATAGTTCAAAATTCAAAAAAAATACTAGAACATTCCCTCCAAAATATTAAAATATTGTTCCCAGTAAATTTCATAATAGGTATTTTTACTCTAAAATCAAAATTAAGCTAGTTTTACTTATTCTGCGTAAAAATTGTATCGACATGTTACCCGGTAGTTGAACTGAGACAGTAGATGCGGGTGTAACGTTCTCTTAACATAATCCTTCATAAAAACAATGTTGTCTGCTCCAATTATATAATAATATTCGAATAATTCATTATATATTAAACAATGCATAACTGCAGTATAATAATTTTGTCCGTGGACATAAAATAAATTATAAGTTAGTTCTATAGTAATAAGCTGATTTTACCATTATTTGGGTACATAAAGACTCTTTAATTGACTAGACATAGGACTACTCTATAAACTCGTACGAACTGATCATTCATATAATATTATCATTATAATTCATTGTAAACACGTCCTGACATTAAAAGCATAATTTAAAACAAAAAATTATAATAATAATCAGAGAATGAGCGTGTTTACCCCGATTAGCCGGTTATCATCTGGACGTGCTCCAATAATTTCGTTTCGTAAAACGATATTTCTTAATTTTTATAATCCGATTAGATTAAAAAATCCGGTTAAAAAATTATTATGTTAACATAAAATACTTTTTTTTCGCCTTTAAGGAAAACACAATATTCACAGCCAAACTTTTCGACACTTTTAAAGTCATCCCTCCTATAAATTAATTAGAGAAAATTATACGAACACAAAATAAAACAAACATCTTTGATTATTATTATTATTAATATTGTTAAAGCAGCAAATTCTAATCCCTAAAAACCTATTAAATGTATACTATTTATGATATAATAAACCTGAATACCTGATACCTGAATAATTTCCATTATATTAAAAATATACCTTAAAATATCTCTTAAAAATTAAAAAAAAAAATGTACACACTGTTGTTTATTTAAATATGTTTCAAAATGTTCATTATTATACAAATTACTTGAAAAATTTAAGAAATCGTATAAAATATGCCCTAAAAATACAAAAAAAAGAACTGATACTGGGGATGGGTGCAGCCACTGTTGTAGGTGAGACGTTGGGAAGGTAGGTTATATCAAGTTTTACTTATATCTATTAGCAACGATAAACCATTGCTGACGAAAGACGATTCCGAGCGCAGTTCGGTAATACATAATTTGAAGTACCATATTTTTTTTTTGCAATTTTCGTTTAAATTTTTTAATTCAAAACGATTATTAAAAAAAATCAACAAAAATATGGTCTCTTGTCGTTTTTTAATTTGAGTCATATTTGTGCTAGAAAACGTTGTGGGTACTTATTTAAAATAACGAAATCATGAAAAAATTGTAATTTTTCCCCGGTTAATCGTTTTTATTTAAAATACTGTTTCAAATTCAAAAAATGACCTATGTATTTACCAAGTAGATAAAATTGATTTTCAGAAAAAGTGTTGCACTTATACATCGGAGCAAGTTTTCTAGAATAAATGTGGTATACAGTATAAAAAAAATAAAAAAAAGGAAAAAAAAGTCATCTGATGATTTTGTAAATTTGATCACGTCTAGGTAAGTTCAATTATAAGTATTATTAACAAATTTCAACTTTCTGCGTGCATTTATAATCAAATTACAACAAAAAAAAACACCCAAAAATTACAATTTCTTAAAGGCTCAAGAGTTTTAACAATAATACCGAAAGAAAGTAAATAAAAAAGGCAACAAAAAGGGTATCCTGTGATTTTTCAATAAAATCATTTTTTCTAGTAGAAAACGACGTCCGTGTTTTTATAAAATAATGAAATTATGAAATTGTACGTTTTCCTACGTTTTTTCCATCTTAGATAAGTGGTTTTATTTAAAAATGGCGTCGAAAATCTAAAATTAATCTTTTAAAAGTATTATTTAGAAAACTTGAGATTTCAGAAAAAGTTGCTTCAAGTAAAAATCGGAGTATGTTTACTAGGAAAAAATGTATCCACATACCAGAACAAAGAAAATAAAGAAATAAACAGCATTGTAAAACCAATAGCTCCCTCGCTACGCTCGGAATCTAAAATCCCAAAACATAACGTAAATCAAAATATTGAATTTATACGGATCGTTGGAGGTATACATTTTTTCCGTCCGATTAAAAAATGCGAAATCGTATATTATTATGTACCTGGCCTATTTGATATATTCATGTATAGTGTTAGGCATATTTACCACCCCTTGCGGATAAACGTGCGCCTAAATAATAGGTACTTTATTTTGTTAATAATTACTACACTGTATGGTCGCTTGGGCTGTTAATTGAATTGTGCACGTTTCGCTATTATTACAACGATGAAGCTTTATGATTTCAAACGTCAAATTATGATTTACTAATGAATTATGTTTTACTCGTTAACGAAATCCTACAAGAGTCTTCTTATTATATTTATTGTTATTTAATAGTGCCACATTAAATGTAATGTAAACATCACTTTCAAAGAGTATAATCTGGAAATAACTGCAACAAATTTGGGGGCTACTGGTCCCCTTCTTGAATTTTCGATTTTCTGGAGAATGAGTGTCGTGCAAATTGAAAAACTTGGTATGCGAATTCTTGCGAATTTTAACACGTATACGTGCTAAATATTTGCCAATTTGTTTTTGGCTTTTCCAACGAGGGAGGGGGGGAGCTGGCCCGTACGTTTCCTTATATAAATGACATATATATTACTGCTTTTATGGTAAATTTAAATTAGCATTATTGGATCACAAAAATGTTGTTCTATGTGAATGTAAACAAAATACAATTTACACTTTTCTAACGCTCAGAAGGCAATACATACTAATTTATACTTAGATTTATTTAGAATAAATCGATTAAATTAGATTAGTTTACAAACTAGTTTTTTGTTTGTACCAAAAAAGTCGAGAATTTCACATAGGTTAGGTATTTTCTCGTCTCTCAGCGACGACATTATCCAATGAGCAACTTCTAAGTTGTATGCATTAAGACGGTTAAATGATAAAATAAATTCTAATTTGTTTTTATCATTTAAGAAGTAACGAGATAAAATATTAATGCAAATATGAATACAAAATTATTTAGATATTTTAAATATATACTTTATGTCATTATATGTCATTTAAAAATAAATTTCGCATAATAATCGTTGATAGCCTGAGGAATGGTATATACGATTGCAAAGGTACATCAAATTAAAAATTGATGGGGTTTTTTTTTTTAAATCGAATCTTTACACCATTTAAACAAATACTAGAATATAAATTGGGCTGTTATAATTATAATAATATAATGAATTGCGTTTGTTGCGAAACGTTTAATGTGAATAACGAATCACAAACGAAAACGAAAAAAATGAATTGTTTGATTCGCCGAATATTCACCTATTCATTGTCACAATAAACAATAAATCCTACGTCTATCGTAAAATAATTCGTATAACCTTTTCACACTCAATCATAAATTGAAAAAAAGGGAAAATATAAGAAATGTAGGTATTAGTTAAAATATACTTCGGCCTTATTTTTTCTGTGCACAACTTTTCTACCAGCAATTTTGCAATATTCTATGGTATCGTTTATTTTAGACCTATTAGGTTTTATCAGAATTCAGATTAGTATAGAACAATTAGAAGAAAAGAAGAATACCCGATAAATTCGTCCGTTCAACGGGTTCTAAGATCTAAATAATCTTGCTCTAGATCAACGAGAAGGTAGTTTAATTTAATAAACTTTAACTTTTGAAAAACCTTTAACTTAACCAAAAACGTGTATAAAACAATACGAGCCGTAGCCCAATTACATAGATATTAATTACAAATACATATTGCATGCTTATAATAATACACATATTAATAATAACTATACTAAAACAAGTGAATGGTTCCTTATTTTACATACGTAATACGTATCATTATAATTATTGGTTGGTTCTCTAAATAAGTGGTATTGAATTTAGTTGTAAAGAATGAGATTTGTGTGATGGATATAAGTGGACGGAATTTGAAGTTAATAGTAAGGGAGTCACTATTCATAACAAGCAGTGTTTATTTCAGAGAGGTAACTGAGGGGGTTTTACCCCCTCATAGAAAAATGTATACCATCCCCTAATAATATATGACTTAACTGATGTAAACTACATATAATTAGACTTATGGGCCGATTATGAATCATCTTGTTAACAATAAAATATTGTGTTATATAAATAACTATTTAAATGAACTACAAAAAAAACTCATCATTGAACGTATTTTTCTAATTTTTTCTCCAGATGTGAAAATGCCTAGATTTGACTTTGCCTTCGGCATTCCTCCTTGAAATTTCACGATATCTCTTCCGGGGATAATGTTCTGAAGTAAACACTGATAACAAGATCGCACGAAAACTCCGCCTTCAGTGCGTTAATATTCAATATCATATTCATATTTTCTGAATATCATTTCGTAATTTTAATTATAGTATAATATTAATACATTATTATATTTTGTTTAAATACTATTATATTCACAAATATAATTTTTCAAACGATTATTCGATATTCTTTCTTCAATATTTGGTATTTTCGATAGTTGTTATGTTATAGCATTTAATTCCGGTCCTTACTTATGTCTTTTTTAGAACCTTGTAGACGGGAAAAAATCTTTTATTATACGGTTAGAAATCAGGTTAATCGTTATACCTATATATATATATGAATATGTGACGTTATAATATATAACGTTACATGTTATGGTCCTCGACATTATTTTACGTCCGACAATAAGAGCCGAGTTACCAACTTTGCGCATACGGCCGTCCCCTTGTCGCCCTTTACGGTATAGATATGTATATGCACGTGAGTTTAAGTAACACTGCGGTGTGCAAAGTTTCAAAATCGGTGCCCACAAGTACACACGGGACGAAACTTTCTTCAGGTATACTAGACGTTCCTGTATACTGTAATAGTGAGAAATATACGTTAAGTAATCGCCTAGTTAATATTGTAAATTTAAGGATTGCGCAGGTTTAATATCTCGGGTTAACAGGTACTTCGTACATACCTAGTATATTATCAGATAGCGTTATGTGATCTACCGGTTCACCGGGTTTTACGCACAATCGATCGAAATTTATAGGAAAATAGGTTTAAACCGGAATGATGGATGACAACAATAACCTGATAATATATAATCGATGTTGTGGATATTCGCAGTTGACGACCGAGAAAAATATTTCTATGAGTGTCTATTATTATTTAACGTATTAGCTCCAGACGATTTTTCAAACATGGATGTTTTAGAGGATTTTTTTTCTTTTCAATTTGATTATTATTTATTCATATTTCATGTAGATCAAATAATTTAATTTAAATCGCGTATAATTTTTGAAATAAAAAATATTAACGACGGTAATAGTTTACATATTATTTATTTTTTCTTGTAAATAAAATAAATTTGAAGTAAAAAAGAAAAATATAAGTTGTCAAAATATATATGTGAACTATTCCTCGACTTAAATTATTTAGTTTTGAACTATTTGAAAGATTTATTAATTACTTAAGATAAAAAAAAAAAAAAAAATAAATAAAAAAATACACCTTTATATATAGTTCTTAGAATCATAGTATTTTGGGAATATTTTCGTCTTTGGGGAGAATATATTTGTTTGAGAATAATAATCTCCGCTCACTTCACTACACTCGCAAGTACATCGTCTCGTGGCTGTACACTATACGGTTACTATACAGAGAAACAGCCAACTCGTATTTTCCCGTACAGGTTTAAAAAGGTAATAATACTACACTATACATAGCTAGGTGGTAGTTTTAGTGCAGATAAAATCGTGTTCTTATACTTCACGTGTCTCTTTACTGCGGTGGCGGCATGTTTATTGGCATAGAGTTGTGCCAACCGCGTACTACCATTTTAATAGCCTCCGTATCCAATAAATGGATACCTATAACGGTGTGTCAATGTGGTGCTTTTCCCTTGACGACCACCTACTATAATATAGTATACGAACAAAACTAATTATATGGACTCTTTCCTACTGTCCTATATTACATATAATAGTACTAGTAAGCAATAATAATAATATTTCTAGTGTACCTCTATTATACGAGACTCGTATAAGGAAATACTAAAATAAGTAGGTAGGTACCTATTTGAATTTTACCTACCGTTTATTATTAGGCATATATCATCAAGTTAGTTATGCCCTATTATTGGCAAGTTGTCGTTGATTTTTAATTTTCATTTATATCAAACCGATTTTGAGCAGTATTATATTTATGTTCGTAAAATTCAAAATAATTACATAATAAAAACACGCGATGCATAAAATAAATATGTGATTTTTAATTGTTTTATTCGGTATTTTTTCCTCAAATCATTATTGATGACGATTAATCAAAACCGAGAAAAAGATCACTCGTGATGAGCAGTTGCTCGTGTCATGCTCTATCATTCAAATTTCATTTTTCCCTTAACTTTTTTGTGTTGTAGAAATATTCGTAGCAAAAACAATAAATAACCGAAAATATTGTATTATTATAAAAGTTATACAATACTCATAGGCGCGCGCAGACTTCCAAGTTAGTTATGGCTAAATTAATCTAACCAGCCACACTTCGGTGACCATACCTCAAAGAAATTATAGAAATTTCCCATACAAACTTTGAGAGAACCTTCTTGATCTCCAGTTATAAGGAGGCTGGCCACTTCTAATCACTGGCCAGTGTATGTATTGTTCCCATTGCTTTTGGACAGATGATCACAAGCGAGTGTAAAAGACTACGCAGAGATTCTTACAAAAGCACGGGAACCTAGAACAGTGTTTTATTTTTAAAAAATTAATAAAAAAGAAACAGTTGTTATATTAAAATCTTTTTATTTACTTCGGTCACCTTTATCAAATTCAACAGATCAATTTGCCGCCTGAAGAAGAAAGGTAATCAAATTTATAATTAACTTACACGTGTGAATCTATTTTATATAATTAGGCTCCCCGCCATATTTTTGTATTACAACATCGGTGACTGGAAAATGTAGACATTTTTCATTATGTATACGATTCGTCGATTCATTAATAATGATTTGAGAAAAAATTACCGAATAAAACAATTAACAAGAAACTTGTATAATATGTATACTAATCGTACAACGTAGTCATATGATATATGGTATTCCTGAACGGGAGGGGGGCGTAAATAAACTACTTGGGAAACGCAAGCAGTCAGCAGTCATTACGAAGTAAAATTTCTATTTATTAAATTAAATGTATTGTACAATACAGGGAAAAAATAAAAAAAACAATAATGACCTGTTATTAGGTATTGGTAGATTACGAGCAAGGTTGTATTTAGGTAGAGGCGATAAAGGTCAGTTGGATTTGTTTGCTTATTATCGATTTTTTTTTTTTGCTCATCATGTTGTTAAAATAAGGTGTAGAATAAAAGAAGTTGGAACCATTGATTAAAATAAATAATATTAAATATTAAATTAACGTTGACATTAATTTATACTTTTAAATAATTCATACAATACATACTATTATACTGTTTCGTGTCTGATTTTACAAATTCCTGTAATTATTAAATTTTTAATTTGTCAATAACCTAGTTGATCCAGAGAGAAGTAATCGTTTAACAATTTTTTTTTATTAACATTAATGTAAAATAAAATTTTAAAATATAAAATATGTTCTGTATTCTATTGTATACTGTTATAATAATTCTAAGTCACAACTTTAATTTGGCAGTTGGTTGTATACTTTCTATATGACGTATAGTTTTTTGAGTAAATATATAAACGCTTAAAAACTAAAAACCCTATACCTACTTTAAGTCATAATTTTATAAGGCCCCGAATATTGTTCCACACACAAAAAAAAGTCTCAGTTGGGGCTATAGTCTCTTAAGTCATATCTGTGCGTACACTTATAAAAATACAATATTATCTATAGGTACTTTCAAAAAAAAAAAAAAATTAAAACAAATTGTTTTTAAAATTATAGCGTCAAAATGGCGTGAGTGGTAGTTGAATATTGAATCTCCCAAACGATACACATCATTGATACTAACGCTATGTATTACAAAAGTTCTTTCCCAAGAGTCCTTAAAACCTAAAAAAATATTCTTATTCTGTAATACCATGCTGAAATTCATATTGAAATGTAACCTAATTTGTACCATTTCCAATGGCTCATTGAAGTGGTACAATGCCTACATAATGCAACTCTAATGCCCGAGTTTGGGCTCATTTAATGTAGTGAGAGCCACTAGCAATATACAAAGATAGTGGTAAAAGACGGACATACTTCACACGTGGATGGGCCACTGTTGTAGGTGAGAAGTTGGGAAGGTAGAGGAGACATTTAATGTACTCACCGACTAACCATTGCTAACGAAAATCGATTCTGAGCGAATTTCTATTAATTGTGTTACTTTTTCAACATTATATATGTTTGATATTGCATCTATTTTGTAATCTAATATTGTACCTATGTTTTTCCCATTTATTTAAAAAAAAATAAAATAAAAAATAAACATCATTGTAACACCAGTATATTCCTCGCTATACTTAGAATTTAATCATACATATATATGTTTATTTATAGTATACAACTAACATGATAAATGTAAGTACGCTTTATTTTGAAAATTTGAAAAAAATAAAAACTAAATTATTTATTTATATTTTGTTTATTATTAGTCCTAACCTAATCCTCTGTAATTCTTATTTTTTTAAATTAGTTTTCGTGTAAATTTTCTAAAACTAAACGACCATAGTAATAATAAATAATTATGTGTAAGTAAAAATGTAAATTTTTAGTTTTTGTATACAATGAGTACCTACTTAAAATAAAGCATCGTCCTGCTTTGTATTAACGTTTTAAGTTTTGTTATTATCAAATTGCAAATGTGTATGTGTGTGTAAAAATGAGAACTTTTCTTAACTAAAATAACTATGTATGTACTTTAGTTCTTTTATGAAATTCTAAATTAAATAATCAAAATAATAAAATCGAATTTTATTACAATTTATTTATTCTAAATATTTTATATTCATCTAAATTTATTTTGTTAAATCCTATTGAATAATTAAAAAGATTAGAAGGTAATGTATAAGTAATACGAATGTTATTGATAATTTATTTTGCTATTATTAATATGTTAATAGTAAACAAAAAGTCATAGTATTTTTTACATTTTTGTAAAAATAAAAAAAAATTAAATAATTTGATATTTTACCAGTTATAGTATAATAATAATAATAAAAAAACAATAAAAGTTTCGAAATCTAAAACAATATGATGAGTATACAAGAACTTCAGTTAAAATGTAAATACTAAAAAAATAACACTGTACGAACAGAAATTTGAGTATGTAAATAAACGTGTGAGTAAATAGGTACCCAAAATATTACAAAAATATTTACCTACCCTTTGGATGTTTGCCCGAGAGGCACATCACTATAATTCCGGGGACTTTGGTCGGTCGATAATATACTTGATCCGTACGAATAATGGTCCCGGAGCGGTGAGGTTGTCTTTCTTTTGGAATAATTTTTTAACCCCCCATAGAGTACCTATTATTAAAACATAATTTGATACACGATTTTTAATTGAGGGAACAAATAAAACAAATTTGACCTTGGGGGCCTATTCCAAAGTTGATCGAAATCAATTACAGAAAATGTATTGAGCTTTTTGGTTGATTTGGGAACAGGCCCCCAGTAATTAAACATAACGATTTATTTAAAGTGGCAAAGTTACAGATTCAGTTTTAGATGTACTTTTTATACCTGTACATTTGATCAAATTATGTTAGTTTTTTTTATAACTATTACGTAAATTTATAATAATTCATCTTATTTATCAATCTGCAGCTTCAAAGTTTATGAAGACCCATCGCTGCATCACATAGTTTCTCTATTGTTTATCATTTACTTTAGATTTTTGGATATTTTTCGGTTCTATGGCCTCTGGAGATCGTGACGCAGCTAGTATTATTTTTTTTTTTTGTTTTTGTCGGTTTAATCAATGGTAAGTTATATAATAATTGGTACTAATAGGTAAAATTATTGATATAGGTATACATAAGTTTATCTTTTGTTATTATATAAAATAAGTTTTTCTCATATAGATATAGTATCGTTTAATAAATTTGTGTTTGATACGGATAGTAATTTGACTAATTTTAAAATTAGTAATCCATCAATTCGCACGTGGGTGCAACCACTGTTGTAGATGGGAAGTTGGGAAGATAAGATACAGACAGGAATTTATGTATATCTGTAAGCAACGATAAACCATTGCTAATGAAAAAATGATTCTAAGCCGAGTTCAGTTAATAGTGTTGCTTTGTCAACAATACATGGTATATATCAATATATGAAATTATGTCATATTATGGTAAAACGATTAAAACAATGCGCGTTTCTATGACAACAATGATTGTTTGAAAAAGATTAAAATAATAAATACTTAATAATAATAAAAAATATTTAAAAACTAATGAGATTTTCAAAAAAATGACTTTTTAAAGTACCACCCATAGAAAATTTCTTTTCAGAAAAAGTCTTATACTTGATAATCGGAGTATTCTTTCTGGTAGAAAAAGTGTTCACATAAAAAAAAAAATAAAAAAAAAATGAACATCATTGTAAAACCAATGCATTCTATTCAGAATCTAAAAATCCCCTTCCCTAGTTCACAAATACGAAGTAGTCTTAAATGACAGAATATCATCTGGTTTTACTTTTATTAGTACTACATACGATTTTAAAACCACTACGGCGAACAATATGTTATGTTTCCTGGTATAAAAATTTCGATGAAATTGAATTTTACCCGACTCACGGTAAGATCGTCTTGCACTTTTTCCAAATTATGTATTCGGATATATAATATTTCAAAATATATAGGTTTACGTTACAACTTACAACAGTATACATTTTATACGCGTGTAAAACACATTAAATTGGATTATAGGATTTTACAGCAAACTCCCGGAAGGTCATCTTTGATATGGGTACAAACTATGTTGAACGTATCATCTATTGACATAAACCTGAAAAAAAAAAATTCGCCCGTTTTTAGTTTTATACAGCATAAAATATTATGTGTGTGTTTAATAAAAAAATACCTAATTCAAAATTTGAAGGAAAAAATATCGTTGATAACTTTACCGCTCGTATTATTAATTTTTTTTGCTGGCTCAATCGATGACACGAATCTTTTATCATCGTTTTGGAAAAGTTGACTTCAATTTTTTTCAATAACATTTCTGTTAAATTCCTATTTAACTATAAAAAAATATATTTTTTTTTCACTGATAAATACACAAGAAAAAAATAATAATAAAAAAGGATGGCTAGGTAGATAGAAAATACTTATGAATTTAGAGTTCAGATGTTTTAGCGTTGTATATAAACATAATTCTTTAAAGAATTGATACTGTTGATGAATGCGCCACTGTTGTAGATGGAATGTCGGGAAGGTATACATAAGGTTCTTTATTCTATACTTGAAAGTATAGTTATCAACTACTGCTTACGAAATACGATTTTGAGCTAAGTAAATTTATACACGATTTGAAAGACTGTCTATGGAAATGTTTAATTTCATTACGAAAAAAAAAATCAAAATTGAAAATAATAAAAACCATTATTTTCGTACTTTGTCCCGTTCTTTCTATGTTTTTTGGAGTTTTGCTCAATTGTTAAAAAAAATACTACTGGGAAAATAATAAAAAAAAAGGAATGTTTAACTCACCAACTATATTAATAATGCAATACAAAAGGTCTCCCGTTGTTTTTCTATTGGAACAATATTTCTGGTAGAAAACATAAGCCTTAAAATTTTGAAACAATGAATTCGTATGCCACGGTCATAAATTTGATTTGTTTGTTTATCATATTTCATCTTTTTCCGGTTTTCTCTTAAAATTATTATGAAAACTATTTGGATAATCAAAAAACCGACTTTCTTTGTGAGCAATAAATCCAAATGTGAAAAATGGTCTCACACGTCGTTTTTCTATTAGAGCAATATTAGAATTAGAAATTAAGAGGTAGAAATCATAGTTTTGCAAAAATTAAAAAATATAATGAAATCGATAACAACGTGACGTGTTGTAAATATTTGCTTTTTTCATAATTTTTTATCCGGTTTTCCCGATTATTATGAAAAACCCTTAGAAAATCAAAAAATGACCTACTTAATACACCAACTAGTTAAAATTTCTATTTAGAAAAGCTATTACACTTGATACATCGGAGTAAGATTTTTTGTAGAATCATAGTTTCACAGGCAGTTAAAATACAAAAATACACATCGTAGTAAAAACAAAATATTCCTCACTACGTCCCAAATTTAAAAAACCAATTATCAAAATATATTTACATATTTATTTAACAATATAAGAACTGATAGTCAATGATATTTTCAGTATTTTTATAAATTACGCGATTTCCACGATAGGTAAATATTAATCACAAATGGTATTATTTTCTTTTTTTTTTGCTTTTAATTAAAATACAATTTTTTATTTATTTATTATTGGATATATTATACATTTTAAAGATCAAACATTATTACTTGGTATCTAAATAATATTAAAATACGGTTTATACAACGGAAGATTTAAAATAATCGTTTAAACGTATATAACTGAAATATTAATTATGTTTACACACGGAGTCTTTTTCGTTTTTATCGCGATATTTTTGAGAACTTTATTATAGTAGTTCAGAGAAATAAAAAAAAAAACAAATAAGGTTCGTCAAAGCATAATTACCTGCATTAGTGTTTCATCCGATATTTTTAGTTGTATCGTTTTCGTAATAATCACGTAATTCATTTGTAAATACAATTTTATTTCTCTAAAATATTCAATTAACCTGATTGAGGCATTGCAAATACAAATCATATTAGGCATTATACCCGATTTTAGACCGCAGAACTTAAAATAATGTACATGTTAAACTGCATACGCATACGGTTTTTTTTTTTGTTATTTTTTTTAGCTTTTAAGTTTATAAGGATAAGAATGTAGTAATACAAAAATAAGGCGGGAGGTGCCTAGTTATGTAAATTCGATTCACACGTATAAATTAATTATAAATTTGTTTACCTTTCTTCTTCAGGCGGCAAATTGATCTGTTGAATTTAATATAGGTGATCGTAGTAAATAAAAAGATTTTTAATATAACAACTGTTTCTTTTTTATTAATTTTTTTTAAAAATATAAAACACTGTTCTAGGTTCCCGTGCTTTTGTAAGAATCTCTGCGTAGTCTTTTACACTCGCTTGTGATCATCTGTCCAAAAGCAANAATACTAACAACTTAATCTAATAATTAATGGCTACAAATTAATATAATTATTTTACAATATTGACTATATAATTTATTTTAATTATATATGATAGCTTAAGTATTATCTCCTTACGATGAGTAAATATCGCACTAAAATATATGTTATTTGATAAGAAAAAAGAATGGCATCGGATGTAAATGTTTAACTATAATTTCCGTTGTTAATTGTTTGACTTATAATATTTTATTTTACATAATGTATGATAGCTTAAATAGCATATCATTACAAGAATTTATAAGGATTTTTTAACGGTGAAAAATTGTTGATGGTACTATACACGGTACAGTATAATTTTTGATCATATAGATCATAACTAGAAATATTTCAGCCGGATGGAACTCTGATTGAAATGGTTTTTAAATTCGAAGTGTAACGAGGGATCTATTTGTTTTACTACGATTTCTCTTTTTAATATTTTTTTTTCTGCCTGAACAACTTTTCTACAAGAAATATTGCTCCAATACAAAAATAAATAAATACGCTTTTTGTTAAATTTTTAATCTAGTCAGTGAGTAAGAAAGTCCTTTTTTGATTTTCTATATAGTTTTATTAGTATATAAGAAAAACTGAAGAAAATTGCAAAACGGAAACTGATAAATTTACGATCCAGCATTCCGTTTTTATCAAAAACATTGCTCTGATGTAAAAACAACAAGAAATCATTTTTGTTGAATTTTTAATCTACCTGATGCTAATAGAGTCGTTTTTTGATTTTCTTGTAGTTTTTTTTAATAATCGAGCATATTAAAAAATACATAGAAAGAACGGGAAAATGTACAAAAATTCCTTTATATTATTTAAAATTTTTATTTTTTAAATTAATTCAGTTAAAAATAATCCAAAAGCCTTGACATTTTGACAGAAAACTTATATGTGCTTTTTCTATAAATGGTAATTTTTTTTCAATTTGTGAGCTATTTATAGACATTTTAATTTTGCAAGTTTTTTTACGTAATTTATAAATAGTATTATGTACTATATGTGGATAAAACTATTAGACTAAACATGAATGTTTGAAAATTTGACAGAAAGTTCATTAGAAGTCATACTTAGTGTTCAAAAAAAGTGTTTTTTTCATACAAGAGTTTTAAAATTAAATATTGAGAAAAATCTTTAATATTACGTCCTTTCAAAACATGTCTAACCAAACTTTGCTCCGAATTGCTTTTCATTAGCAATGGTTTATTGTTGTATACAGGTATAAATTAAATGTATCCCACCTTCTAAACTACCCACCTATAACAGTGGCCACACCCGTCCCCGCAGTATCAGCTCTGGTTTTCATATTGATCGGGGCACCCAGGTGCATATTACTAAATGGAAATTACTATTTTTAACACCAGATTCGAAAAGTCCAATTTTTTTAAGCTGTTTTTACGAACACTTAATTTTTCTCTCTCAATAATCTCTTGGGATATAGCCATATATAATTTTATCTTTACTAATTATTGTTTGCCTATCATTAAACAGTGGTGACATTTCTTGTCTGGTAAAGTTCAACTTACACATAAAAGGGCGTGCTCAAATGGTTATTTAAATACAAGTAATATCATATGCATTTTTTAGTGTTTATGAAAAACCATAATTATTTAAATATAGATTTGGTAATTTGGTATCTAATTATAAGAATTAAAGTTGCTTGAAAAAATATGACTATTCGAATATGATGTTGAAACTTGTATAGTTTTATTTTAGAAAATTTAAGTTTTATTGTGCATGTATCGCAGGGATTATACAATTTTAAAAAGAGACTCAACATGTGTGTATTTTGTTGGATTATATAATCCTGAAAAATCCTGTCTCAATCTAAGGCGACTAACTGCAAATGCCATATAAACACCTAGCTATGTTGCGTATTAATAATATATAATATTTCACAATACATTTTATTATTGCTCGTAAAACTTTTTTATTTCACCCTCCCTCTTAATGATTCATGACAAACTAGTTTAATAACAATAATTATTTTTAAGTCATTATAAAAAACAACACCGAATATCAATAAAATGCAATTTTGGTTATTTTGTATAGTTTGAAAATTAATTATATAGAGTGATTCATTTAAAGTAAAACACTGATTATTTCTCAAAGTATTGAACATATTGTCAACGATTTGACGGAAATCAAAAATGTCAACACCAAAATTTAATATAACCAATATACTACGTATATTTTTGCAATTTTAAATATAGGTTGTTGCATGTAAATCAAAATTAGGTAGTCGTTTCTCCTCTCCTCTTCCCCTTCCCCTCTAAAAATAACATTGAACAAATAACGATAATGTAACATTTTAAAGCTACTTGTTTCTTAAATTATCAAACAATTGTTTGCAAAATAAAGAGTATTTTAAAGAATCACCCTGTATGACTTCGTATATATTATTTATTGAAGTAGGTACGTAGTTCCCAATTACTTTTTCCAATTAAGATCTACTATTTAAGTATTATTCAAAGATTAATCTACTACGAAAATATTATGTTTTATTTATATTAAGTAAATAAACGTACAAAAAAATAATTATAATACGGTTACTATAGCCGCCCGTTTATAAAAAAACATATTTTTTAAATTAATATTAATGGGGAGATTGGTAGGCAATATTAATTGAATTTTAAATTTAAGTAGTTCGCAAGAGGAAATATTAAATTATCATAACGTCATTGCAGCTCGTAAGTTAATTACATACGGAATGAGACTTTTAATAATTTTGAATAAACGAATTATAACGATAGGTATGCGATAAAATGTGTCTACGTGTATGTATAGACGGGTGTGTACTTAGTATGGGAACTGATCAATATAATTCGTCATGTTATCATCTCATCAAAGGGTGTAGTTATGTGCAAACAACCAGTAAATATTAGTCTGCGTTGGTAAATAGCTGATACACACCGTCGTGGTATTATATATAATATTATGTTTTTGTAAATTGTCAATAGAATATGATGCAGATCGCAGATGCTGTAGCTGTATCAATATAATTTAATATAATGTAATATAATATAATGTAGATAGCGCAGTCGATCGGTCGATACGCGAAATCATTATTTTTTGGTTTATTATGTTTTATAAACAGAAAAAAAACGTCTGTGTTATCATAAACATAACGTGACAAGCACTAAATAAGAAGGTCTTTCAAATTGTTACCAAATCGCATTTATACATTGAATAGCACTGTGAATTTAATAATGCACTAGAAAAAAAAATTGAACTCTTTAAATCTCCGACCAATTTGTGATCAATTTCAAATATTTTTCATGGTTTCTATATCACACGTAATTCACGGTGATTCTAAAACATATTTGAAGAAAATTCGCTCAAATTATCACCTCGACAACTTTAATTTGTATTATTATTATTTTACATAAGTGATGAATTGTTGGATTTTATTTTAACATTTAAAATAATTTTAAATTTAATTGATATTATTTTTGAAGAGATGATCGATAATGACTTTATTTTAAGCACATTTTTTACCATACCTACTTTACTTCTAATTGGACAGTCCTGTAACCAATTCGACTAGTAGTGGATAACATCAAAACTATAAACGGGAACCAATTCGGCTCGCCTTCATAAAATATATTTTTCAAACGGGAATTTTATATTGCTGAAATTAAATAACTTATGATTGTCAGAACTGATAAGTATACACCTACTATATTATATATACAATGATTATACTCAAATACGTTCCGTGCGTTCTAGATTTTTTTTTTATTATAATATCATATATATATATATATTTTGTTTTGACGATATTTCTTTTTAAAGGGGCTACGTGAAGCCATCAAAAATACCGACTCTGCTAAATTTGATCACAGATGTTCTAACATTATTGTAGCAATTTAAGTATGTAATACTATAGATTAAATATGATAATACCACACGTAGTGCGATTCGGCTCTAGTATTTACCGTTCGCTATATTAATGTTGTAGATAAAGTACGACGATGATGAGGTTCACTAAAAATAAAATACTCTCTCGACAAAAAAAATTATTTTATTTCGGTTTTAATTTACCAGTATAATAAGACTGTTTTAAGGTTTTTGTGTGATATAATCTTCGCATCTCGGTACAGGTATAATTATACAGTATGATTCCGAATATTATACAAAGAATGATTTTATTATTATCACGAAACACCGATTATCTACACAAAGGTTTTCTTATACATTTAGTTTTGCGTTTTCTTTTGTTTTTTAATCATTATAAATTAGTTTCGAACGATCTATTTACAACAGTTCCAAAATTACTAACGACCGATTGATTATATCTCAGAAATCGCCAAATTGGTCAAATTTGTTAATGTAAACAAATATTATTACAATTAAAAGCACGTTAAGATGGAATATATTACTAAAATATTACGATTTTCTTTTTCCATCAATTTAGCTCCAACTTACAATGATATCAATGTTTCTAAAAGGAAGTTTCGCCTGGGAGATACTTTAGAGAGGTTATTTTTCGACTTTTTCGTAAGCAATGGTTCTCCGATCAACTGTAGGTTATTGAAATTAATTTAGAACTGACCAAAAATATCATCATTTATTGTTGATTATTCAAAACAATTTTCAGTATTATTGGGGTATATACTTTTAGTTAAAACTTTATATGCGGATTGAACAATATAATTGTTTGTACGTTTAATTTTTCACATAATGATTATATTGCATTTAAGCAGTCATTAAAAATATCGATCTGTGCAATTGTTCAAAACTTCGTTGAATTCGAATAAAACTCAAGAGTATACTGTTATTATTATTAAATTACGCGTGTAGGCATATATTATAATTATATAGTTATGCTCAAATTACCGCAGGGATTGCGCCGTCACATGTTTATAATATTATCCCATTTTTCGGTTCATTGGTTTCGAAATACCGTTATTATTATTATCATAATAATTATTATATTGTCTGATGAATTCGCTCTGGAATTTGACCGACATACTATACATATGTATATATAATATATACGAAATATGAAGGAGAATATTATATTTATATTATTATAACGATGACAAAATGTCTCTCACTCGGTGCCGGAATGCTACGTTTCCGTACGGAACGTTTTATGTCGTCCGTAAAGTCGAAAAACCAGAAGTCGACTTGACAGGTTCGCTATTAAGCCGCGTACTTCTCACTGTACTCTTGCAGTACGCACCACTCAAATCGCACGCGCGTTGTCTCGAAAAACACTCGTCGTCGTCGTCGTTCGCGAACATCCGCACTTCACCGGGCACTTCTGCAGCGCCCGTTAACTATATATCCACACACTACACGGAAATTAACGTTAGTATACCCATATACAGAGTGATCCATTTATCACGAACCGACGGTTTTCATGGATAATTTTAAATGATATTTTGAACATAATGTTACAATACATTAGTATAATTAGATAACATTAGTTATCTACGGTATTTTATTTAAATGAAAATTACAAAATAATCCTCTAAAAATATGATTATTATAACACATTGAAGACGGAATTGTCTTGCAGTTTCACTATTATTATTGTTAACTATTTTATTCACAATAAAACAACAAGTATGCGTAATATTTTATTATGTAAAGTGAACAAAACGTCTTTACTGTTGGCTAGATCACTGTTTTGAAAATCTTGGAGTTCTGGAACGGATAAATTTATCGGTGTACTTTTTTTTCTGATTGTTCGACAGGTATTAAACTAAAACCTGATAATACCGGAAATTAATCTTAAAATGGATTTAAAGTAAATAATATCGTGAAGTATTTGTGGTTGTACAAAATAAACAGGTAATATTAATAATAAACGGTGGAATAAAAACAAAATGTCATTTAGATAATATATGACTATATATTATTATTATAAATAATATATTTCGATAATAAGAGTTTCTTGAATACAATATTCCTTTCTTTTGATAAAATTATTTATCTGTACATTATACACGATGAAAAAATTAAAATTATAAATATAGTATAGCGTAAAATGATAATAGGTAGAACCAAAGCTGTAGCTAGATTCTGTAGTCCAACGGAGAGTGGGTTAAATGAAATCATCTGATATTTTTGTTACGATGATAATTACCATTTTTATTGATTATTTTAAACAATACTTAGAAAAAAAAAAATCGGAGAAGAGAGGCGTAAAAGTAGAACTTATATCACGTACAATGCGTATTAATCAACGATACAACTTTACCAGATGATCGATAGCTCAGTAAGTTATAGGTGTTGGTTAGTTAGTAGAGTAGGATTACTTTATTGTTGGGGTACTTGGCTTGATTCCCGACCAAGCAGTAAAATAGAATCTGGATATTTTTTTAATATTTTCTTTTTAATAGGTAACATGTTTATACCTAATATTTAAAAAAATATTATTTTCGATCAACCGTTATTTTATAAATATGAAAATACATTTTTCTACCTGGGTTAATATTCAATAGAAGATAAGGAATTACCGTGCTGATTGTGATTCCTTATCGTGATCGTGATATTTTATTGAAAATTAATTGTTTTCACAGCAATTTTCTATAAATTAAAACGACTATTACTAAGAAACTACTGATGGGATATGAATGCATGTTACATTACAATTTTTAAAATAATATTTTTTACAAAATTACTTTTTTGATAGTTTTGAAAAATGAAAAAAACTAAAAAGTTATTATTTTCAACGATTAAGGGATGGAAATAAAAATAGAATTTTTCCTACATATGTTTTCTCCCACGTACAAAACTCGATTGAAAAAGAGAAATGAATATTGATAGAATTATTAGTATAAAGATAACACTGTAAAACACCCTATGCATAACATTGAGATCGGATTTACTGTTTGTGAGTTAAAACTGCAGTTTAAAATTTTGACTGAATGACTGAGGAAAGTTCACGGTAAAATGATCACCCTGTACATAATATTAGGTAACAATAATTAACGCAGGGAAAGGTAAAATCTTTTCGCAACGTTATAAATCCACCAAGATAATGTTTAGCTATTATTATTATTATTATTATTATCAGCTATTATTTTCGTGGTAGAATTTCTCAACTGAGTATCAGCTGAAAGGGTACGCGAAAAAATTAATTGTAGGTATAATGGAGAATCACTCAATGGTTGATAAAAATGTAGTCGAATTTGATTTAGTCGTTGTGTGTGGGAAGTGGAAAAAAGAGGATAATATTAATTTATCATTTTGATGACAAACTATTATTAACTAAGATTTAATTTATTTTCACCTACAAAAATGATTTCTTCATAAGTTCGGTTATAATTCAAACTTTAAACGTTTATAAATGTAAAAAAATAGCGGAATGTAGCTCACTTATTCTAATGAAATCAGTTTTTTCTCCCGAATCTATACTATATTATTTTTTAATTTTTAATTTTTTTTTTAGATATATTATGTTCTGATGATATATTTGCCGTATACGCGCGTTGACAACGTAATATTTTTAATTTTTAGAGTTTTCGAGGAACTATCAGGGATTGAACAATTATAAAAATTAAAATATTTCAACATCACTAATTGAAACATAAAATCGAATAAAATGATAAAAATATTCCGACGATAATTCTATATTTTTTTTTTTTACACAATTATGTTTCAATTTATTATTATAGTATAAAAACTCTATGAATTCAATAAATTGCAGTATTATTTCCCAATTGAAAAAAAGAATATGTTTACATTTAGATGCCTTAAAACTACATTTATATAACCTTGTATTTATTAGGTGTACAATTATTAGGTAAAATAGCTGTGTAAAAATAAAAATATAAAAATCGATCGAACAACTAAATGGAAACATATAGATTATAGGTATAACTATACTAAAGTATTGGTATAATGGTACAAAATAATATATAATTACATGGTGTGGTTACATGTATATTATCTATACAATTTTTCAAAATATAGTCGTATAGGAAAAAACGGTAACTCGCCTCACTGATGGGGGGGGGGGTTTCTATATTTATGTTTAAACGTGAATTATTTATATACATACGCAGCAGTAAACCGAACCTAGGAATTATTTGTATTTTCGTGTTAACGCCATCATTCGTGTCCTATTTTGTTTTATTTTTTTCCCTTCCCCTAACTTGAAAAAAGAAAATAATTTAACACTCGTGCCTGACAGTGGTTTTTGCTGAAAAGGACACTACTGCAAGTACAGCAAGCACACCCCATTACACGGTTTTAGAAAACGAAAGATCAATAGGAGGCCATTAGAAAGGAGTTGTAGTAGGTAAAGTCGACAAAAAAAAGTATCGGGTGAAAACGTCACGGTCCTTGGGTTTCTTTTAGAGAAGAGGGGCATTTTTTTAAGCCCATGAAAAAAAAAAAATAAACGTTTGACCGAATGTACGAACAAATAAGTCATATATTATAGTTGCGTAGAAATTAAGATAATCGGGTGAAAAACACGGTTGTTTATGGATACTGTACGTATACGTAGTATTACCTAATTCCAATGGGACATAATGAAAAGGAGTTAAATGAAGGGTTAATAGAATCCCTGATTTTTTTTAACAAGATTATCAGAATAGAATGACGTCAAAATTAGCCTTATAAATTTTCAGCGTTTTTAGATTTTAATCAAAGAGAGAAATTAATTAATTTTATACTGACTGATATTTGATTTTTTTTTTAAACAATTGTTGGGCCTGCAGTAGATTCGCTCCAATCATCGACTTTTGTGCTGATTTCTGGTAGAAAATTTAATCTAGATATAGTTAATTGAGAAAAAAATTTTTTTTTAGATAACTTGGACTTTTCTAAATAATGAGCGTAAACCAAAAAACCGTTGGTAAAAGGGGAATATTTATGTAATTACGGCTTCTGTTCAATTTGGCTGTCGAATTTTCTCTGACAATAGAGAATATTACACTTCACTCTGATTGAATGATTTATCTTCGCGTAGAGATATAAATTAAATTACTCTACATTATATTATATCTTATCTTTTCAATTTTTTTCGCGTTTAATTTGTATACGATTATTCGAATTTTTACATGTTGTTGTATACAATATTTTTTATTGAAACTTTGTAGAAAATATATTTATGACAGTTGCATATTGTATTATATATATATATATATATATATATCTAAAAGCCATAATATTTATGTAGGTACCTAATTCTGAAATTTAATACCTCTCGACTGTGCGGTTTTCATTCCTTAAACGATTCAAACGTTGATAATATTATTTCATTTAAATGCGTCAATCTTAATAATGTTTGTCGTTGAAATATTGTGTCCAATCGATAGCGCTATTTCGAGTTTTGACTATAAACATTTTTGAAATAGACATAAACAATGAAGGAAAACGCATCGCGTTTATATGTACAGTTATATTATGTGGCTCATCGTATATTATAATTCGTCTTGTTTTGTAAAAAAAAAAAATACCATCTCGAGATATATGATGATGACACGTTAATATAATAATATTATGCTAACTAAAATCTGACCGGTAAAAAATAGCACACGCTTAGCATATTATTTTTTTGATAAGCACGCGTGATATTACACAAAGAAAAGCAAAGGAGGAAAAATGAATAAAAATTGAATATATTATCTAAACAATGTTGTGTTATATATTATTATCATAATATAACCATGTGCTGCTGACTTTAGTCTGAAAGCTCGATTTCTCAAGTAGGTGGTGTACGTTTTCAACAGATTTGACGTAAAATACGTCATATATGAGAGCAATATAGTTAACGTCTGTAAAGAAACAGAGGAAAAAAACGAAAGTCTAAAATATATGGTAATCTGATTTAAAATTTTTCCTATTTTGAATAACCGAAGCTGTATTGGGACGCACTGATTGGCTGATGCGTTATCACGGTGTATACCAAATGATTGACTGGTATTAATTTGATTTCCTATTATAGATACCTTTGTACTTGAAGGTTTTCACAGATCCAGCTGACGTTTGAATGTTAAAAATAAACAAGAATATAGCGTTGGTACCAAAACAACAGGTGGTAATAGCACTTTTTCGATCAGAACAATATTAAACAAAATAAATGAATACCATTTTTTTTAGTTTTATATCATTATGTATATTTTGGGTGGAGCAACGAGATGTGAATTTTTCTATCTGTTTCACGCGATGTCCTCCAGAAAACTAATTCTGATCAGAAAACGTCTTGGTGGTGAAGGTTTCTGATGGAATATTTAATCTGGTTTTGCTGCATTCGGTAGCATGATCGTTTTATAAATTTATATATATTTTTTTTTTTGGTAACAATGGAAAACTGATAACAAAATATAAATAAAATTACACCATTTTAGACCCAGTCTATGATGAAATGTGTCAGATCCGAAATTTTAATGATAATGGGCAAAATATCAAACTTTGATTTTTAAATTTAAACTTCATTAGGCCGTACATAAATGTGGTTTTTTTTTATTCCCGGGTCATCATGATATCGCACAAACACAAACTACTTAAACCAGTTAAAAGAGCCGTCGTCAGAATCGTTTTGTGTCAGTGACGAATCCAAAATGGGGGTAATACAAGAAGTCTACCCTCTTGAGAGATTTTTATTAGAATGATAAATTAATAATAAAAATACATAAATAAAATGATTAATTTAATTTTTAACTAATTCTCAACCAGAGATCTTGCTCTAATTCAACATCAGAGATGACTTTTAGTGGACAGATTTATCTAGTGGCGCTTTAGACTAGTCTTTTTTTTAAATTTTATTTAATTTTTTCTAATAATAGAGGAAAACGGGAAAAAATCAAAAACCAGAATATTTATCATAGTTATATAGTTTCTGTTCAGTTTATATGGATTATGTTAAAAATTAATTTTGTTTTTTGTTATTATTCGGTGAAATGTAGTCATATTATATTGACTTAAAATTACCTACAATGATATATATTATTGCTCTTTAAACGTCGTACAATTTTAAAATATCTTGGTATTATTTTAGTTATTTTTAGGTATTTGAAATTTTTGGGTACCTATTTTGAATTTTGTGGATACAATTTTAGATTTCTCAAAAAAAAAAAAAATGGTCAAAAATATTTGTAACAAAAATTTCAGTAGTTTTTCATAAGTTTAAATATTGTGATTAAATTCGGATAAAACTATAAAATAATTATAGTTAATTTTTTTTGTTACAAATTAATACAATTTTAAAAATACGATTAATTGAACTTCTCTTAGAATTGTTTGATATAATATATCATTACACACACTAATAAATTAAATTGCATTATGTAAAAACCTAACTTTCTAGATTTTTAGCTATAACAGTGGCCTACCCATGAATATATCGTAGTTTAATCATGTATAAAAACCTATTCCAAATGGTTGGGCTAAAGGAAAACGAGAAGAAGTAGGTAGAGTAATTATATATACAAATTGTTTTTTGCTTATTAGATTATATTAAATTTTTCTGTTTCTATTTTAAACTCACGGGGTTAGGGAGTTCAGACTCTATCCTTTCAGGTACAAACTAGTTGTTTTTTTGATATTTATGAATAATGATGTGCATGTATGTGTGAATTAAATCACCCACCCCTAAAATAAACACTACCTTGCCAACTTTCCATCTACTTGGTATTGGTGAGTTGATTCCCGAGATTTACTTTATATATTAATTTATTCCCCTATATATATTTGTAATATGATAAATGTATATGATAATATGTTGAATTAACACTTTAGGCTATTAGCGTTACTCAAGATACACCACAAGAAGGTTGACTGATAAGTCTCTCAAAAATTGTCTTCTTTTTAATTTTTTTCATATTTTGAACTATGCTATCATGATGTTATGTTAAAACTTAATACATTTTTTTTTATTTAGAATATTTTAAGTTTTCACTGTCATAGATTGCAAAAAGGGAATTGCATTTTAGTTTGCACTAGATAAAAATTAAAAAAAAAATTGTTTTAGAAACTGATATCTGGTAATAAGATTACCATTATACTTGTTCATCACTTTTCTCATAAAACCTTATTTTTCTCGGTTTTTCTTGGATTTTCTAGTGTCATTACACCTGCATTCAATGTACGTTTTTGATTGCACTTGTTAATATCTATATTATTTTCGTTACTACTCGTAATACACATAAGGGAATCAACTCATACATACTTATTAATAGTCACGAAATAAATTCACCGGTATCGGTGCAGGTAAAGAGGTACTCGGGAATCAACTCATATAAAGTACATCTACTCACGGTGTGTTCAAATTTGAATAACACTGATGGGTACTTATAGTGATTGGGTTACAGAAATTATCGATTCACCATAGTAGACTATCTTTCACTGTTTATTCACATAGTAAAATGTGTATATAGTTTTGATACGATTTTATTATGTAGATTTTGACAAAATATACTTTAAATCTACTGAGTATTTAACGCCATTCCGGTTAGATGTTGACTATAATTAATGATTAGACTGATAGCACTGCAGAGGTTTTATCAAACGCCGTGGCATTAAACCGATAGAGCAATAAATTGCACGTCCTATGGTTAAACTCCGTAGATAATATTCCGAGAACAGAATATTGTGTACCATCATAGACTTTAGGTATAATGATATAAGATAACGGGTGTATTAATATTAATAGGTGGGTGGGTCTCGTCTCATGGATCGGCCGTTGTCTATTTTGACATCATCGTCGTGTAAACGTAAATACGAACATATTTTCAATTGTTTTGATCTTTGAAATGCGCAGCCGTAATTTCCGTCTTAATCGTTGTGTTGAAATGTATCTTAAAAGCCTCTGTTGGTGAATGTACGACCAATGCGGTTATAACTGTTGATGACCCTTATACAGGTTATCATAATACCGACCATTTCGACAAAACCCATTAAAATTTGAGATGGTTATTGTATTTGTTGATAACGGATAATACTTTATAATCATTATGTACTAACGAAATAGTATAGTAACGGGGTTGTGTCGATTTAGGTATTTTAATTTTGCGAATGGAAACTTCTACTATACGAGTAGTTATATATGTACGTTGTACATTATACATTTAGTGATATCCTTAATCAATAAGCATGTGAATTGAATGTACAAAAACCATTAAAAACAATGTCTAAAATTCAAATTCAAATGTAGTATATAATTAGTCTTATTTTTTTTTTGCTGCCAGAGGAACCTAGAAATTAAATTTTTGCATTTAAGAGGTAATTTTTTTTTGATTTTCTAAGTAATTTTTTTTTGTATAATAATTGGGAGAAATGGCAAAGTTTATGGAAATAACTAGTTATTTATTTTCGATATTAGTTTTGTATTTTAATTTGGTTAAAAATAGTTTTAAATAATTTTAAAGAATTCGGCATTTTTTTTTAAAAAATATGAAGATTAACTTTCTGTAGGTGCAGTAAAATTTTTAAAGTATTAAAAACTAAGTTAACTTATACTAAATCATTCGTAATAATACTCACTACACAGTCTATGGCTACATACCTGTCTGTATAAATAAAGACATTATTACGCTTTACGTATACACTAATATATTATATACTACACAATTTGCTCATTGGAAACTAACCATTGTTAACTTTTCACATTTGTGCCAACGAGTTAAGTAAAAATGTAAAATTATAACATAACAATTGACAAATTTGAATACAAACATTGTCAGAATCGTCAATCACGAAAAGTAATAATACCTAGCAGTATCTATGAGAAATTGTTATCCACTTATGGATATAAAAACTCGAGAAGCCGTTGCCGTAGTGATGTATTATATATATATATATATAGATTAGCTGTCCCGCTCGGCGTTGCCCATGCCAATTTTATTTATTTTTTTACCCATATTCCTATTTGGTTTTTACCATGTTAGTAATGAATAAAAACAAATAGGTGGAAAGTGGGTAGTCCACCTTTGGCAGTTTAGTGGACTATAAGTGTTCTGTAATGTCATTTGTTCATGATTTTCACACGAAAAATATCGAAATCCCGAATAAAAAAAAAAAACAGTTTTGTTTCCACGGTTTCCTGTTTACAATCTATGCTAAAAAAAAAAGTAAAAATTTTTTTTTTTTTAGTTTTCTGAGCTATTCATCTAATTTTTCTTTTCATAAAAACCTTCCTTAGGGTTAAACGAATATTTCAAAAAAAAAAAACAGCCAAATTGGTTTAACCATTCTCAAGTTTTGCGCTTATCAACGTTTTGAGTGATTAATTTTTGTTTTTATAGAAGATACATGTATAATATTATTTATTTAATTTATTTAATCTTTAAAGCTGAATTTACAATATCTATCTAATAGTGATTTCTCTGTGATGTATATAACACTATCCAGATAATTTCGAGTCTAAAAATAGATATCATAGAATAATATTCTTTATGATATTCATTAATTAAACTGCTATATTATAGGATCACTTATTGAATATATTATACCGTTGAAGTGCAAAGTTAATATAAACATTTTTGCCCCAACATCTATTTAACGGTACAAGAAAAATATTACTTTGTATCTTCATTTTTGAGACTTTATTATAATATAGACCATCGCATAGATATCAACGTCTCCTATATACACATATAGCTATAGCTGAAAGAAAATATAAATCTCGACATAAAAAATTTAAAATTACTCTAAATACATTTTACTGTTAAATTAATTAAAATACAAATAAAATTGATAAACGATTGTTTATTCGTTGAATTTGAATTGTATAGTTTTTTTTTTTTTTTTACAATCGCGTATACGTCATTACCGGTAAGTCTCTCGGTGATTATAATCAAAAAATAAATACATGTACACTAATCACTTATTAACCCTATTTGTTTCCTACTATTTTATACAACCCATATTTAATAAACTTTAAACGATGAATATTGTATATTGGTAGGAGAACAAAACGTAAATAGAAGGTTAAATAAAAATATGTTTAGTGTATATTAAATCATAATTGAACGTCAACATTTCAAAAAAAATAATTAAATATAAATTTATTTTTTTAGTTGGTAATAATAAGTCGTTTTAATAATATTATAGTTACCTAAACAGCTTATCTTATACCATACTTAATTTAAATATTGAAAACGAAAGTACCTAATGAGCAATATCAGTAAATTTCAACACAATACTATATCCGCAGCTGTCAACATGAACAATCGTTAAAATTATGTACCTGCCATTTAATTCCATTAAAATTTAATTTCTATCACTTTTAATTAATATTACTCCACTTCCATTATGTACACGCCTTCATCTATCATTTCTCATTATTATTATTATTATTATTATTTTTTTTTAATAGTTTCTGAGCGTATAGCGAGGAATCCATCGGTTTCATTATGACGCGCTGTTGTATAAATCTGCAAACAACTGTAATACCAGGAATTTTGCTCTAATAATTTTTTTGAAAATTGATTTAGGGTAGTGAACTTTGTCTATTTTTTTGATTTTTCTAGTACGTTTCGCATTGTAGAAAAACTGGGAATAAAAAGGATTATTTACTTAATAATGTACGGTTTCTGTTATTTTTCATTTTCATTTTGTTTTTAGGTAATTCTGCAGTTAAAAATAATATTTGTGAACTGAAATTTTCAGAAAATTATCAATGCGGTAGTAGGTATTTTTTAGAAATGATGCAATTTTAAAATAGATGCTAACGTTTTACAGCCATTATAGTTATTTCAAATTATCAAGGTTTTTAGTTTTTATTTTGTTTTAAGCTTAATTCACACTTGTGTGGCACGGTACATTCAGTCAATAAAATTGAATTGAACAAAGAATTTTTTGTCAGTATGTTGGAATCAATTTAATTAGAGTATACATTTTTTTTTATACAGAGTGCTCTACGTTAGAATAAAACCATTGTAATATCTTCGAAGATAATAAAGATAATCAAATTCAGTTTTTTTATATATGTTTATTACTTACTGAAATAAGGACTACAAATATTTATATTTTAATTGATTTGTCTATTATGTTGTGTCGTGTTGTGCCGTTTAAGTGTAAATCAGGCTTTATGGAGATAAAATATGTTTGGTCCAGCAAAAATGATCAATAATTTAATTCAATGCTCATTGTAGGTTGTTTATAGTTGGCGAAGTAAAAATATCGAAAATCCGTAGTCAAAATTTGTTTGTAAGCATTTGAAAGTGCAATTTTGATATAGGTAGTTAGTACAATTTAGCCAATTTGACCTATCAAAAGTTGTATGTGTACCGGGTATTTCAGCTCATCTACAATAATACAGCATATTTTGAACCTACCTATATATAGTTTATAATTATTTATAAACGTATAAAGGTTCGGTATAATATTATATGTGGTTGGTAAGTACAATAGGAGAAACGGATAATAATAACACCTCTTGAAAATTTAACGCGCAGTACTCTCCGCTCCTTAAACTTTAAATGTATAATATGCTTATAATTCATAAAAGATCATTATTATTCGATATATATTCGATGGCTTTTATATAGGGTGTCCCACGAAGATATACCATTATAATATCTCTGGAGATAATAAAGATAATTAAATTCTGTTTTTTTTTTTATCATTAAGGACTAAAAATATGTATACTTCAATTAATTTTTTATATTTTGATAAAAAGAACTAAAAAAATAACTTTATTTTATTACTTTTGAAAAATGTGAAGATAGCCATAGAGTTTATTCTTTTGAACATTTTGATGTTATAATTTTTCATTTTCATTAAATTCGTGATTTTTAATAATTTTTAAAAGTTCAGAGAAAAGTACTTATAATTATAATTATGCAGTAAGTTGTAATCACATTCACCAATTGATTATTATTATTATTATAGTTATTTAACAACATACTTTTTTTTCTCTGAACTTTTAAAAATTATTAAAAAGTAATGTCAACTAAAATGGCCACACCTCTTTCTTCTAAATATTTACCGAGTAGTAAAATCAGTTGAAAAATCTTAAATTCAATGTGGTAATTGAAATGTTAAAAATCATTTTTAAATTATTCAAAATCGGAAAAAATTGGAGAAATCATTACTGGGTCCCTTAAACTTTTATTTTCTGGGATCAAAGATAAATATTTGCAAGTGCACTTTTTTATATTTTAAATTCGTTTTGAGATATTTTTTTTAGGAGTTCGTTAAATGTATAGCCTTCTTGATAATAGTTGGGACCATATTATGTACATAACTATTTTTAACACCCTCTATTCACAAAACATAAATGCCTAAAACGACTTATTGCTATATATACCCCGTTTCGTGGAGAACAAAACTATAACTAGATATAGAGTTCGATTCATATAACAGGCGCTTACTTACTTTCACTTTGAATTTTTTGTTATTCTTCTATTTATTAAGCATTTCTTTTTTAATATTTCTCGGTGTAATTATATTAATGAACACTATTACTGCACCTATATTGTTATAATATTATATAACATTGTTTATACGAAAATACTTTTTTCTTTTTTTTTTAAATTTATTGCAGCTTAACATTATTAATTCCTTGGAAAATTACAATACTCTCTGCAACCTCTTTGTATATTATGTAACAAACGCGCGCGCACACTTAAAACAACCGAAACAAAAGATAATAATTTGCCTATTATAATAATATTATCTTCAACTAATATACATGATAATAATTATTTATAGTGTATAGTCGACCAGTTGTTTAAAATATTAATTTAACACTTGCTGCACTGTGCTTTGTTTATACATAAAATGCAAATGCATATTCTGAAACCATTTCGTAATCTAATACTCGTAGAATCCACCGACGTCGTGTTCATGGTGTTGAAATTCTCCGTCTCTATGAAATTATCATATTTTGTGTTATTGTACGAATAATGTATAATACATACAATATGTATTGTATAGTTGTCATGGGATTTCGGATCCTAAGGAGTAATAGCTGTTAGTTTTACTAAAATGTTTGCTTTTTTTTTTCGCGGGAAAAAATTGTTTTTTGACTAGCTCTAAAACGTTAACATTTTTTCTTAAAACGTATTCGTATATTATCCACCCGTGGTGTTATTTTTTCATTTAATTTTAAAAATTGCATAGGTTCTTTTTTTTTTAAAACCAATAACAAAAAACTCGTCACATAGATTTTTGACAACATTAACACTGTTAAACATGTTGTTAATTTGTAATTAAAGATGCCGTGTAGCTAATTAAAACTAATTTAATAATACATGTAAGAAGTTAATATACTATTTACATATGCTATGGTAAAAAATGTTTACATTACTATAATAATATTGTTAAATTTACAAATAATATAAGTTTGAAAATTTCAGCTCGTCATTTTTTTGTACAATGTATCTATATTCACTGTATAGCACGAGCAATGTACAATGTACAATGTGTAGCATGTAGACATTCTGAAATGAACCCTGAAATTTAAATTTCAATGTTGAGTATACACACTTGGGATTATAGTACTTTGTTTTCGGGAGTTTCTGTGTCCTTTGGTTACTCAATTATTGTACGACTATAGTGTAGTTCGTTTAGATTCCCCATATATCTTTTTACTCACACAATTCCTGATTAGACGACTCCGCATACACAATAATTCACATATAATTACCAGGCGATAAAACCGATATATGACCGTAACTGTTGTGACATTTTTAGTGAAATATCACAAAAATCAGATAATTTATTTAGTAGATATTCGAACAGTAGAGTTTGTAAACAAATTTTGGTGGTGTTGTTAGTGGTTTAGTAAAGCGGAATCATTCGGAAATGTTCCTACATCGTATTTTTAGAAATTTAGAATAATCCGCAATTTTAAACAATTTTAGGTGATGGGTACTAGAGTTTATCTGACTTGGGAAGCTAGAACTATCACTTCATAAATAACCTGTTCGATCACTAATACGTATTCTACGATCGCATATCTGTTGATATTAACGTGTTAAACAAATATTTAAAATTGTTTACGTGTGTGTGTTAGTTTAAAAATATTAAAATTATAGAGGATTCAGAAATTCGTATTGTTATGCAAGTGAGATATAAGGATCTAGCTGTTTGATTAATGATTATAAATATAGATTAATTATCGGTATAGTTCGTAAATATGATTAAATTTTAAAGTAGCGCTGTTATTTCAATATACATTGCATGACATTTATTTTTCAGTCGTGGCCTTATATAAAAAAACTGTGTTTTTATAAAAAAACATAACTGCAACTACCCATCGATACTTATGGAGAATTATGTTATTTTACGATAAAAAAAAATTATTTTTTGTGAACAAAAATGTGCGGAATCGTGTAAGTAAAAAGGTATATATTGTTCAAAATCGTGTGTTATCCGTTTAATATGTTACTTAATCGGATAACTAAAGTTCTTTTTCTCCACAACATGTTTAGATAATAATGGTAACATAATAAAGGGGTTTTTTATATTCATATTAGTATTTGGAAATATGTACGTAAAGATTAAAATCTTCCCCGAAGGGAATACATAGTTTCAAGGAATAACTATACTATGAAGTTTTTTTTGACGCCATTAGAATATTATAATATCGTCCACATAAACGGTTTATTTGTTTATTTAAGAAAAAAAAAAAATTAAATGTTTTACGCGTTAGTGAATGTGGTGGTGAATAACAGTTTATCATAAAAAAAAAACATTCTTAATCATTTTTCTTTATGATAGTCTGAGATTTAACGTCCCCAAAAGGAAAAAGTTTAGTTTTTACTCATATATATATATATATATATATTCCTTTTTTTCATAAACTTTTAAAATCTTTTAAGAAACTTGTTCACATTACAATATATTAAAAATATACAGGGATTTTTCCTACTAACTATTAAAAATTCCAGAAATACAAAAAATATTGTAATAAAAATACCAATGAAGGAGAATGAAAAATATATTAGACAATAGTCTAATATTATAGATAAAACAACATAATAAAACAAATCATAATATGATGAGGTGTAGGCTGGATATGTTAAGTACGATAAAACGAAAATAAGTTTAATTGAATATTTCCCCTACCCATTAAAGTAAAATACCTTAAAATAGTCGTTATCAAGTCTAGACTGCGTTTTCTGAAAGCGTGTGAGAAGATGTGAGATAGATATAAAAAGATTGACAATGAGCGTATACCTAGGTAGGTTGATATATCCAAAAAGAAAAAAGTGTTTGAAATGAAGATTGTACAGTGTACATGCAGTAGTTAAATTATTTAATTCACTATAGAACAAAGTAGGTACACAAACGTTTAAAATAAAATTCCATACAAACGATTTAAACAACGGACAAATCAATCATATTTATTTACATTATGTTTCTATATCCAAATCTGGAAAAATTAATCATAATTTTAAACTAGTTAAAGTTAAAACTCAAAAAAAAAAAACCTACTAATAATGTTAATAACTAATTCAAATATTACTTATAATATTTTAACAGAAAATAGTAACTAAGTTTGATTAAATGTGAATTTAAAATATCAACTAAGTTAAAAAAAAATTAGATAAAAGTTATTGAGTTAAAATAACCCAAATTATTTGTTTATACATATACATTTTTTTAAAATTAATTTAAGTTTATTATTTTAGTGTCATAACTCATAAATTATATTAGGTAAACATATTATTGTATAGAAATCACGTAGTTCTATAAAAATAAAATATAAATGTAATAACTAATACGCTGGCGAAAAAAGTAATAAATTGCGTACCTATAGACCTACGTGATTAAGTCGATTATTATGAAAGAGAAAACGCTAGTGAACCGGATACTATTTTTGCGCGAATAAAAATACGTGTTTTCATTTAAAAAAGGTCTCCGCAGTCGTAAAAAACTTTGTGACAAAATGATTGTCAGCGTCATCATATTCGAGTTATTATACGACTTTTGTGTTGGTTAATACATTATAGAGCTACACGGTACGTCATAAAGTTATTTTTACTGTCAAGGGACATCTTGACCGAAAATGATTAATTTTTTAAGGTTTCGCCCATAAAAAAAAAAAAAATACCTATATATGTATCTATAAATAAAAATAAAAATGGAGGAAACAATAACAAACCTCTAAATTGTTGCTCGTCACCGATGTTTTTTTTTTTATAAGCACCTATACGTTTTATGTGTGCATATATTGGAGAAAACAAACATTTATTTGCTGGCCAGAACCGTTCCCTTCAAATACACGTATTAAATTATAGTTTAATGCCGGAATTGACCTGTTTTAGTATTATTTCAATGATCATTTCTATACTTCAATATTCCTTACACTTTCAATAACATGTATTTAGTATTCACAAGATATTTATATATATATATATATATATTATAACTAGATAGCCAACTGTCCGAGTAAATCTGAAGCTTCACAGCCATCATATAACAATAAAACATATTTTATTGATTAACCGGTGAAATGTTTGCTTATCCCATGAATTAAATGATAAGTATAAAATGTGATAACATGTAAAATATTTATAGTTAATCATAAATTGTTTCTATATAATTATAATACATAATATGTATTATTCACGTCAAACACCCATTGGTGTTGCCGTTGTCATGCCGTTAGGTTAATCAATACAATTTGTCTTCTTGCTATAATATGACTGTCGACTTAACACGGTGGTTCATAACTGAAGTGGCACTGTTTAGGGCTCGGTGGGTTTGAAAAACTGTTTATTCAAATATTTAAAATACCTACCTATACTTGTGGAAATTTCCCCTCACTTTTAGTTTGGCAGGAGGGAGATGGTATCAGTCAATTATCTCGATGAAGGTGTGCTGGTCAGAATATGGTTAAGAACCACACACTAGACGCCATCACTTATGCGACTCTATCGTATAATCGGATACATAAATGTTTTATATTTATAAGATATATCTGTGCGTGTAGGAACATAACATGGTCAGTACAAAAATTCTTTCTATTTGAAATAATTGAACAATGCAAAAATGATTACTAGGTATATGCTTATTATTTATGTTTTTTACACGGTACATCCTTATAAACTTTTTTGTTAATATATTATGCTCATATAATGAATTGGTTGGTAAAGCGTGCACAAAACGAGAACCTTAAATAAAACAGATTACCCCACATGCTAAAATTTATAATATCCATAAGTTAAAAGTAGATAAAGTGTTATTCGTCGAAAATTACTATTTATTTAAATTAAAGATTACCAGTATTATATGCACTTTTTTTTTTTTGGGACAATGCACCGATTAGAATATTTCTTATTTCTCTGTCTCTCTTTCTTTTTATTTTATTTTAGGACCGAAAATTTTTATTATTATTATTTTTTTTTTTAAACGCTATCAATATTAATGTTTTTGGGTTCTAAAATTCATCGCGGTTGACGGTCATTACAGAGGATGAAATGCACAAGGAAAAATGAAAAATATGGTAAATGACGTCGAAAAATGAGTATTCCGGGTTTCGAAAACAGTATAATATGGCGGAAAAATAAATACACGAATAAAACACGGAAACGCGATTCTAATAATGGATGTAAATTTGCCCACGTTATTGATCCGATTTCTATACATTCCACCATTCCACGGCTATCGTAATCCTAAGAATATTGCTAAAAAAAGTATTCAACCGTGGTTTATACTACATATTGCAGCCTAATAATAATATTATGCGTTGAGTTATTTTTATTGCATTTTCCACAAAATGCAGTAAAAAAAATATAATAATAATAATAATAATAATAATAATAATAATAACAAAACAGACCAGTAAAATAATAAAAAATAAAAGTAAAACTATCGCATAACGTATAAACCCAAACATGTTTGATAAACAGGGATCGAGTTTTAGAAATTCGTACCACTACTACTTTACTTGATGATGTAATCCGAGTGATGGCCCGACTACATGGATTACAAAATATTTAGTGTTATCGTTAATATTATCGTGTTCAAAAAACTGTTCGGTGCAGATGAGTTTGTGGATTAATCGCTAAACAATAAAGCTCAGGATTAAAATGCATAACAGTCACTCACAGTTTAATAATATATACGGCATATTATCATTATAGAACACTCGACAAAGAAATTCGAAAAATTACTCGTTGGACGTTGTTAACAATTTTTTTTTTTTTAAATCTACATATTTTCATAAATAATAGTTCGGTACAGAACACGTGCTAGTCCTCGCATATTTCGAATGTAATAATTCTCAAATAGATTTAGCGTGGGACACTTATTGGCTTTCAATATTATCCCGTGTTCTAAATTGAATTTTCGAAAATCAGCATTTGTCACGCAATGCTCGTATCGCGATATTTTGAGTTCAGCAATAACCGTGCATGTGAAATTATTGTATTTCAATCGATCTTGAAACGTCAAAGATTTGGATATCCGGTTAGGTTTACCGCGCGCTCCGAACACACTATTGTATATATTATTGAAAACTTTCCGCGGGTTAACGTCACAATAAATTGTGCTTCGAAATATATTATTGTCAACGGAATTTTTTTGGTCCAACACATTATTTCCCGCAGCAGTTTCCTATAATATAATACTTTACTCGGCTCGTTTGCGTAATATACATATATATACGTATATAATTATTTGCAAATGTTCTACTTTGTCACCGGTGTAAAATACCATACGTCGTTATCCCGGGAAACCGTTAAATTAGAGCGGGTTTTAGGATACCGCGTGTGATCGATTTCTCTCGCCACTATGACGACGTAAAGTAACATTACGTCCCAGTGGATTGTGCGATGCGATGCCTAATTCGAGTTTACGGGTCGTTCCTTGTACACGACGGCAAATAATAACAATATTCACGTCTTACCCGAAGATAAAAATTTCAAATTTAAAAAAAAAAAAAGAACAGAGTTGATACTGTTGACGGTTATGCCGTTATATTGTATAAATGGGAAGTTTTGGAGGTAGGATACATAGGGTTATTTAGGTTTTACATTGTAAATATTCCCATTTGTGTCCAATTATTAAGAAAACAATAAGAAAAATCAATAAAATGACCTCTATAAATTATCTAAACTTGTCACCAAATACTACTTCTGATTGTCGGATTAAGATGATTTCGTGTTGATAAGATGACATCTAAACAAAAAAAAAAGCACGGACAACTTCGCACGTGGGTGCAGCCACTGTTGTAGGTGGGAAGTTGGAATGGTTGGAAACAGGAATTCATTGTATATCTGTAAGCAACGATAAACCATTGCAAACAAAAACGTTTCTGAGTGGAGTTCAGTTGATAGTGTCAAAAATAACTGCTTTGTTAACAATATACATGTCATATCATGGTCAAATAATTACAAAAATGTGCATTTCCATGACAACAATGATTGTTTAAAAAAGATTAAAATAATAAAAACTTAATAATAACAATAAATGAATAAAAACGGTTGCCAATAACAACCTTATTTTACTCTTTCAATATTTTTTTAATATTTTTCAACCTAAAGAACCAGATTTTCTTCTCGATCTCGAATATTAATGAGAATTTCAAAAAATTACTATTTTAAAATACTACCCAGAAAACATTTCCTTTCAGAAGTAAAAAAGTGTTCGTATAAAAAAAATAAACATCTTTGTAAAACCAATACATTCTTCGCTAAATTCAGAATCTAAAATGTAAAAATGTACTACAAAAAAAAAGTTAAAATATATTACATATTACATCAATTTAAATAAATACTTACCCATAAAATCTACTTTTTATTTTATATACTACTATTAAATAAATTTTTGCTGCACTCGGAATTTAAAAATTCTGTTTTTCGGACAAGTGGGCGATGTTTAAAACTAAAAAATAAAAAAATAAAATTGGCTTTAACAAAAATAATCCATTTGACATTTTTTTTTTTCGGGAACAAGAAAAATGTGCAATTTAAATATTTACGTTTGTCTTATAATAAATACGGGTAGTATTTATTTATATACTAATCGTATGCCTAATTTGTATACAGAGAATATACCAGAATGAATAGTTTAAAACAATGGCATACCGTGGTTTATTTCACTCTCATTGTAAATAATTATCTAGATGGTTAACCTAAGTACTCGTGACTTATTTTGAGTATTTCCCAGTAGATACGAGCAAGGTATATAGGAAAAGCAACTATCCGAAAATTTCGTTAAACATTTCAGCGTTTAAAAAAGGGTGACAAGGAGTAAATAAAAAAAAAATGTTAATTTGTTCGTGCATTTTTATCGACTTGTGAAGACGTCGTGGGAAGGGGATATACAATTCTTGTGTTTGTCTTTGCTTGAGCTCACTTAAGTAAGTTGGCTTTTTAAACTTTTGACCTATTTAAATATATCATACGACACAATACTATCAGATCATAATTTCTTTCTATTAACATATATACCTATCGGTTGGAACAACCGGTGTTATTATCTCCTTCGTTAAGTACTGCAATTTTCATATTTAAGTTTGTTTTCGTGTAGATATACGCCGTTTGTTAAGTAGGCATTATTATATGAATATGTGTTTTCTTAATTTACTCAAATCACGATTATTATGTATTGTTTAATGGTTTTTACAAATCGTAGACAATTTGTGCACTTTTTTATTTTGAGAAAAAGATAAGTGAATTAGTTATGATTTTAGCAAAATACGTTTTTAATTAATTATTACATAATATTGGCCACATTTTAAAGAATTTTTCTTCCATTATTATTGCACTATTCTTTATTATCCTAACGTAAGAATCGAGTATTTTCGAGCGTTAGCCTACAAACAAATTTGATATCGTCTATATAGTGTTCTGATAGTCCTCCACATTTACAGGTAATTTTTTTTTTATTTTTTGGTCCAATTTTATCGGTAAAAAAATGATCGGGTAATAAATACATCACAAAGACTAGAGGTTCTATTTTTTTTCCTCATAAACATTGCACACTATTACCTATACAACGGTATACTTTCCTACCTAACTAAATTGGATGAAAATTGTCCCTTGAACCTTAATAAATGTCTACTAAAAACCGCAAGTTATGCGTATAGGTTCAATAGGTTTTTTTTTCAATTAATATACGACTATACTTACCAAATTTATATTCACCCATGTAAATTGGACTGCCGTCCGATAAACGAAATAAAATAAAAAATTTAAATACTTGCTACTACGTATAATATAAAATTACACGGGAAGAACAATAAACTTCATATACATGTAATGATATGC